CATTTTACTTACCACAGTATTGTTATCCTCTAGAATTGCATCGTATTTTTAACATTAACCATTAATAACACACATTCCACTGCCTGTACTGACCGATACATATTTAGCGAATTTCTAATGACCTTGTCCCACATTTCAAACAATTGAAATCGTGCAATATACTACATTTGTAGTTTTCCAGATCTCGCGAGATTTCAATACTCATTCATAATATTTTACTATGACACGGGAAACTCGTGCAGACGGCCGTAGGCAGACAGTAATTGTTCGAGCGCTATCTATGTTTATTTTAACGCTTTTTTTTAGCTCGACTTTTCTATGAAAAGGGGAGCTATCCTACTCGCCCCGGCGTCGGCGTCGGCGTCGGCGTCGGCGTTGGCGTCACACCTTGGTTAAGTTTTTCGTACCACCCCACTTTATTTCAGAAGTATTACAAGTATGGCTTTGAAACTTACCATACTTGTTCACCATCATAACCTCCATCTACAGACAAGAGTACATAACTCTGTCAAGGTTTTTGACAGAATTATGGCCCTTTTTTTGACTTAGAAAGTGTATTGAGCTTGGTTAAGTTTTTTTGTACCACCTCACTTTATTTCAAAACCATTGGAGGTATTGCTTTGAAACTGACCATACTTGTTTACCATCACGACCTTCATCAACAGACAAGAGGACATAACTCTGTCAAGGTTTTTGACAGAATTATGCCCCTTTTTGACTTAGAAAATACATTGAATATGGGTAAAATCCACTTATTGCCTTAACCCTTTGAGATATTGCTTTGAAACTTTTAATGCTATTTCACATCATTACCCCCATCTGTACGCAAGAGAAGGTAACTCTGTCAAGGATTTGTTTTAAAAATTAAGGCCTTTTATCAAACTTTGCTGCAGTGTTCAAGGGTATCACACAATTCAGTAAAATAATTCTTCACTAAATATCTTAATGCTCATGGCCATTGTTCACTTTAAAAATACAGAGATTCTTGTATTGCCTTTTACTGCAAAAACTTTTTTTATTGGCAAGCAATAAAAAAGTCGAGCGCGCTGTCTTACGGACAGCTCTTGTTTATTTTTGTTTTTCTCTTTCTGACTGTTATACTAAATACCGGTCACCATTGTTTTTGTTTTTTTTGTTTTTTGTGTGTGTTTTTTGTCTGTTTTTTCGTGTGTTTTTTTACAAAGAATTTTCTACTTATTTAAAAGAATAGGTTATATCATGTACCTTATTTACATATGATTAAGGAAAAAGTATTATATAATGACCTGTGTTGATATATGCAACAATAAGTTATGTATTCTAGTGGTGAGAGAATAGCTGTCCCCATGTTGTTTAACAATTAAACGCTTGATTTTGATACTTTCAATTAAAAAAATAAGAACCCACATTTATACCATTGTATTTAGTCATACTGTTCTATGTAACGTGACTCAAAAATAAAAGTATTTGTTGTTGTTGTTGTTGTTGTCGTACTTATGGCGGACTGACTTTTTATGGCTTACTGACTTTATAAAATTACTGTCTTGATATTCCCAGTTTAATAGACAGTTCTTAAAAATGGAAGCTTGAAAAAGGCCATTTACAAATTCAGCCGGTTAAGTCTTATCAGTGTCAGAATTATCGGCTGCTCAAGTTTTATCTAATTTTTTCTTGCAGCCCATCACATTAACCTTTTCTAGTACAAGTATCAAATTGAATAGTATGTTGAGAAAAATGCCCTCAGGTTTTATTTGCAAACAAAGTGTGAACTATGTCTCCCATATTCAATGCATATAAAACGTTTTTGAAACATTCGTGTCCTGCAAAAATATTTAAAAAAATATTATATACAAAGAATGAAAATTAGAAAATCCTGCAAACTCAAAATTTTCTAAGAAATTACATACGTTCTTTTTAAAAATTTCATAGCAAACTTAAAGGAAGAAAACTGATCACCTGCTTGTTTTGCATTACTTTTGTTGTAGATAAACCAGTTCAAGAAATGTCTGTGAAAATTGGCCTCCTTTTCAATAGCAATAAGGAGAAGGAATATTTTCAAAGTCTGCCCTTTAATCAAAGGGCGGACATCTCTGTTTGTCCCTTTTTCGTATGAGAAGAGAAATTCTGTGATGCGTGTATATGGTCGCACGGTCACTTTCCTTGCAACATGTCGTCGATGCATGTATGTGGTCGCATGGTCGAAAATCTTTAATTAAATGGCAAAATTTTCAAAATTTAAAGTGTTTTGGTACGGAACAGTCTGTGTTCAAAAACGGTTAAATTCGTAATAATGGGTTAAAAAAGTACTTTGTTAATTCTGTTTGGGAGTTTAAAAAGCCTTATTAGGACGTTTCCACTTCTAGTTAGATACAACTGTGATACTGCCCGTTACAACTTAGTAAGAATTTTTACTCATAATTAGGAGAAATTAACCAAATTACAACTAAAAATGTGCCTACCTTAAAAAAGCAGAGGGGACGCGACATTCCATTATATCCCAAAGTTACTATTTTCTCATTGTGAATTATAATTCAATACCACTAGCTAATTTAATTTTTTCATAAATATACTTCTTGTGAATTTAACGCTCAGCGAAAATCGTGCGACATTAATCGTCGTTGGGCCATATAACGGCGCAACAGACACAGTATAAATAAATAGCGTCATTATAAAAACGGGTAGTTTTTTTAGGGTAGTTTTTTTACGAAAAGACCAACTTTATTTGACCTGTAACAGGAAACGCAGCCTCCCATACATAGTTTATTCGTCCCTTTATTAACAATAGAGAAAATAAGAATGCCAGACATATTCCGTAAGAATTTTGTACATTTCAAAATAAATTGAATTTCTGTGACTCAAGGATGAGCATACTATATCTTTAACAACAGTTACTACTTAGATAAATCTATTCCGTAAATTTCGAAGCGTCTGATTATCTGAATTAGTAGCAGAACGTTGAGCAATTGCACTTAAAAACGGAAATATAGGGTATATATAATATATAAAGAAAACAAAACAACAAAAATACAAAAGGAAAACAGTAACAACAATAAAAACAACAACAAACAATTAAGCAATATACAGTTAGAAATACAAATGAACTTTGAAAATCGGGTTTTTTTTACGTGTGCATTTCTTAGCAAGATTAAGTGGAGTGTTGCAAACCTTTTCGAATTTTGGGCATTATTTTGGATATTTTTTCACAATAAAAATAATTATTTTTGGAAAAAAGGAGTGAGCGAATGATCTAAAATTTTACATACAGGGTACCAGTTTAGACCAACACAAAAATAAACAATAATCTCGTAAATTTATTTTTAGTCTCGTCTTGTCAAAAAAAGTCAATGAAGTCCCTTTAATAATAATAATACTGTGAAAATAACATTGACAAATACACAGTCAACAAACAACCAAATATGTTAATATGGTGTCCTAAACTCTTATGCCAAAATAGAAACATTTAGTTTTATTAGTACAACTTATTTGATTTCACATCAAAACATTTGCACAGTCGTACCGGAGTCAGCAAAGCGGTATGTGATAAACAGAAATATAGATATAGCAATTTATAAAATAAGCAATATAGCAAAATACAAAAAATAGCCATACATCAATATAAATGAATGGGCTATTATGTAGCAATATACAAAAAGATAGCAACTACAATTTTCAGTTTAACCATTAGTATGCTAAGCGGCAGATGAAATAAACGTGTACTATATATATGTTATTGACCAGCGAAAACTTATTCCTAGCTTCAAAAAATGTACAAAGAGCTAATTACAGAAGATTGGGGCCTTTTGTTTAAAAGAAATAATGTATTTTTCAGATTCGCTGAAAAAGCTAACAAGCTTTTAGCCTGCAAACATTACATGTATCAATAAAACATTACAGTAGAACAGTCTACTTTAACTATAGTGTGACATCTGAGGGTTCATACTATGCATGTGTGTATGTAGGAGGAGGAAGCCCAAAAATGGGTCGTTGGTGCCAAGCGAAAGGCCTGCCTTTCATGCCGTCTACATGTATCTGTGTTAGGGGCTCAAGCACTCTAGCACACTTTCCTCGTCGTCCCTGTTTACATTGTTGGGCCACTCCCTTTTCATGGAATGACAATTCTGTGTCACATTGAAGGTTCCATGATAACCGCCGTATAATCACATCTGCGGATGTTTCTTAATTCAAAATTTCACGATTTTTGTGTTAAAATGTTGAATTCTGCTTAAGCCGGTGTTAGGGGGCGTGGACGGTAACTTGCACTTTCCAGTGCCGTCCATGAACAGGCTCAATCAAACCGAGCCTGTAACATTTTACAATTTTGCGGTGTTGGGCTTTCTTTGGGGATTCTATTTTTCACTATTTAGACAGGACATCGACCGCTGGTCCGCAGTTACAACTACGATGGCGACAATATGACAGTGCGATTGTGGCAGGACAGTACGATGTTGATGCGCGACAGTATGATGCTGACAGTACGTACTGTCACACTTTCTTCGAACTGTCATGCTTTGCGCTTTTCGTTCTCACAGCAAACGCGCTGGCCATTATCGTACACCGTTTAATTATCACCACTTTGTGCTTCAACATCAACCCATTAAGGGCATGACTGGTGACATGTCCGGGCGAACGCTGCTTTTTTATTTAATGTGCGGATGGACGCTCATTAAACACAGAATACACACATTCAAGTTTCATCAAAAACTGCCATGTGGTTTAACACGGCTTCAGATGTTAAGATTTTTTCTATTTTTAGGCTTGGTTGCCCCATCATGTTCAGCAGACTGGAGGCATTTGAGTATTTTTTATAGAGGACCATCCAATTGAATTCCTGTATAGTTTCATGACTATTTATTTAAGATTAGGTGTTTAAGTAAAACGTTTTACCAGCAGGGTGATCACAATAGCTCAATTTCAGCACGCTGTCCCCTGGCAAGCTTAAATATCGGTAATTATGTTTAAAGAAGATTTCCAGACTAGAAAAATTAGCGACAAAAATAAATCAACAACACAAACACAGTGTTTTATCACAAGATATCTTTATTTCATATCTAAATGTATAAAAGTAATAAGTAAACATGTAGAAATAAAATTGATTCTATCTGTTACACAATAGACTCATGAAAATGAACTACAACATGTACACATGTACTTGTAAACATAATTACGAACATTCTAACATTCTAAAAGATCCTGTGACACAATTTGTTTTATGGTTTTATATCATAAATATGATGCTCAAATTAAGATTTATTAATTTTGTAAGTTCCAAAAAGCATTATTTATAAAGATATTACCGAATTTAACATTTCATGTTAATAAAGGGAGGTAATTAAAATTTTATTTTCTATAAAGTCTAAGTCATTTTTTTCAATAAGACATGAATGCATATATTTTAATAATTACATATACATGTAATATGTACACATATTTGCAGTACATATTTTACAAATTCTTCTATGTTGAAAATTGTTTTATAAGCATAATTATATACATATATATAATTTCACTTAAGTATGGTGTACCATCTCAATTTCAACATAACATACAAACGTTCATAATTCATTCCACAATCTGTTTGTTCAAATCAATGAATTTTATTCCCCTTTATGAGAAAGATAAGAATATCTCAAAAACTTGTTCAAACTTTAAAGTTTATATTTATAAAGCTATACACCTGCCGAAAAAAATTATTGTTTGAATTTTAAAAAGCATAATTCCAAAATACTGGCATGAAAAAAATGCCTTCAAATCAAATACCTCATCCACAAACTCATTTCTCAAAATAGCTGAATAATATTTTGTTCCGTAATAATATATTCTGTTTACGTACAATATTCAAGGGTATTAAAAACAGAGAATTTCTAAGTTACAATTCTTTTGTGAACTGACCATAACATTATTGTACCTGTAAAATTTTTCTATTGATGAAGATAGAGCTTTATACCATTTAAGAAACAAAAGCTTTCAGTGAGACAATGCATTCTAGTATACTAAGTGGACTATAAAAAAAACCCCAAAAAGCCTGGGTAATGAATTAAGTTCACATAGGGGAAAACTTCATTCAAAAATCCACAACACAATTTTACAAAATCACAAAGGACTTTTATTTAGTCAGAAACCATGCAAGAGTTACGGGCCTTACATGTCTCTCTTCAATCATGATCACAAAAACATAATAAATTATCATTATTTATGTGAAGAAAATATCGTAAATATCTTAAATGTTTACAGATATTAATCTTGCATGCCAAAATTTAAATATGGCATTTTCTGAAGCTGGTGTATTTCAGTTAAATCAATGCCAGAGTTGCAGTTCTTGAAAATATATTTTATGAAATAATCCAAAAGTCATGTGTGATCTTTCAAGCAAATATCTTCAAAAGTTGAACATTGATCTTGCATGCAATTTCCCAAGGGAAATTTCTTAGTGATCAAAGAGCAATAATTCAGTCCATGAGTTATGTGCCTTGGACAGTGAACAGAAGTTATGAGGGAAGTGTCAAATCTTCTGTGATTTTTTATTAATGAAGTTGAACATGAAATTAATATAAAAAATTTTTTTAACCAACGTGTTAAAGCAGCATGCTAACTTTCATGAAAGTGTATTTAAGTAAAATTTAAAAGTAAAATGTTGCGAAGTAAACAAATAAAGTAATTTACACATACGATCCGCGTAAATTACCAAAAAGAGGTCAAAATATACATAAATACCTCTTACTGCATTAGTAACACAGTAGAATTATAGTGATTGATACTGCAAAATCAGTCATTAATCGTACATAACATGTAATTAATGTAGAGGATATTGAATGAGTGTAGGTTTAATACTAAATTTATTGAACGAGTTGAATAAAATCATATTATGCGAGCCTCTGGCGAGCATAATATTGTTTTATTCAACGAGTTCAATAAATTTAGTATTGAATCTACACGAATATAATATTCTATTTATCACATATATAAAATAAGAACGGTAAACTGTTAACAAGAGTCATTTCTATTTGACGCGCCTATAGTGTAACGCTAACATTAGCGCGCTTTAACGCTATGTTTATAGCGCAAATGACGTTACGTCAAAGTGTTATTACTCTAGTGTAATATTGTCTAGTGTAATATCGTTTTTATTAAATGGCTTTATTACACTCCTGCGTCGCGGTTTATGTGATAATAGTTAAATATTGAATCTTTTTACTTTTCTTAAGATCTTAATACATTTTTCTAAAGATTGAATTTCTTGAAATATTTTGGCTCTTCTGGAGGCGTGCAGCTTTAAACTGACAAACATCTTAGTTGGTTAGCTCCACTTTTTTTTAACTTGTCAAACTTTACATTCATACAAGGTCAGTTCAGAAGTATGCATTGTGTACCCTTGTGTTTTTCTGGATATGGTAACTAACAACTATGAAATGAAGAAATGTGATTGGTAATAGAAGTTTGCCAGCTGATAAACTTATGTTTAAATGTGATTATTTTTTATTGATTTAAACTCATTATTATATTTCTTTAATTGCTTTAAGCTTTTGTTGTTGTTATTTTTTCAACCATAATTCAAATCTAGTTAAGTCTAGACAGTATTTCAATAATTTATACAAAATGCATTACTTTAAAAAAAAACATATTATTTTTTTCTCTTTCAGCTTATTTAAACTGCCATTAATTATGTCCTACAATATTGAGTTTAATGGTTATATTTGTTCAATAGAACACATTACATGGATGAATAGGAAAATACATAATCATTCCATTATGAAATAAATATCAACCTATTAAAAATAGATTTATGCCCCAAACTAATATACAAAGTATTTATATAATGTATAAAAATAGTAACAAAAACAAGTGGAAGCAAGAACCATAGAGTGCTCTATGGCAGACCAGTGCCAGTATAAAAATCAATAAAAACATCAACAATTTATGTGTGTATTGCATTACTGGACTGCATTCTTCCTAACTTAACCAACATCATTTGTACCTGATGATTGTTGAAAACATGAAACTGTCCAGTAGGGCAATAAAAACATAAAATGTTGACTCCTTTATCGTTTATTCACGTATAAAAATAGATAGCTTCCATACATTGTCTTGATTATCATAAAAAAATGTTTGGGTTGAGCATCCATACAAGACAAATGAGCCGCATCATGACAAAACCAACATAATGGGTTTGCGACCAGAATGGATCCAGACCAGCTTGCGCATCCGCACAGTCTGATCAGGATCTATGCTGTTCGCTATCAGTTTCTCTATTTGTAATAGAGTTTGTAAGCGAACAGCATGGATCCTGGTCAGACTGCGCTTTTTGATAATTTAAAAAAAAATAGTTTTCAGAAGTAAACCCCTTGTCTAACAACTGGATCCATGCTGGTCGCAAACGCATTATGTTGGTTTTGTCATGGCGCGGCTCATATAATGAATATTGGTGTAGAAGGCTCACTAGTTATATCTAATTGAACAATATACAACTTTAGTATTAACATTGACTCAATGTTGAAATAAATATTAAACTTACATAGATAAATCACATATAAAGGGACAGATAAATTGTAAAGCAATACAAAAAACATTGTTTGCTGACCAATATTCACTCTCATCCTGTTGGATTTGAAAGTGATCACCTTTGCCACCAGTATAGAGCCATGCCAGCGGCCAGGCCTGCACATCTGACAAACTATTAGCTGACTAAATATTCATCTCATTTTTACATTCTACACTCATACTGATTAGAATATATCACAGAATCATATTGTATATGTACATGTACCAGGTCTATCAAATAGCCTGTAAAAGTGTAAAAACGAAAACCACATGTTTGTTAAAAGCAACAACTACCAATAAGCAATAAGCAAATTTGACAAAAATTCTAAGCAAAACTGTAACATGGAATGAAAAAAGAAGCACTGCATGCGGTGTCAATGCTTTTTGATACATTTTTTAAGATAAATAGGGGAATTACTCCAAAACTAGAAATGTGTCCATAGGACACGGGTGCCCCCACCGCGCCACTGTTCTGTCAATCTTTTTACTAAGTCAAGGGAAATAACTCTACAAATACTGGATAAATCCACAAGCGAAACCCCAGGTGCAAATCTAAAATATGCTGAGCAACCTGCCCATAAGGTTTAATGACTATGTCAAATCCTTTTTGAGAAACTTGCAACACAAGTTGAAAATTGCAAAAATTTTCTAAGTGAAGGGCAATAACTCTAAAAATACTAAATAAATCCAGACGAAAATACCTGGTGCACAACTGCACATGCTGATCAATATTCCTGTAAAGTAACATGACTCTAGGTCAAATACTTTTTGAGTTACGTGCGACACATGTTGAAAATTGCCAAATTTTACTCAGTCAAGGGCAATAACTCTGAAAATACTAAAAATATCCAGACGAAAATACCCAGGTGCACAACTACACATGCTGATCAACATTCCTGTAAAGTTTCATGACTCTAGGTCAAATACTTTTTGAGTTATGTGCGACACAAGTTGAAAATTACAAATTTTACTAAGTCAAGGGCAATAACTCTGAAAATACTAAAAATATCCAGACGAAAATACCCAGGTGCACAACTACAATGCTGATCAACATTCCTGTAAAGTTTCATGACTCTAGGTCAAATACTTTTTGAGTTATGTGCGACACAAGTTGAAAATTGCAAAATTTTACTAAGTCAAGGGCAATAACTCTGAAAATACTAAAAATATCCAGACGAAAATACCCAGGTGCACAACTACACATGCTGATCAACATTCCTGTAAAGTTTCATGACTGTAGGTCAAATACTTTTTGAGTTACGTGCGACACAAGTTGAAAATTGCAAAATTTTACTAAGTCAAGGGCAATAACTCTGAAAATACTAAAAATATCCAGACGAAAATACCCAGGTGCACAACTACACATGCTGATCAACATTCCTGTAAAGTTTCATGACTGTAGGTCAAATACTTTTTGAGTTACGTGCGACACAAAAGTGAACAGACGGACGGACGGACGGAAGGACGGACAGACGGACAAGGGTAAATCTAAATGCCCGCCACTAACGTGGGGGCACAAAAATAGTATTCAGAATTAAACCCCTTGTCTAACAACTGCACCATGACAAGAAAGCACGTATTCCAAGTTTCATAATGAACTTTAAATTTTTTGAAAAATGGTCTACATGTACGTTATTGTTTTTGAATGGAGGCAACCATGATGACAACATAAATGATGCAGCGATATTAATAGGTCAACCTTATCTTTGAAACAGATAAGCTAAAAGTACCACCACTGAGTTTCCATTATTCATGTACTTGTGTATGTTTATTTACAAAGTTTTGTTTATATAGTCAGCACTAGTAAACCATTAGCTAAAAAGTGTTTGTAATTTCATTTGTTATCCAAAAAAAGCGAATATATTTTCCAGAAAAGTCAGCTGATTTTTTTTCTATAAACAATAATAATAATAACATGCCTGACTTTGTCAAAACTGTCAAATGAAAATTAACATTACAAATTCGCTGTATCATAACAAAAATTGTAACAACCTTGCCAATTCAATTATTCTTTTTGCTGGGTTTACTGTTGCACCAACGCAGTAGAGGTCATCTTAAGAATTTCCAGCTTTATTTGTGGAGGAAGACCTCAGGTGCCCTTCCCTGAATTATTTCAGGCATGAACAGGCCACCTCATTAGAACCCCCCACATTCAGTAAGCTAGCTTGATAGCTACCTCACATGAAACAATTTTAAGTCACTGATGTGTTCAAAGTCACAGCGGAGAGGAGAACATAACTCGGATGCCCCAAAACTTAATTAATATAGAACATAGAATAAGCAGTTAAATTCAATCAAAAATACATAAACACATAACATTAGTATGCTTGCTATGTTTTACAGAGTTCAGTAGCACCATTTTGTACTTCTATACTGGTCTGCTTAACTAGCGGTCCTCGGTTTAAGTCTTGAACAAGTTCACTTAACAACTGTGCTAATTTAGCTTTGTCAATCTTCTTCACAAATTTTGCACCTATAATAGATAAGTATAACATTAGCATGCTAGAATGATATCTGTAAAAGAAAAATAAAAAAATCTCAATCTTGACCAGGTTATTTTATAGTGTTGCATCTAGAATTTCAAAATTATGGGGGATTGTCCCCCACTCAACTGAAAAATGTGGGGGATTTGTTAAATATGTGGGGGAGTCCCTGACATGCGTTTACCTAACAATATGATGTACCGGAAAGAATTTATTTATTTTATGTTTAGGCATTTTGACACCTATTTTCCACTTAGCAAAGGAAAATGAAAAAAATGAAATATTGACAAATACAAGTAAACCACACCACCTGCTGGAGCTAAGAGATGCAATGACTCCAGAATGTTGAACCCATAATTTGCCTCTTACAATCAAGCAGGGACAAATGGTTGCTGCAATTCTGACACCTCAACTCTAAATTTGTGTATGTTTTGCCAATTGTGAAACCGACAGAGACGCTGTACCCATTGGTAAAACTATAGAACAAAATTATTGTAACTATGCCATTAGACTAGTCTTACCATCCCATTCCCATTGCTGAAGTATTGTATCCAATCTGTTGTGAGTATTATGTTGAAATGTTTCCGCTTTTGTGACTAGATCATTTAAAACACTCTCATCGTCGTCAACTGTAAAAACATAAAACATTATTGCAATTATAAAGTACATTTAATATAAAGTATGTTATCAGCGTATTTTGACCTTAATATAAACATTAAAGCGAGAATAAAAAAAGTGTTGGCACACCATACTAAATACTGTATTTAGGTATATACCGGCCAAGGTGCTCGAGAGGTTTAATGCTGATATCTTGTATTTTCAGTCACTGAAATGCACTTTAAGATGTCTAATTCAACTCTTCATATTCATGAATGTACGATTATGAATAAAAAAAGAATCTACAGAAAAAACAATATTTTTCTACTTTGTGACCATGATTTCTGCATGCGTCTAGAGGTACTGCTCCAACACTGTAGTGATTTAAATCCAACATTAAACCATATTCAATCAGTAAAAAGCCAGGTCAAATGAATATATATGCCTACATGACCCTAACCTGCCCAATTTCAATTATCAGATTACGACAAGGTGTTTGTTAACAAAAGAACACTGCTTTGCTGTTAAATCATTTGCTAATGATATGCGCGTAAAAGGTCAGTGTGTGGACCTTTCAGTCTACATTTGCACCAAAACTTAACTTAAAGCAGCACGCCTCAAGATTCATGCTAATTTTCATGACAATTTTTCAAAATGTATTTGAAGGTATAATATTGTGAAGTAACCAAAAAGGAAGCAATTTACACATTATCAATGGCACTTGCAACCCACATAAATTACCAAAAAGATGTAAAAATATGCAAATATAGCCCCTACTGTGTTAGTAATGCAGTAGAAATATTGTTATAGCTACTGAAAAACTAGTCATTAATCACACACAATATGAAAATTAGAATCATTTTACTTTTGCTGAAGTTTTAGTACATTTTTCAAAATCCTGGTTTTATTTTTTTATTATTTATATAATTTTTTTGGCTAATCAGGAGTCATGTAGCTTTAAAATTTTGATATCAAAGAATACAGGGATCAAACCCAGGATACAAAATAACAAATCAAGCAGGGTTAGGAATAAACATTTAAATAAGAATCTACTTTTTTGAGATTTCAAAATACCATGCTTTTCCTGTACTACCGTATGTGTATTTTCTATACTAAAATGTTGCTAATATTTATTTTTGTATACACATATATCAAATAGTTTATGTTTTGTTTTGTTTTGTTATATCATATGGTTCTACATCACACCAACACAGTATAGGTTATAAGGCAACTTTCAAGCTTTATTGGTGTAGGAAAACCTCCCATGCATTATTTGAGGCATGAACCTGAGTAGAACCACCGATATACCGTTAGCTAGCTGGATAGCTTCCTCACATAAAAAAAAACCCACAGGTGTGAGGAGCAAGTTGTTTGAACTCAACAACCTCCACCACTTGGCCACGAACCCTAAATAAGCTTTGTAAATATTTGTACTGTACCTTTTGGAGGTAGTATACAATATGCTATTATATTTCGTAAAGACTGTATAGTCATCTCACATGTCGTTACCTTTCTAACTATGCTCTCACTTTCATCATTGCTGCATTCCCTTAAACATAATAATATATTGAGCTGCATCATGACAAAACCAACATAGTGCGTTTGCGACCAGCATGGATCCAGAAAAGCCTGCGCATCTGCGAAGTCTGATCAGGATCCATGATGTTTGCTTACCAACCCTATTACAAGTAGAGAAACTGATAGCGAACATCATGGATCCTGATCAGATTGTGCGGATGCGCAGGCTGGTCTGGTTCCATGCTGGTCGCAAACGCACTATGGTGGATTTGTCGTGACACGGCTCAATTAACTTTTACTGAGCAATCAACATTCATGACAATATGTGTATCAATGAGTAACAGTAAAGTCACTTTTTTGAGTACCAACTCATTTTATGTCATTTTGATTACAAGTCAAGTCAGTTTGTGCATTATTGATAAATGTCAAGTATTTAGTAGATGTTTGATCAATTGTCAAATTATTTATATATTAATAATGCTCAATAATTGTGTTATTTGTTCTTAAATAATAATAACATGTATCACAATTTGTAAAGCAAAGAACAAGTAAAGTCATTATGATTGAGGAAATTTTTGCAATTCAAATCAATAGAATACTGACCTGTATTTCCTTTTCCTGAGTATAGGATTATGTGATTCATCAAGAGGTTTAAGTGTAAGTTGACATTGTTCTGTGCGTAATATTGTCAATTGCTGTGAATGAGCAAGGTTAATATCCTCGAGACTTTGCTGGAAAAAAAACAACAACAAGAAAATGTGAATATGGAAATCTAAGTAAAAAAGGGACATAACTTTGCTGGCTATAATTCAGAATTACCACACTTCACATTTTGATAATGAACAAGTGTGAAAAGATTTGATAGTGTCTGAGAAGATTAAATTTAACTTTTAACCTATTACAGGTCAAAGTGACCTTGACCCTTGACCTTTTTAACTAATAAATTAGCATCACAGGTAGAAATCATCCAGGTGCATCTACTTACCAAGTTAATGCATTTTAATTTAATAGCCAGATTTATGTTTTGTTATTACAGCGCTATGTAACCTTGACATTTGACCTTTTGACCTAAAAAGTAGCTATTACTTAAACAGTTAAATTATACTTTATAAGCATACTAAATTAATGCATTTTATTTTAATAGCCAGATTTATATTTTGTTATTACAGCGCTGTGTAAACCTTGACATTTGACCTTTTGACTTGAAAAAAAAAGCTATTACTTTAGCAGTTAAACATCATACTTTATCTGCTATTATAGCTGGGGAATGAAGTTCGTTATCTGGAGCATCTTCAAGCCAGGTCAACATCATTACATCATCTATATTCAGTCGGTGGGTCGGATCTACATGTAGTAAACTGAAATATACATATGTCGAAGGTTATCAAGTTATGTGTCAGAAATGAAACTAAAGTTGCAAGGTCTGTTTTAGAATTTTGCTTTTTAATAATGTTATAGTATAGACATCATTTTTAAAGGATTTTTAAGATTGTGTGTTCACCTTAAAATATTTTATAAGAAATATAAATATAATGCAAAACAACTATTATATGAGAATAAATCAAATAACAGTTATTTAGTAACATACATGTATGTTAATTTGTAAAGTAATAACATATCAAGAGGAAGTGAAGTGTGAAATTCTATTTTTAGCCTTAATGGCATTTACACAATCATCATGAAATCCAACTGAGCAAAGTGGGAACATCTATTTTTAGCCTCACTAGCATTTACACAATCGTCATAAAATCCTACGAAACTGAGTTCCGTAGAAAGTGCTTATATGCCAAATATTTATGACATTAGTTAAATAAATGAATGTACTATTTGGAGCAGCAAAAAAGTAACATGGTATGAAAAGAGCCCTGCATGGGGTGTAAACATTCATCTGTTAAAAATTCTAGGTCAAAAAGGGACATAACTAAAAAAATTGCTTTCAGAATTATGCCTCTTGTCTAACAACTGCACCTGACATGACAAGCAAGTATTTCTAATTTCATAATGATAACTTTTGAAATCTTTGAAAAATAGGCTACATTAAAGTTTTTGCATCACTACACCGATGTCAACAATGACGAAGCAACATTTATAACAGCTGGAATTTTTCTATTTCTCTGAAACTGACAAACTAAAAATGGCTAGATCTATATGCTCAATCGCAAAATTTTAGAAATTTTAAAAATATGTACATGTACATTTACCAATATCTGCACTAAAATCACACCATGCTAATTTTAAATCCGATTTACAGGAATCATCAATTAAATAAATCAAATGAACAAAATTTTAAGAAATAAATTACTTATAAAATAAATTAAATTTTTAAGATATAAATTAACTTCAAGAAGATATGTGCTCACCTTTTGACAAGTTGTTTTGCGTTATCTGAAACATGACACCATTCATCTTCAGGAAAATCAAATTCTCCGGACAGAATCTTCCGTCTCATCTCCATGGTGATCTGTCTGCTGGGGGTCTCCGAGTAGAATGGAGGGTATCCACAAAGCATAATGTATAATATAACTCCTAAACTCCACATATCACATGACTAGAGGGAATAAATATTTATTATTAGTATATGATTTTAAAACTTGATGTTAAAAAAATTATGTGCATGTTTTTTTTTTATTGGTGTCTTTTTTCTATATAAATAATATAAAGTACTTAAAAAATATGTTCTTTTGACAAACTTTCATATAGAACTGTAAATTAATATAAACACTGTTAAATGTAAGATGTAATATTATGGGACAAGGAATAAAGGACAAGATAGACAATCGATCAATACATCTGGTGTGTAGATCATAATTATATTAATGTTGCTATTATAGAAATCACATTGATGAATTTCCAAAATAAGACCAATTATACCAAAGGTTTGTCTGTTAAAAATCTTGCACTAGTTGGTTTATATCTCTATTAATTACACCTGACTAACAAAATACCCATTTACAACGATCCAAAATACAAAGTGGCAGCATAATTATGCTGCTGACTTAACAAAATGACACTGCTGGGCTAATCTCCACTTGTTTGTCCCAATATATTATGTTCTAAATTAAACGTTTTGACACTTTCACATAAATCATGTAGAATTTGTTTTGTTTAAGTAAAACGTGATCAAGTAAATAAAAAACACTCAGGACTTTTTAACAGAGTAAGAACCCTTCCCATGATTTTTTTTTGAAAATAACACTGTTTTTTTGTAAATGGGGAAGAAAAAAAATTTATAATAAGACTTAACTTTAAGGGAAAAACTGCATGATGTTAAAGACTTTACCAGCAGGGAAGAGGCCAATAAATAGCCTATGCTATAAAGGGGAAAAACACTGAAGTTTTCAACAAACATTAATCATAATATGGAGGTTGTTAGGTTACCTTGTCATAGGTATATGGTTTGGAGGTAGGTATGATTCCTCGTTTAAGTCGAGATTGATGCCTGTGTGCTTCTAAAACCTAAACGAAACAAAATTCAGCTTGCCATTATGATAAATAAATAACTTAAAGCTTAGATAAACTTGTCTGAACTTTTATTCGTTGTTAAAGTCTAGATTAATGTCAGTGGGCTTCTAAAACCTTGACAAAAATATAAATTTATTCAACTTTTCTTCATGATAAATAAATGACTTATATTTTAGATAAACATGTCTGAACTTTTATCCCTTACTTAAGTCTAGATTGATGCCGATGTGCTTCTAAAACCTAGACAAAAAAAATTCAACTTGTCATTTATGATAAACAAATAACTTAAAGTTAAGATAAACTTGTCTAAACTTTTATCACTCATTTAAGTCTAGATTGATGCTGGTGTGCTTTTAAAACCTAGACAAAAATATAAATATATTCAACTTTTTTTATGATAAATATATTACTTAAATCTCAGATAAACTTGTCTAAACTTTGATCCCTTACTAAAGTCTAGATTGATGCCGATGTGCTTCTAAAACCTAGACAAAAAAATTCAACTTGTCTTTTATGATAAATAAATAACTTAAAGTTTAGATAAACTTGTCTAAACTTATATCCCTTGTTTAAGTCTAGACTGATGCTGGTGTGCTTTTAAAACCTTGTCAAAAATATAAATATATTCAACCTTTCATTATGATAAATCAATAACTTATGTCTCAGATCATATTGTCTAAGCTTTGATCCCTTACTTAAGTCTAGTTTGACTAAAACCAAAAGTAAGACAAAATAAAAATATATTCAACTTTCCATTATGATAAAAAAATAACTAAAGGCCTACAAGCTTGTAATTATATATTGATCCAACAGGAGCCTAGTGTACAATGAATTAAGATGCATAAAAATATTTCGTAAATATACACTGTATGTTTAAACATTACACATAACTTACCTGAGGTGCCACATAATATGGAGTAAAGTATGGTGTCTGTAGACTGCCATCATCTACTTTTGCAAACCCAAAATCTGACAGTTTTAATTCAGCTTCCTGTAAAATGTAAATAAGCCTAGCTTTCAGGTCTTAGGTCGATTATATCTTTATCTATGATAATCTCTGGTTTAAAAAAAAAAAGTTTGTACAGTAAGGCCATCCTTAAAAAAATGCCTGTTTGCAGTAACCCGACCCAGAATTTTCAAGGTGGGTAGGTAGGTCGATTTTTTTTTTTATTTATTGAACTGTACTCCCAAATAAACATGGAATTTCAAAATGCTGGACAATATATGCTTTGATAATCTGGTAACAATTGATAAATTGATAACTGAATTCTAATTTAATAAGACCTACATTTTATTTCTTCTATTAACCTTTTAAAGAACGAAAACAAAGCACAAGACATAATTTTTTGATTCAAAAAAATTTTTTTTTTATCCAGACCATGAAAAAAAAATTTGAGTAGGGGCAAATTTTGTGAGTCAGTCGCGTTACTGCAAACAAACATTTTTTTAAGGATGGCCTAAGTGTTAAATCTATCAGAACTGAAAGATGTTATATTAGCGGTTCAAGTTCTGAGATGAAAATACCAGACCTAAGCCAACACCACAGAGCAAGGTCAGTCTCACCAACATTGCAGTCTTGTTGACCAGACCCTACACTAATGGCTACTCTATTCTACAATTTTGATATTCAAATCCAAATAACAATGCCGACTGAACCCAATTTTTAAACTTTTTTCAGGTGTTTGTTTGGTTTTAAGTAAACACAAACAAATTTAAAAGGTCAAACTGGCTTCACTGGGAGAAGGAGGACATTAGGTGCCCCTTTGTGCATAATTCAAGGCAGCTTAGCAAGCACCTGAGTACATGGAGTAGAAGCATCAATCTTCTTTTAAGCTAGCTGGGTAGATTCCTCACATGAAAAACTCCTAATGACCCTGAAGGATTTTGAACCCACAAAAGTAAAAACCAAATGAAGTTTACTCAATTAGGACAAAGGTTATCATATATATAAAACATGTGAAGAGTTTATTATGCTTCATGTAGAGCTGTTAAGTCAATTTTTTTTAACAGATTCAGTATTACCTCTGTGTTATCTGCCAGTAATATATTTTCAGGCTTCAAAGTCCTGTGTGCTATATTTAGACTATGGCAATGCCTCACTGCTTCAGCAATCTAAATAGAATAAATGATTGGATAGAATCTAGTTTAGCGGATATTCAAGTACAAATTATTACAGTCTTGATGATTCAGGACAAACAATCATCATTTTTATAGTACAGCATTTTTATATTTTAACATGTTTATCATATATTGCTTTTTTTAAAATGTTTATTTGTATATAAAATAAATTTTTTCATTGGCTACTAGCAGAATTTGCATGGAAACATAAACAAGAGCTGTCCGTAAGACAGCGCGCTCGACTTTTTTATTGCTTGCCAATAAAAAAAGTTTTTGCAGTAAAAGGCAATACAAGAATCTCTGTATTTTTAAAGTGAACAATGGCCATGAGCATTAAGATATTTAGTGAAGAATTATTTTACTGAATTGTGTGATACCCTTGAACACTGCAGCAAAGTTTGAAATGTTTAAGTCAAAAGAGGGCTGGTAAGAAAAAAAAAAAAACTAGTTGTTTGATACCCTTGAATATTACAGCAATGTTTATATGACATAATTTATGGTAAAGTGAACAAGTGGATAGGAATGAATTTTTTTTAGATTTTTTAAGTTTTTTAGTGCTTGCCTATAATACAAAACATTGACAGTTAAGGGCCATAATTCAAATAAAATCTTTGACAGAATACCTTCTCCTGGACATGTTTGGGAATCATGATTGTAAACAAGTATTCCAACTTTCAAATTAATATCTCAAACAGTTCAGTCAAAAAAGTGGACTGGTACTAAAAACTTAACCAAGATTCTAAGTCGATAAAAGGCCTTAATTTTTAAAAACAAATCCTTGACAGAGTTACCTTCTCTTGCGTACAGATGGGGGTAATGATGTGAAATAGCATTAAAAGTTTCAAAGCAATATCTCAAAGGGTTAAGGCAATAAGTGGATTTTACCCATATTCAATGTATTTTCTAAGTCAAAAAGGGGCATAATTCTGTCAAAAACCTTGACAGAGTTATGTCCTCTTGTCTGTTGATGAAGGTCGTGAATGGTAAACAAGTATGGTCAGTTTCAAAGCAATACCTCCAATGGTTTTGAAATAAAGTGAGGTGGTACAAAAAAACTTAACCAAGCTCAATACACTTTTCTAAGTCAAAAAAAGGGCCATAATTCTGTCAAAACCTTGACAGAGTTATGTACTCTTGTCTGTAGATGGAGGTTATGATGGTGAACAAGTATGGTAAGTTTCAAAGCCATACTTGTAATACTTCTGAAATAAAGTGGGGTGGTACGAAAAACTTAACCAAGGTGTGACGCCAACGCCGACGCCGACGCCGGGGCGAGTAGGATAGCTCCCCTTTTCATAGAAAAGTCGAGCTAAAAAATCTATATTTTCAATATGTCAACTTACTTTCTTAAAATACCGTGCAGCTTTTCTCTCTGTAAAACGTCTCTGTTTACTAATTCTGTCAAATAATTCACCTCCTTCCATCATTTCTAACACCATCAACAAGAAAGGTCTACAAAGTTGAGATATAATACAGTTAAAATACAGTTTTGATTCTACTATCTATTGTTTGTTAATTTTTATGGCAAACCAACACAATTTAAGTCATATGGGGCCGCAAACAGGAAAGATGAATTTAGCTAACCTCGGCTGTTACAAACTTAAAGCAACACAAGGGGTCAAGACCACATCACCTGCTTGAGGTAAGAAATGCATAGACTCCAGTTATTTGAACCCATCTAGTCGCCTTTTATGATCATGCAGCTGAAGCAGGCTGAGGGGAAAAAAGAACCAACTAAGGCTATTTGATTACATACTTTGCTTGTTTATCCCCTGGAAACTGTAGATCGTTGGCATAAACATCATGAACTTTGACAACGTTAGGATGTCCACTACACATGAAGTGTATATTCACTTCCGTCTGGGACTTGGGATTATCTGGTAAACATTTCAGAGCAAAACTTTTGCCAGTCTTCAACTTCTTACATGGTCTGAAATGAAATTAAAACTTTTTTTCTCACTGTACAAAGACTGGCAAAATTCCAACAAATCTAAGAGTCTCTACCATAGTGACATGTCATTTTTATATTAAGTTTAGAGTCTCAATTTCATGCCACATTCATGATTACTGATTTCACTGCTTTACCCCATGGTTTAGGCAACTAGTATACTTAAACTTCTCAAGTCTTGTAGGGGAGCGATTGTCTAGTGGTTAAGGTGCTGCCTCTCAACCCAGGGATCATAGGTTTGAGCCCTTATTGGGTCATGACCATGTTTCTTCATCTGACTACAGTAATGCAGACTCGAAAATGTTTAATAATAAGTTGCAAGAACTTGTTTTGCAACCATGAAAACAAGATTACCTTGTTCATTTGTTTTTTCTGGGTTTTATACTGATTTTAACAATTTTTTTTGGTCATTTAGTTAATAGTGTCAGTGTACTGTAAAATGAGTACATAACATCATTTTAAATAATATTTATTATCAGCATGTAGGCATCTAGAGGAGGGCTAACAATTAAATGCATTGTTAATGTTAACTTAGGCATCTAGAGGAGGGCCAACAATTAAATGCATTGTAAATGTTAACTATACTGAAAACAGGTGTTTTAAAATCAGTTGTCTGTAAGGTTGTTCCCCAGCCTGTACCAACAATTGGAAATTCTGAGGAATGTACTGCATAATTACCATATAAGCAAAAATCACACATTACCAACCCTACTGAAAATAAGTTTTTATTAACTTTATACTTTGAATGATAGGTTACTGTCAGATGCACAGAGGCAACCGTCAGTTTTGTTGCATAACTCATAGATTGCTAAATTATTTTACTATGTATATCCAAAGGAACTTAAAATTCTACCAAATAGCCAATATTAACAATTGACTCAATATTAGTTATTTTATAGAATTTCAAGTTCCTGTGGTATATCTGCGCATAACTTATTACTTAAGGACTTTGATATTAAAATTGTTTACTGTACCATAGACAGTTCAAAATATACTTGTTCATAGCAGAACTTATAGTCAATTATTAGCGAGCTTGACGAGCTGGCCCGAAGGGCCTGCTCGCAAAGCGAGCTTTATGGTTACGCGAGTACCTGCTAAGTGATGGTTTTGAAAACTTTCGTCCCAAGAACCGAATTGGACACATCGCAACTTTTCTAATTACAAAATAACGATAAAAGCTGATGTACTCTGATTGAAAACAGAAGCATAGACTGGTGTCCTGCTCACTTACCGTAATAATTCTATTTAGCGCCCGGGCTTTTATTAGAATCATAGACGTTTCGAAAGTTGGGGATGGGCGTTAATTGGAGACGCATCTTCATAAGACAAACTAATTTTCTAAGCAAGGCTTTATAAATCCACTCGCCCCTCATAACTATAAGAAGAAATCGAATCCGAAGATAGAGCGGATGTTGATTTATAATTGCAGACAACGCTAAAGTCGATTTCGGTATCGTAACAAACTCCTCACAGTGATTACCTCCCTTGGCAGAAGAATTAAGGGGAGATCACTGTGTGGAGATTGGTATCGTAACGTACCGGCTAAAGTCTGTTCTTTTCCGCACTTTAATACCGTGCATGTAGAGTCCGGTATCCGAGCACGGGAATAAAAAATGAGCCTCACGCATTTTTACTGCAAAAATATTATGATTTTTCCCAACGAAATATTTATGTAAGGTTACCAATTAACTCTGTAATCTGGGATGTTCTATACAATTCAAAAAGTCAATGGAATATTTCGAGTCCGATCATTATGCATTTTTTACCCGCCAATATAATTGTTAAAAAAAAGTAAGAATAGTTCTGGCCGATTTTACTGACACAAGCATATATGTTCTTAAAGGGATTGATGCGGGATTTTGATATAAAAAGACAATCGTCTATTGTTCAAAATAATTTTAATCAGAACTAATCTCCCATGTTGGGCCCCAATACATTGAACCACGCACGTTGACCTTGCTGACGTAATGAAATAGGCGCGTGAGTTTTGGCATCTCGGAATGGTTATTTTTTATACATGTATATATATCTTATACACAAAACACATTGAATTATGGCAACACCTATGCTTGTGTCTATAAAATCTGTTATTAAGGGATATCACGTTTACAAATATACATGCCCAGTCGGAACTATACTTCAGTGTAATTTGGAACCAGAAAATGAACATAGTGATAGCGCAATTATCGTAAAAAATAATGGATCTCTTGTTGGACATATACCATGTATACCGGAGGATTATGTCAGCCTCTTACAAAATTATTCAAAGATGGACTTATTGTAGAAATCAGTGCCGAAATACTTGGAGAACCGCATTCATCATAAAAAGGAACTTTTGTAAAAGGTGGTGGCATTTAAATACCGTGTACATATAAACTTTACGGAAAAAAAGACAAAAAAGGAAAGTTCGTTCCTACGTGAAAACGGAAATAAGGAAACTTGAATTGTAAAGGTAAGCTCAATTGTACTCAAATCGAGGGATGGGCGTTTAAAAGGGGCCAGGGCTACAGATAACATTTTGTGTATATTGGGTAATTACCCCTTATTTTGTGATGTATTGGGTTTTTTCTATTTTCTTTGAGTTATTTCTGTATTTTTTACCCTACCCCCTCTAACCAATCTGGGTTATAAAGTACAAGTTCATGCATTTTACCCAAAATTTTTGACCTTCATTGTAGACATTTGTAGGTTTTGTACGGTAATAAAAAAGCTACTTACTACTTTGCTTTATGGTTTATTGGCCTAGGAGATTTCCAAGTTGCCTTATATAATTTAAAGGTTAAAACAGTCTGAAACAGTATGATCTGCCTGATGTACGCGTAAAGTAATACTTTTCGTCATTACGCACCAGTTCAAATGTAGTTTGTATAAATAAGAATTCATTTACTTTTTCTTACCCTTAGTTATTATTTCTATTGGGTTTTAAGACATTTTAATTGGGTAATAACGTAAATACGCATGTTATCTGCAGCCCTGAGGGGCAGTTAATTTTTCAACTTTGGACTGAAAAATGGCCATTTTTTGTCTAAATTATGGGGGGTGGGCGTCTATTAGAGGATGGGCGCTAAATAGAATTATTACGGTATATAGGAAGCATAATAGAAAGGGGGAACCAGAATAAACAGAAGCAGTGTATAAAATACAGTATGACAATTTTAAAACAGAAAATGTAAAATAAAAATGAACGATTATTTTAAACTATCTTACGGTAAAAGAAAATTGAGCTCGCATTGAGGTTTGCCTTTTTCATATTAGAATTAAACAAATTTAGAAAGGAAAGTTTATATAACAAGACACAAACCGGACTGGTCCACTTATGCCTGTACCAAGTTTCTGGCTCCATTCAACCGTGTAATCATGGAGGATTGAATGAGTCTGAAAAAATACATTCCACAATTATGATGAAATAAAAATGCAATCTACTGTTCAAGATTATGAAATTTTATAGTACTTAAATTATATGAAAATTTGATTTATAAAACAAAATACATAAAATATGAAAGAACAAATTCACATCTGTACTGTATAGATCTAATAGAAAATGTCAATGATGACAAAATGTTGAGAAAAAAAAGTTTCAATAAGAACCGGCAACAGTGGTTAATGTGATATTTTATCTTATAATCTGACATACCGAAAGAGAGAACTTAATATCGTGATAACAGAAAATTATACAAGAAGTTTTTATAAGAAGTTTACCTTGAGTTTTGGGACACATCTTCCGCCTTCGGCCATTTTCAATCTAGTTTCAGTTTCATGTTTTGTTGAAATCGATGGGACTAATTAAATGGGTAAAAAATATAAAAAGCACCGTGTTTATGTTATATGCCGTTAGAAAAGCACGGTATGTTCAAATACACCATTAACTACCAAAATACACTTAAAACAGCATGATTTCTTCCAGATTCATGTTAATTTTCAGGAAAATTTTGAAAATGTATTTAAAAATAAAATATTGTGAAGTAAACATAGAAAGTAATGCAAACGGCATTTACAATCCACGTCCAATGAACAAAAAAGAGGTCAAAATATACACAAATTTGTGAACATAACATGTAAGAAATTAATCAAGTCTTGAATCTTTTTACTTCTCTTACGATCTTAATACATTTTTCTAAAGATTGCATTTCTTGAAATATTTTGGCTCATCTGTAGGCTTACAGCTTTTAAAAGTTTAATAATTTTCCGTAAAAAATAAATTAGTCCACTGTGTAGGTCATCTATCTAGAAGAACTCAGAACAAGATACTTGGAAATGTATTTGGTTGATATCAAATTTAATATTTAAGTATCTTTTTAAGGGACACAATACTCAAATACAATATAATGATTATTATTGGCATAGCCAATAACATAATATAAATCAACAAAATTCCAAACGTCGGACTTAGAAATTGATTATGGTTGGTAAAAGTTAAAGTTTATCTTTTGAAGTAATTAAATAAAAAAAATATAAAAGCCAATCTTACTCTTTGAAAGTGCATGATCGTTATGTTTATCAGCATCCAACACAATAAAATCAAAATGTGATAAACCTTTCTTCAGACTTGTGCATATATTAACACATAATATATATATAAGTGAAATCATATTTTGATTATTCCACGGTGAACATAATTTTTGCAGTAGCCGGACCGTATTTGAATGCAGATGAAAAGAATGCATTTTAAGTAAATGAAAATAATGTCAGAAATAGACAGTGACATAAGTAAAATGGTGGATTACAAGAAGCACAAAAACTTGCACTTTTATGTTTAAAAAATTCGTAACATCTTACATATTTAATTTTCAAGAAGAACAATGTGACGTCATAATTTGATGACGTCTTGAACGAGGGCACATTCGTTACACTGCTAAAATTGTAGAAACAACTTAAACTACTAACAGGCATGAACTAAATAGAAAATTTGTTGTTTTGCATGCAAGAACACCAGCTGTGCTACTAATAAAAATGTTTAATCTATTGTTCACTTTGTGAAATATATTTCGATATTACATATTCAAAAAAAAAAAATATCCTCTATGTTAAAAGGGGTATCTCGTCAGGTAGGGTCAATTCTCTTTCATCAGTTTTTTATATCCATTTAATTACTTCTATTTTTCTTGATACTTCCGAGCTTTGACTGAAGGTGCTGTCAGGTTAAAAAGTTTAAAATTACATTAACATTTTTATGCAGTCCATTTCAAAGTCAAAGCAAATAACGTGTTTTGAAACTAATAGAGCGTTGACTACTGAACTAGCTTACTAGGATTAGACATTGTTAAAGAGATTTTAGTGCACATTTCACACAATTCACAATAATTTTATCTGTTACAATAGAGAGAAATAGAATCCCCAAAGAAAGTCCACAATCAATCTCTCGCAAGCCGGCAACATGTATGTTAATGTCCTTTCAATTATAAGCCCTGAGTCATGTTATGAATGAATGGTGAATTGACATTCAGAACTTTTATTCCTACGATTTTGTTTCTGAGAACAATCAATAAATATCTTGAAAGAAAAATCTGCTTCCGACTTCGCTACATGTACATCTTGTACCATATTTATAAATTTAATGTTGCCCTAGAAGGAATTTTGGTAAACTAAACTTTTAATTTAATTTGGATGCGAAATATCTAAGGTATATTCCAACCTAATTAAAATCAGCTCCTGAATTAGGCTACACATTAGGATCTAACATTTATCCATAGGCAGTCAATTTCTCATGCTCTTTCAAACAACCAGTCATTAGTTCGCTTTCATTATTTTGAAAGCGATGCAGTTTCTTATTTTAACCTTTCGGAAACCAATACTGAGTAGATAATTTTCACGATTTCGAGAACAAACATGATGCTGTCCATATAGTCGGCAGGTTAACTTGCAAAACAGTCTTGCCCATTAAAAATGACTATTATTTCAAGTTTATTTTTTTTTAAAAAACTTCAAACATTCTTTTCTAACAAAATTCAACAATTTGTTTAACTTCCACGGATAACGGTATTTTAATACTTCTTCTAATGCCTATCAGTAATAACCGGTTTGATTGCATGGCTAAAAAATCTTACTCGGTAAATCCGAATTATAAAGGAGGCGAAAAATATACGGTCGTCATCAGATCTACATGGAAGATATAGTTTAGTCAGATTGAGCTATATTCTAACGAAAGAGTGATTTTTGGCAGTTTTCACCATACTCTGGAAATGGTACGTACTTTGGAATTTACTATAGGCAAGATTGGCATTTCCGGTGACAACAAACTTGATCAGACAAGAAAACAAAGAATATACAATAATTATCCGTAATCATCGTTTATATAAAAGTAAATGCACGCCCTATATTTTTGTAATTTGTTCATTCAATGTTGATGTATTTAACTGTTTTGGTTAATACAACTTTATTTTTGTGTTATGTTCAAAAAATGATTTTTAATTGACAGCTTTCCGAATTTACCTTTTTTATAATAAATTCATTATAAATGCATCTGTTTAGTTTTTTCCCGGTTGAGATTGTAATATGCTAGAACCAACAGTATTTGTAGATCTGTTCTTAAAGCTGTTGATATCTATACAGATATAGTTATGAAGAGTAGCGCGATAGCTCAGTTGATTAGACCACTGGCTGTGTTTCCCACCTAACTAGAGGTGTATGCCTTGTTCTCATATTTTCGGGGGTTCTCATATTTTCGTGGCGTCATGTCCAGTTGTGGATGACAGCTCGTGCGATTGATTGGACTCTCCAAAAAAGCATCAAGTTTTCGCCGACACTTATTTCTATAAATTACTACCATAAGAATTTGTACTAAACATATTAAACACATAAATATAAATCTGTCAATGTCATTACAGTTATAATTTTTTCTTTTCTTATTTCTTTACGTTATTTTCAACTACATAGCAACAAAAAAGAACAAAAAACGTATCTTCGCCTTAAAATTCATCACCGGAACTTATACCTAACTTAAACCAATGTCCCGAAATATATTGAGTGCAGTATAGAATTTGTGCGCGCGCAAGGTAATTACCGAAACGAGGCCATCCAATCAAAATCCCCGAAAATATGAGACAGCTTCCGAGCGACACAGACTACCGATAGTGAAAGTAGAAAGATTAGTATTTCTTACTGAAATAGTTAAATTTTCGTATTTTAAACGGTTCCTTTTTTGTTTGTCATAGTTTTTACTCACTGTTGATGTTTTTTGTCTTCCATTTACTATTAATTTAAAAACGGTGGCTTTAATTTAAAACATTAAACCCCCGAAAATACGGGTCAACGGCATACTGGTAAGAAATCCAGGTAATCCTTGCATGTATCAGTGCTATTCACTGGGCATGTAAAAGAACCAAGGGGTCTATTCAATAAGAACTAGGGACTGGTTCCCGGATTCTCTTGTATCTCTTGCTTTCTCTGAAGTGACTAAATTGAAAGTCGATCTCGTCTACGTCCCTGTGAGGGGTTTGGCATTAATTAATAGAAGATAGGTGAGGAATTGTTCACAGCCTGTTTCAAAGACCTGTAGGTCTGGTGAACTGAAACTAGACCAAATTTAATGTCATCTGACCAAAAGAAAGTAAACAGTGCACTATATAGTACAAAGTTAACACGCAAACACACCAACGTTAATCAGGGAAGCTGAAAGAGAACTTTCACAATAGTGTTGAAACTCGTGACTCATTTTGAAACTGGGATATAAAATAGGCTATTTTTTACTTGGGAATAGGGCATTATATTGCCCCCAGGTAAAATGCCCTAAATTACTGAGAGAAAGGGTAAATTTGTCTAGTTCTTAAAATCTTTTATCTGAGTATTAAGTTTAGAAATTGCATGTGTATACTGTATTATAATGATTCTTTTATTTTTCATTGTAGATGACGGCTGTTCCAGCAAAGATAGTGCTAAAAAGCACAACAAAGGTGACCCTGAGTGATAGGTGAGGACCTGCAGCAGTAATGAATTTGTTCCTGCTTTCATGTTTTTGTCAGTCCGGACTTGAGTGTATTTACAGAATATGTGAAAATAGTGTTGCATAAACATTCAAAAAGCTTTTAAGAAATGGAAAGTGTTTTATGAGAAGTATAAAGTAGTTTCTATTTTAAGACTGGACAGATCCATAGAAAAAATATCTAAAATCTTTTATATAGTATTTAAGCATGTAAAAAGTTAAAAATATCAGAAATAAGAACAGAATTTTGTGAAAATGGGGTCGAAAACGGAAGTTTTGGATGGAAGTTCAAGCCTTGCTGAGGCACATCATGCAAAAGGAGAAGGGATATGCTTTGCCGAGAGTAGATCTTGGAAGATTAGATTGATGAATGTGTTATATGGAGCCACTGGTCCCATGGCTAAACCAGAGCCTCCCTGAGAGAGAAGCTTCTTTTTGAAGTTTTGAGAAAGATGTGAAGGGAAAAGCAAATGAATGCTTCTGTTGTGCATTGTTTTGTTCAAAATCATCAAGACTTGATTAAGTCTTACTTTATTTCATGCCAGTTATAGATTGCTATATTGCAGTCTTGAGAATGTAAATAATAACATCCATTTTACTGGAGCAAAAGTTTCTGAAAACTTGTGGTTTGAAGACTTATGAACCTTTGTCTTTCTTTTTAACTTTCTTCTTTCCTTTTATCTGTTAATATGCTTGATACTTAATATTTAATTACTTCTACATGAATGGATGAAAGTTTACAAGATTTATATATTCATAAATTTAAGATTTCCCAAGAGCCATCTTTTTCAGCATGAAGCAAATTTTATAAGTATTTAACTTTTTAAGAAAAAATTGGGATTTTTGAAATTCAAATTCATAAACTACATGGAGATGTTTGTGCTGGGAGAGCTGAAAGGAAATATACCAGTCACAAGGGTTTACACTGCCAAGCAACTGAAAGCAGATTATTTAATAATTTATGTTTACTTGTTACTAAAGCTCTGCACTTAGAATCCTATTTCTCACTAATTTATTTCTCTGGTGGTAATTTGTGACCAGCCAACCTTTCGACTTCATCCAGAAGTGAAAGGCTGGTGGTAAGAGTCATGGGTTATCATTTTCTTTCTTCCTGTCTCTATGACAACTGCCAGTAATCATGACCTCTTGTGACCAGCTGACCTTTGACCTATTATAGGTGGAGGGAGGTGGTAAGAGTCACAGGCATGATTCTCTATCAAAATCTCTATTCTAATCTTAATGCCATACCGAAAAGATATAAAAAAACTTCGTGATCGTAATTTAATGAAAATTTTTGCCCAAAACAACCTACAAGATTAGCTGATTTTACAGAATGCAGTATGTGGTTATTGCCGGAGGCAGTATGCAGAAGAGGCTAGTCAAAAAGTAGTGGTCAATTAGTGTTAAACAGATATGGCCCACCTGTTATTTATAAGTTATATTGGATATAATTAATAGGTGAACATGGGCAATTTTGGTATTAAATAATCAGATTTCTTTACTTGTATGTTATGCTACTTTCTAAGATAAGTATGATAAATATTAGCATGAAAAGTTAATATAAATATAAGCATATATATTGCTTTTAAAAACATTGCTCCAGTATTCTCTGACATTGGCAATATGCTCGAAAAGTCATGAGAAAAATATATGGCATGATTTAAAAATTGCATGAACTTAAGAAAAGAAAAAAAGAGTGGGAAAGTTTGAACATGCAATATTCAGTAAGTATTTGCTTAATTGATATAAGCTTGATAATTATGAGATAAAATTTGAGATAATCTACCTCCATTTCCGTCAAAGATTCACACAGATACAGAAGATGAGACCACCACCACCTACGGCACAGGAGGTTCGAGCAACTATGCAAGCAAACCAGCAGAGCACGCAGCAGAACCGAAGACTTGCACAACAAATGGCAAACAGACCGGCTGTACAGGCTGCTCTAGGCATGCCTCAACGTCAGAAGAAACAACAGGTATAGACTTCCTTTATAACAGTTTCAATATAACAATTGTATTTATATCTGAAGAAGAAGGAAAGCTTCACAGGTTGCAGTGAGAATTTGAGTAAAAAAATGTACCTTGCCATCTTACCTCTGCTGATCAAATCAAAATCTTTTTAAATTTCACAACAGGTATGACTGAAAAAGTAAATATGGAAAAAAAAAGTTGTAATACTAACAGTAATGTAAAAGTATAGAATTTTAATTTTGTCAACAGTATTAACTTTTAAAAGCAGTTAAGAATACTTCACACAACATGTGAAGTATTTTGAACTGCTTTTAAAAGTTAATTATACATGTCCTGATTGTTTTTTTTCTTCTTCTCACTGTTCAATTTATGGTGGGGTTATTCAATATTCTACTCCCATGTTTATGTTGCCCTGGCATAACAATTATGTTTGTTTCGTGATATTTCATCTTTTTAACCTATGAAGGGATTAACTTTAACTTTCTTGAAATTGTTAGTACATTTTTTTCTCAATATTGAAAGTGCATAAAGCTATATATCTGGTGCAAAAATTATAGTTTGAATTTTCAAAAACAATACATATTGCTATTGTTTTCTAATATTTTCACTTGAATTGTGACAGGTCTTTCAACAACAGAAGTCCCTAAAACAAAGACTAGGTCCAACCAATGTTAAAGCACGGCTGTCTCTTGGTAACAATTCTATGAGAGGTAGATCAAGAGGTGGGAGGCGTGGTGGTTTTAGAGGTGGGCGTGGCCAACAAATGAATGGTTCAGGTAGAGGTAAATGTTTTCTTTCGGTATTTGTGTATAATTAGACCAATAGCTTTTAAACATTGTTACTGTTTGGGCTGCTTCTGTCATCACAAGATAGCTACTGAATTCAATTTAAAAAGTCGCTCACTCATCTGAGCAGCAGAAAGAGTGAACTGTGAACAGCCCTCTAGTTTACAAGTTAGAAAATCAACAGACAGATTTTAGCCACACAAGGGTGAACTCCCTTATTTCATTGAAGAAATTTGAGAATATTTTGAATTAGCTTACAGCTTTCACCTCGATCAAGCTTTTAAATAATAATAAAAATATTCACCAATTATGACTACGGGGTTAAGGTCTTTGACTTCTTTCATGTGAGGAAGCTATCCAGCCATTGTCGGATACCCACAGCCGAACCGTTAACATTTATCAGCCATGTGACTTTTTGCAGATATTCAGTCGATAAGAGGTGTGTCAAAGACAGCTTTTTCATTGGTTTCCTCAGCATGTCATGAGGCGATTAAAACCAATCAAAAAAGCTTGTTCTATACGACGTTTGGTGAAATGCAAATTCTAGAAAAAATATATATTATATATATTTTGTTTCTGATAGTTGTTTACCTTTGCTGTCAAAGAATATCAATTTTGCTTGACACGGTCTCATTGGTCGATTTTTGCGCACCTGTTGCTGTATATCGACGCAATTTGATTCATTTTACCCACAGTTGATTACTTGTTATGTTACATGTTAATCAACCATGGGTATCCGACGATGTTATCCAGCTAGCTTACTTAAAGTCAGCGGTTATACTCCGGTCGCAATATGACCTATACTGTCTTGATGCAATGTAAAACCCAACCAAAAAATCAAACAAAAAAAAACAAAACAAAAAATTACGAAAATTTCATCTTCAAATGGGAAATGTTAAATAGTGTTTATGGTGCTAAATGTACTTGTTATCTGTTTCTACAGGTGAAATGCGTGGAGGCATGAGGGGGCGTGGTGGTTTCAATAACAGAGGCAGAGGGGGATTTTCACCCAGGTGAGATTTCAAAACATTTCAGTAAAATGTTGTTGTCACCTTGGCTTGTAACAATGTGACCCTCTGAGCAATGTTAACTAATAACTTGTTTAGCATTATATTTTTGAATTTGCATATTTATTGTGATACAGAATATTATCTTATCATTTTGAAATTGAGTAAGCATATTTTTTGAGTGGGCAATAAGGTATCTCAGTAAGTGTTGATGTGAAATTATTCTATATATAAGTCATTTCATGAAACATTGCCCTTACTATGAACTCTGAAAGCTCCTAGGTCTTCATTCCTGGTGTAGCTCTATTTGCATTTTAAATATTCAGATTTTGACGTAAAGCTGTCATTGGCAGCATTTTAAAAAAAAAGCAACGTTTGAAACTATTTTACTTAAGAACGTAAAAAATCTGTGAGTAATTTCTGTATTTTAATTTGTTTAAAGATGGCAAGATGACGATCGTCGTCCACGAGGTCGTGGGGGTTTTGGTCGTCCTGGAGACGGACAATTGTAAGGGCATGTAGTTGTGTGCTTGTTTAAAGCTTGCTTCTTTTTTTTGAGTTTTTCCTGCATGATATACCTTTTTATTTTCATGAAGTACACTTTCGGGACACTATTACTCATTTTTTTTTCAGAATTAAGAATAAGTCCTACACTGCTAAAATTGTATAAAGGATTTGCTGTTCATTTATGATAGAATCTGTCCAGTTGAATATAATTTCCTTTTTCTGCATATGTTGTTTTTTGCTTACAAAGTTCAGAGCTTCAGTTAAGCTAAAGATACTGACTTCAAACCACTTGCCCCTAACTGCTGTGGGTTCAAATCCCAACAGGGACTTTGGATTCTTTCATGTGAGGAAGCTATCAAGCTAGCTTACGAAACGTCGATAGTTCTACTCTGGTGCCTGAAATAATGCACGGAAGGGCACCTGAGGTCTTCCTCCAACATTAAAGCTGGAACTTCGCCATATGATCTATACTGTGTTGGTGTGGCGTAAAACCCAATCAAACAAACAAGCAAAAGTTATGGGAGGATTGATACTCTAACAGCAGTTGTCTGTTGGTTTAAACAATACTTATATAGTCTTCCATATTTTCATTCCTTCCATATTTTCAAACAAAATATTAATACATAAATTGCATCCTATTCCAGGATTGAGTAGAAAGCTTAAAGCTTATATGAAACTCTCTTGTCAACTATATGTTGACAGCAGTCATTAACAGTAGCCTTTTTCTCATTTGCTCATTATTGTACTAATTTGCCCCTACTGACCATTTATCATGCCCTCTTTCACACTTTCCTACCACCTACATTTATTGACCAATATCTTATATGCTTGATGTGTTGATACTGTATATTGATTTCTTCCCGTTTTTGGGGTAGGGGGAGGGGTCTTGCAGATTGGGTCAGCTATCATTTGTGATTAAAATTTGTGTTTCTTAATAAAAGTTAAACCATTTTGCCATGTCAAAGTTACACTAGATAGTATCTTTCAGCTATAGGTTTGAATTCCACGAGAGTTAAAATTCTTTCATGTGTAGTGTAGACGCTCTGTATTTCTTCTTTGGTATCTGCTTGTGCCTGAAAAAATTCATGTGGGACATACAAGATGTTCTTCTCTATATAAAGCTGAAAAGTTGCCATATCATCACCTTAGTTCAATAACTGGTTAACTCTTATTAAATTTAGAAGGACTTAATCTGTCACTGCACTAAGGTGATGATATGATTGTACAGATTTTGATTGAAGTTTTTGTGCAGTATGATATTTTAACTTAGAATTTTGCTTAAGAAATGTTATATACATACTTTTCCCTCTTCATCTTTGTTACTGGAGGGATTGACCTCAGACTTCAAAGTGTTGTCTTTTCCAGTAGAGCATACAAATTTCTGTTTTTACTGTCATTGACATGGTCACATGCTTGCTCATTGCTACAGAAATGATGAACATTGTGGAGTGCTTTCTTAAAATACAGAAAAAAATTGCATCATAATTTAAATTTTAGTCCTGGCTTTTATTTACGGCATCAAATATTCAATAAGTTGAGCATGCCGTGTCTTCAGACAGCTCCTGTTTAAATTTATCATTATGTGTTGACATTATAAATTAGGATTAGATAGAATTTTTACTTTATATTTGATACAGATCAAGGGGAGCTACATTTTTGTAAGTTTTCTTGTGTAGCTTTAGTTTTGTGTATTTTGCCAGCTACATCCAATATTCACCTCCTGTTTTTATTCACTGATATCTATACAAATTTCAATATTTGACCTTTGTTTGACCTATCATATCAACATATTCACAAGCTATATACATGTATAGTAGTGCACATACTGGTGTCTCACTTAAAATAAAATATCTTTTGGTAATATCCTGCTTTGCCATATAGGAATGGGTCCTCCTTTTGATAAAGTACCATACTTCAAATCACTTCACTTGCTTTTCACTACCGTCTGACTGATAGCTAAAATTTCTGAGTGTTTGGAAGCCATCTGACTGGCTTAGAGGCCGGTGACTGTACTTGGGTAGCTCCTTATTCAAGAGCGTTTCAGAGTTGTGAACTTTAGGTATTATTCTTCCATTAAATTGAAAGGTCGCTATGTGACCTATACAGTGTTGATATGAATCAAAACCAAACAGGGGCATCCCCTCACTGCTGTAGGTTCGAATCCCGACAGGGCCTGGATGTTTTCATGTGAGGAAGCTATCCAGCTAGCCTACGGAACGTCGGTGGTTCTACTCGAGTGCCCGTTCGTGCCTGAAATAATGCACGGAGGGGCACCCGAGGTCTTCCTCCACCAGTAAAGCTGGAACATCGCCAAATGACCTATACTGTGTCGGTGGGACGTAAAACCAAAATAAAGACAAAAAAAAACAGATGTAAGAAATGATTTATATCCAGGAAAAATAAAGTCTTATTTACCCAAAATCCATGCTTCATTTGTAGTATTTACTGCTTTGAATTTGAAATTTTTTTTTAATTTTTAATAATTTATTTTTAATGAATTTCAATAACAGAATATGAAAAAAAAACAAAAAAAACTATAAGGAGAGCAGGATCAGACTACACTGGTAAGGTCTGGCCCCTGTTCGGTGGTAATAGGTTAACATCAGAGTCTCTAGTTCACAAAGAGTTCACTCTAGTTCAAAATGGAAAAAATAATTTTGTCACTGCAAGCTTTGCTTCTATAGCATCTTCAGATTTTGATACAGTCAATAGTTTTAACAAATTTCTTGAGTGTCTGAGTGTGTGTTTTGCAAAATTTCACTTGCAATATTGAGAATGTTAAGCTTCTTATTTGCTTTATTAAAATTTTTGATTTATGTCCTCTCAAAATAAAAGCTTTATTGTACTATCTTTATAGGATAAAAGTTGTATAATTTTAGAAGTAATTCTATATGTCAAGCATTAAACCTGTGTTTTCGCTGTTGCCAGTAAATTACTATCCATATTGATAACCATAATGTTGTCAGTGCAATGTACACAGTCAAAGGGGATAAAATGAGGAGTTTGAATAACAGGGTGGAAGAGTTTTGATTAACAACAAGTTACTTGAGTGTTAGACTGCAGAGATTGTATAAAAATAAAGGAAGACTTGGTAAATTGAGAGTTTGGGTAAAATGGGAAGTTGAGGTTAAAGGGAAGGGGGATTTTGGATGAAGGGAAGGGAGAATTAAGATAAAATAGTGAGTAAGGGTAAAAGGGAAGGGAGAGTTAAAATTCTATGGGGAGTTGTGGGGAGGGCCTGTTTAGATAAAATGGGAAATTGGGGTAAAAGGGAAAATTGAGTTTAGATAATATGTGGAGTTGGGGTAAAAGGGAAAGGAGAGTTTAGATAAAATGGAAATTTGGGGTAAAAGGGAAAGGAGAGTTTAGATAATATGGGGAGTTGGGTTAGAAGGGAAGGGAGAGTTTAGATAAAATGGAAATTGGGGTAAAAGGGAAAGGAAAGTCTAGAATTTGTGGAATTGGGGTAAAAGTTAAGGAAGAGTTTAGATAAAATGGGAATTTTGGGTAAAAGGGAAGGGTAAAATTGAATAAAATGAGGAGCTGGGGAAAGGTAAAGTTTGGACAAAATTGGGAGTTGGGGTAAAAAGGAAGAATAGTTAAGATAAAATGGGGAGTAGGGGAAAAAGGGGAGAGTTCTGATAAAATTGGGAGATGTGGTAAAAAGGAAGAGTTTGAATAAAATTGGGAGTTCCAGTGAGAAGGAAGAAGAGTTTTGAATCATGATTTGTCGTAGTGTTAAAATTGAGTAACAATCAGTTCAGAGTATTGTCTGACTGCACAAAATGGCAAAGACAAGTTACTGATATCCCTGCTTACATTCAGAGGGCAAAGAGTTGTAAAATTGTCCTGGTGCTGTGGGAAGTCAGGAGGACATTATAATGTGTGTTAGCTATACATTGTAAGAAGTAAACTTGATATTCTGTCATTTTAAAGACTTTAGCCAACATCATAATATAGTTTATGTCATAGTTTCATTTCATTGAAAATACTAAAGCACTACATGAGAAAGGTGATATATTGAAGAAATATTATTCCTGTTTGATTTACTGTCTTTAAGGATGCTATGTCACATAATGTGGGCGTCCATGGCTGAATGGGAAAGGTCGTTGACTTTGAATCACTTATCCTTAACTGCTGTAGATTCGAATCCTGCCAAAGATTTTGGATTCTCATGTTAGGATGCTATCCAGTTAGCTAACTGAATGTCAGTAGTTCTACTAGGGTTATAATGAAATAATGCTTGGAGGTTCTTCCTCCACCAGTAAAACCGGACATCTTTTGCGTTGGTGCAATATAAAACTTATAAAATGTAAAACAGCATGTTTATTCATAAGGATTACAGATTTTTTCAACGTTATAAGAAGAAAGAAGTTAAAATTTCTTTAGTTATCTTTCACATTTTATGCTAGGCAGCATTAGCTTATAACATAATCAGTTATTTTATATTTCATTAGACAACTAGCATTAAAGTTTTTAGACACTTATATAGTATAACTGTTTAAAGGATTTGCTTTTAACTTCATCTTTTGTAAGTGATTTTCCTTGAGTTTGGTTGATTATCCTTTAAGTGAGTCATCATCTTATTGATGTAATGATTATTATAATACATGTTTAATTGTAGTAAAAAAAACTGGATGCTCAGAAAGAGATACTAGTAATTAATCAAAGGATATTAAAACCTACTGATTTGCTGTCAAAGGCATTTTGAATGCCATTAGATATGTAACATTTGATCAACATTTAGAATTTATTTACTTATTAGAATGTTGCAATAGAAATGGTTTACAAATGCATATACATTCTTCCTTTGTTATTTACAATTGTTGATCTTGTTTATTTTTCAGTCGAGGAGGCAGAGGAGGACGTGGTAACAGAGGAGGTGGAGGTGGTGACCGAGGATTTGGGCGTGGCCAGAGAGGAGGACGTGGTCGGGGTGGAATGCGGGGTCGTGGCCGAGGTGGAATGAGGGGAGGAGCAAATAAGCAAGGCTTCTCAAAAGAACAATTAGACAACCAATTAGAAGAATACATGTCGAAAACAAAGTCCCATTTAGATTCTGAACTTGATGCCTATATGGCAGAGGCAGATCAGTGAACATCGTTTACAATATCACATTAGTTATTACGATTTTAATTGATTGCATTTGAGACAAAATTGAAAGACAGCAGAAGATCAAAGTTAATTGGTGACAATTTTGTGATTTTTTTAATGCCCAGAGACTTACTGTTTTACTGGAACAAGATGAATATATCAGTAAGAAAGAAGGCAAGATTCATATGTTGAATAAAGTTGAATATGTGTGATAAACAGGGGATATCGTATGAGACTCCAGACATATATTTTTAAATTGTTTTTATGCTCCCCGAAAAATTTCGGGGGAGCATATAGTCGGCGCCTTGTCCGTCTGTCCGTCTGTCCGTCCGTTGTCTTGTCCGGAGCATAACTTGAAAACCCTTGGAGATAATTTGTTGAAACTTCATACAATGGTAGAGGGCATCGAGGGGGAGTGCAGTGTCAAAGAACCATAACTCTATTTTGCCCGGTTTTTGAATTATCTCCCCTTATAGAAAAATCTTGTCCGGGGCATAACTCTAAAACTATAAGAGATATCAACATGAAACTTTGTAGGTGAATAGATCTCAATGGGTAGATGTGCAGTGCATAAGAACAATAACTCTTTTCATCCTAATTTTGGAGTTATTGCCCTTTGTTAATTTTAATACTTTGAACTTTGTCCGGAACATAACTTGAAAACCCTTGGAGATAATTTGTTTGAAACTTCATACAGTGGTAGAGGGCATTGAGGGGGGGGGGGTGCAGTGTCAAAGAACCATAACTCTATTTTGCCTGGTTTTTGAATTATCTCCCCTTATAGAAAATCTTGTCCGGGGCATAACTCTAAAACTATAAGAGATATCAACATGAAACTTTGTAGGTGAATAGATCTCAATGCGTAGATGTGCAGTGCATAAGAACAATAACTCTTTTTGTCCTAATTTTGGAGTTATTGCCCTTTGTTTATTTTAATACTTTGAACTTGAACTTTGTCCGGAACATAACTTGAAAAACCCTTGGAGATAATTTGTTGAAACTTCATACAGTGGTAGAGGGCATCAAGGGGGAGTGCAGTGTCAAAGAACCATAACTCTATTTTGCCTGGTTTTTGAATTATCTCCCCTTATAGAAAAATCTTGTCCGGGGCATAACTCTAAAACTATAAGAGATATCAACATTAAACATTGTAGGTAGATAGATCTCATTGAGTAGAGGTGCAGTGCAAAAGAACCATAACTCTGTTAAGCCTTATTTTTTGAATAATCTCCCCTTTTAGAAAAATCTTATCCAGGACATAGCTGTAAAACTATAAGAGATATCAACATGAAACTTTGTAGGTAGATAAATCTCAATGGGTAGATGTGCAGTGCACAAGAATCATAACTCTACCTTGCCTAATTCTGGAGTTATTGCCCTTTGTTTATTTTTACTTTTTGAATTGTCCAGGACATAACTCGGAAATCATAAGAGATATCATCAAGAAACTTTGTAGGTTGATAGATCACATTGATTAGAAGTGCAGTGCAAAGAACTGTAACTCTGCCTTGCCTAATTTTAGAATTATTGCACTTTGAACTTTTTCCACGGACATAACTCTGAAACTACAAGAGGTGTACTTTCCTGTGTCCAAAACCTATTCGGGGAGCATCACCCGGCTCAAACCGGGCTCTTGTTATATCTGTTGCAATATTTGTTATTGGCATCAAGTTCCATGTTAAGGGCAACATACAAAAAACTGGGTCTATGGGGACTCGTACTGCCATTTTAAAGCTTTAAGCTTTTGATAAATATTTCTCACTAGAGATGAGAATAGAAAACCCACATGTCATTGTAAATAAGCCATTGTAAATTATCATTTTTGTTTGTGAAGAATAAAAAATTCACGCCACATTTTTATACAGTAGAGAATGTTAGAAACTAATATGTTTTATTTATTTTAAAATTATTAATCTGAGATCTGTGTGTAAGTGGAATATTAGATGTTGTATTAGACATAATATAATAAACTGTGCATTAATTATGTATATATTGACAGGGATTAAATGAGAGAAAAACTCTGAAATTCTTCTCATTGCTTTATATTTGTAAACAATTTCATATTGATTATAGATGTAAGAACAAAATGTCTTATTAAAATGTCCTAAAACACATTGATAGATGTTACTTCTTCCAAATTTGTTTCTGTTAAAAAGGCCAAATTTGCTTCTGCTGAAAAAGCCAGGCATGAGAAGATTCTTTGGTTGTTATGTTGGTTCCAATTTAAGTTAGAAAGCACCTCTTCATCTATTCTTATTGTTCAGTACTCGTTTTTGGCTACAAAGAGCGATTCTTTCTCGGTACTCGACAAGGTCACAGGTTTGTACTTTCCTAAAGATGCCAAACCATTTGCCTGAAGAAAAAAAAATGTGAATGTAACTGTCAAGAAGACCACAAGTTGAAGACTAATCAAATGTTATACTGTGTGCTGCTTATATTTACCAGCCTCCGAATGAATTTTGTAAAATGAGATTTTCTTAAGCATTGAATGACTGCATTTAGAATCCAAAGCATATTTATATATAAAGCATGTATATAATATTGCATATATTTAGACTGTCATTCAAATATAAAGTTTTTGACAAATACCCTGGTGCACATTTACACACATCAAACCCTGACTTTAACTTAAAAAGCTTAACTATTCGGACAAAATGCACAACTCGAGTGTATTTCTTCTTACAAAGTAATAGCCCTTTTCTTACTGCCAAATACTGAGAATAGTTGAGCAAACTCGGCTGTGTTGCTGAAAGCTCCTGTTGAGGTTTGTTGTTCAACCCAGTGTTTATTAATAGGATAATGGGACCATATGCCCAATTGATCTGGCAACAACCCAACAGGGAACAGGAAGTGATATAAAATAATCCTACAACTCGAGTGCTTTGAGCTGAACTAAAGTAAATAAGTACAAACATCATTGTCAGCCATACCTTTGCCCTCGCAAGAAACATTTTTTGTGCTTGCTCAATATTGGCATCGTCCCCTTTCCATGCCCTGATAACGGTAGCCTGTAGAGCTCGTCCAAAGGAGAACGATAACGCCCACGATTTCTTGCCAGGACATTGGTTAATTGCATTGAGGTTCAATGTCGATTCTTCTTCGGACTGTCCACCAGAGAGGAAAACAACACCTGAAATTATGAAATCGTATTGTGTTTATAAATATTTATATATATATATATATATATATATATATATATATATATATATATATATATATATATATATATATATATATATATATATATATATATATATATATATATATATAATATAACACTCTTGCACTATAACTTAGATACAATAGAAAGAGCATCGAAACACGAGGCTATCTGATTTGTAGGAGAGGGTCGTAACCCCGAGCCTCATGTTTTGGGGACCAAAAAAACAAAAACAACAACAACAAGACGATGAAAGCATATGCAATAAATAATTACAGAATGTTCGTGTTTGTGTGGCTTGTCTGTTTACTTGAATTAATGCATATATGCGTACATTGAGATAAAAGTTGCAACAAATGATCTGACAATGTTTCGTCACACATATGATATACCAATCGTAAAATATCGGCTCTACATATACGAGAGTATCCCGAATAAGATAACACAATACACCAACTCAATTCGCCCTGGTGAAAGTTCAAAGTAGGTTAAAATATCACTGTTATTCTTTCTTCCACTTTATAGAAGATATATATTTCTATCAGGTTTGGATCAAAGATGGCACGTGAAGGTTGCCGTTTTACCATGTTACTGAAATTTGTTCCAATATGTCGCCTTATTATGTCAAAGGTCTATTGCTAATAGCCGAGGAGATCCGATTGGCATGACTACAATTAAATAAATCTTGGATTTACCTGGCATTGCGGCCGGTATAGTTCTGCTAAATGCTTGGACAGTTGCCCTTGCGTTTTGTTCTGGTGTTGATTTGTCAGAACAGCTCTGTCCAGAGGTGACCATGTTCGGTTTAAGTAAGGTTCCTTCCAAGAAAACATGATGGTCACTCAACGCTTTATACTGGTATGCCAAAACCTAAAAAATATGACACTATGTGTCGGTCATTGCTATAATGTATAAACGTCACACTACAAATTGTAAGTGGTAACTCATACAATAGTTACCTCCTAATTAATTTTTCATTACTATAAGTTTCTCTTTCATATTTTTCAATCCCGATACTTGCTTCTACATGTATTTTATGTTGTCAATACAGGTGTGTGTGTTTTCTTTAATTATATACAGTATACAAATTATAGACGTTTTCACACAATGACAAACCTTACTGGATGATTGACACTAGCTAATGATAGACAAACCGCTTCTAATTATTAACAGAAGCATGATTTATAATAGCGTTCGTTTTGTTATCTCTTTTTGAATGGAAATGGAATTGAATTTATAAACCTGATAACTTCAAAAGACACCATTAGGTTATCTCTTTTTGATTGGAAATTTAATTGAAATAATACACATGATAACTGCAAAAGACACCATTAGGTTATCTATTTTTGAATGGAAATTGAAATGAATTTATAAACCTGATAACTGCAAAAGACACCATTAGGTTATCTATTTTTGAATGAAAATTGAATTGAATTTATAAACCTGATAACTGCAAAAGACACCATAAGGTTATCACTTTTTGATTGGAAATGGAATTAGATTTATAAACCTGATAACTGAAGAAGACACCATATTAAATTTATAAACCTGATAACTGAAGAAGACACCATATTAAGTTATCTCTTTTTTTGCATGGGAATTGAATTGAATTTACAAACTTGATAAATGCAGAAACATCATAGTTTTAGAAATCATCAATGAAAAAAGAAAATTTTAATGATACACAGGTCGGTACAAATATCTCGAATTAATGTTAAGCAACGTGTTATTGTGGTATCATCCTTATATGCCATGTATAACATGAACACAAGAAGAATTGGACCATAAAACAACAAAATATAAGCTAGAGGTACAAACAGGCAATAAAATATATAAAACCATGCATTTTGGTAGGGGGTAGGGGGTATGCAAAACTATTTAATAAATGACTTGCATCCTTGTTACCTGTTCCGTTACTTTCTGCGCAGTTTGAAGATCATGGTCCCCATTATATAATACTTCCGGCTCAACAATGGGTACCAAACCATTCTATAAATAATTTCAGATATTCGCAATTAAAACCTGTGACAATTGATTGACTTGCAGTATTTAGTTAGTATTGTAAAATAAATAAATAAATAAATAAATAAATAAATGAATGAATGAAAGAATGAATTAATAATAGTTACTCCAAAATGTTTATTTTTATCTTATTTGTTAACTCTTCTTTATGTGATCACTGAAAATGCTACTTTATAATCATCTTAATAATTTACACAGAACAGAACATTTCTAGCCAATCGTGAGCCTTCTGAAAGGACACGTGATCAATCTTCGTCTGCTGGACATTTTCATTATTGCCGAGTTGGGCGACCTTAAGCCCACTAAGTACTATATCTTGCCTTATACAGTATGCCACATGTCATAAATTTTGAATAGACTATCATGTACCAGAAATACAATATATGGATGTTTAGCTTTGACATTTAAATAAAACTAATTAAAAACAAATGTCTGCCTCTATTAAAAATCTGTTTAATCCTTTCTTGTTACTTTTTTTGTAAGTAAACTCGTATACTACGGGCCTGTTTTCTAGCTTAAGGTTAATGCAGTCGTGGTTCTATCGAGTAACGCGTCTACGCACAGACTAACATCGGTTGTCTCCCTTTGCAAGTAAAGACTGTAGGAGTTAAAACCGCATACAGAAATTTCGGCAAAACAGGCTAGCATACCTGTTGGCAGATACTCGCATATCTTGCAAGAACGTTGGCATTTTCCATCATGGCCAGGTGTGATGGCGTGTGAGGACCTATTTTTAGAGCACATCTCCATTTGGCAAATTGTGCTCCGTCCTTCTTATACTGAGCACATCTTTCAGCTAGACCATCCAGACCTACATGTAATAGATTTATTTTACCTACTTGATTACATGGACATAGTGATGAATTGAAAAGGAGATATTCAGTAAACTTTTGATTATTTAAAATAAGATTATTTAAAGATCATGTTTTTTTCTCCTTTGTATTAATTAGCCAATATTTGTATTTTGCCTGGTGTTATTTCAAATCAATCGGATCTTCTCGGCCCTTTCCGTCAAATTTCGGATAAGTTCCGAGATATTCCGATTGATTTTAAATCTTTTTAAATCACATCACTTCCAGTTTTCAACTGCTTCTTAAGTAGAAATTAGTAAAATTGCGATATATAATCTTCCAATACTTAAAAAAGGGTTATTTCCATATATGGAATAAAACTAAAAAAGTTATTTTACTTTGAATGAAAAATTAACCTCTTTAAAATGTTAATATACAACATACTGGGTTTTGTCCTTCTGATAAGCTTCGGTAGAAAATGGGAAATGGTATTACTATATACTATCTATTATACATCGGATGATAATTATAATAACCAAAGGATCATCTTATGCGCTTATAAAACCAATATTAGGTTTCTTTGTGATCTGTTTGAGAAAATGATTAAACTTAATGTTACAGTACCTTGAGTCGTAGTTTCACCATCAGTACCAGCTAGATCTGCAAAACCCTTGTCCACTTTTATACCTGGGATGATGTTTTTGTCTGCCAATAACTTAAGAAAACAAACAAATCATTTTATAGTTTTAAAGAGACGTAACATACTTTTTAAATGGCTAAATCTTTTACATGTGCATACTTAATCTAACTAAACATGACTAAATATGAGCCACGTCATGACAAAACCAAAGTAATGCGCTTGCGACCAGCATGGATCCAGACCAGCCTGCGCATCCGCGCAGTCTGATCAGGATCCATGCTGTTCGCTTACAGACCCTATTACAAGTAAAGAAACTGATAGCGAACAGCATGGATCCTGATCAGACTGCGCGGATGCGCAGGCTGGTCTGGATCCATGCTGGTCGCAAACCCACTATGTTGGTTTTGTCGTGACGCGGCTCATATGCTCTTTGCCAGTTGTCGTAGAATTTTGTAAACATGGAATGTCACAATGATTATATGAGTATAGATAGTCTCAAGGAGTATGTAATGAGTATATCACGAAATAGTAAATTTACAAGAAGTTTTATTGCAATTTACAAGTGTTCTTGACACTGAATTGGCGGGAAAGTAACAATTAAAGATAATCTTAATTCCTTCTTTAACGTGGGCGGTAGTCAGATGCGTATCACATTAATTAGATCATCACCCACTTTGGCATCACCTGCAGTGACGGATATTTCATTTGATTCCCTATCTTTAAACAGAAGCTTTTCCCATTGTTTCAATAACAGCGCGAATCAGAGATCATGTCGTTAAGTGCCTTACACTAAAGATACTAGTAACATTGACGATACAATACCTTTACAAAAGGTACCCCGTCCTTAGTTTTCTGATACAATGTTTCATGGTGAAATATGACGCCGCTGATGTTTTCAGAGATTGCGGCGTCCGTCGTAAACAACATCTCTCTGTAACGTCGTCGGTTCTCTTCTGTACTTTCAACACCGATACAGGCAAACCGCTGCGCCATTGTTCCTTTTAAAGATTTAAGTTGTTTGTGTTTTACATCATTGATGGCAATAATTGCTATTTACCTCTTGAATAAGTCACTTAAAATGCAATGCAGATGTATTTACATTACCTTATTCACAGACTGCTAACATTCCAAAGGAATTGAAATTATTTCGTTTTCCATAGTATTTTTTTTACAATGAAGAAGCATCATGATTAAGTGACGCATTATGGGCAAATGACACATTATCTATCTGCATACTTCAAATAAAGGTGCTTAAGCATTGCATATAATATATGAGCCGCGTCACGACAAAACCAACATAATGGGTTTGCGACCAGCATGGATCCATGCTGTTCGCTTAGAGACCCTATAACAAGTAAAGAAACTGATAGCGAACAGCATGGATCCTGATCAGACTGCGCGGATGCGCAGGCTGGTCTGGATCTATGCTGGCCGCATAACCATTATGTTGGTTTTGTCGTGACATGGCTCATATTTAGTAACATACCAGGCGGTTCATCGGCAGCTAAAATTCCTTTGCCAGGAGCCACGATGGCATTGGCAACCTTTCTCAACTCCTCCTCTTGTTCAGATGTTAGATAGATCGGATATCTCGACATTTTGCTGCAGAAATAAAGTATTTTTGTTATTGTCGAAAATGTTACTATAGCAACTGACAAATGATCTATAGTCTCATATACTTTTTGAATACTACTAGTAAACACTTATTGGGTTTCGGCAGGAAAGAGTGTACAACATATTCTACAGCATATATATATAGTATTCTGCCGCTAAATCATTAAGATTTATCCTCTTAACCCTTCGAAGACTCAATGTACCATTAATTTAAGTAAATAAAGGCTACGGATTAAAAAAAATCGTTATTTTTTGGTCACTTTTTAAAGAAAAATAATGCAAGAAAGATACATACGTAAGTAAAAATAAGGTTAAGAATACACAAAAAAAAATCTTACCTAAGTATTAATTCGCGGTGTCCACTTTATGATTCATTAGAGTATCTATAATATTTATCTGATAGTCAAACTTCTTAAATTGTACACTTGATATCTGATAAGTTTATCTTGAGAACATGTACACTGTAATGTAATGTACACTGTATCAGATAACATAATGAGGCAAGTCACATATATACACGATACGTGTTCACTTATTAAAATGTTTTAAATCCTCTTAGCATTTCAATTTTAAAAAAAAAACAATTCTTCCTCGAGACATTACATAACCAATTAAATAGTAATTTTAACGAATAGTTTTATGGATTCCTCGGACACAAGATGATCAACATGACCGTATTCGTGACTCTGTTCTGTTGATTTTTGTCACGATTAAGTAATAATGATAAGTCAATATAGTTTAAATTTACTATAATCTTTTTTATCAATTCTAAAATGTGTCAGTCAATAGTAAGTTCCTTCGAGAAACGTTTATTAAATAATTTAAAGGAAATTTTTTTTTTTCAAATATGCACTGCTATAATATTAATTAAAAGTTGCCAATAAGCAGTGGAGTTGAATTAACACTTGATGTGTTTGTTCTTGATTTAGTAGTCAAGGCTTGGAGCCTCGTTGTACTGACGTAGACGACGAAACACCGAACAACATAATTGTGTGTGTTTAGTTTTATTTTAGCTCGGCGCCGGAAATTCTATATGTCCGAGATCTCAGCGTCCATGCCCGTCCACACTAGAAGTCTCACTGTGGACGTCTTTTTCTTACGATCTCCATTAACCTAGCTGTTCTTCGTTCGTTGGAGGAAAAGAGAATATATACTTAGAAAACATCATGTTCCGTGACGACAGCAAACAAGCGGTACATAAAATGGCTCTCGTTAATGCCACCCTCCCGAGTTAGTCACGACAGGTCAATCAATCGTCTCTGGTAATTAAGACGACTTGAGCTTGACCTGCCGTGTGCTTTCTCAACGACGAGCACCCTCCGAGGGGAAATGAGAAGCAGTCTTAAAATGATAATCTTCAGCTATTTAATCATCTACAGACAATGATCGGATAACTATAGTGAAAATAACCCAGAAAAGTATTCTTTTATTACAATCAATTTGAGCCAATAAGATTGCTTTTTTTATAAAATATAAAAATACTTGGAAAGATGGTCTAAATGTATCAATGGAAAAAACCGAATGTAAATAGCAGACAATGAATAAAAAGTAACCTTATACAGTAAAATGTCGTCCTTATACATTTTTAACTGTCTTTCATTAGTGCGTTAGATAGTACTCATTCTATGTATTTTAATTTTGATTTGGTTAATTAAATCTTCAATAATTTTATAATTTTATTTTATTCGTCTATAAAAAATACAATTATCTCTTTTTGAGGTAAATGTATGCTTTTTTACATAAATTTTGAAAAACTGTCTAATATACTCTGATATTACCGTGTACAAGAAACTCTATAATATGTCTTTGTGAACATGAAAAAGTTATCCTACTATGAAAGGAAGAAGGATTTTATACTTTGGCAGTATTATATTGTTTCCAAATTTGATGTTGTCCAGCCGTATAAGTATACAAAGGTTTATACAATTCAAACAGTAAATCAATCAGTGCGGTTGTTTAACACTGCCTCACTAGGCGAATTTGTTGTCCCGCGGCTACGGTCTAATATTAAAGCCGGAAATGGTGATCTACTCCTCGCATGTTAGATTAGTAGAAGTCCATCATTAATGGGACATTACTTGCACCAGTAATGTTATCCTCACATGGCAAAAAGAAAGTATACTTATATTTTTTCGAGTGAAAAATCGCTCTAATCATTTCCAATAATACTTGGCATATCTACCATTGAACTGTCACATGTAGGTTTAATCTAGATTTATATGAAATTTTAGATTTATATAAAATTTAACAAATTTGTTCAAAACAATTACATTCTTAAAATTCGTTTGTATTACTTAATTTTAAACTAAGAGTGACATCTCCTTGATCATTTAACCTACTATGTTGAATTAAAACGATTTTGCTAAGTTAAGATTCCGTAATGTAGTTTATACGCTTTTAAGTAGTCAAACTGTAACGCTCTATTTAGTCTAGATAAACTTTAAATATGTTGGATTACAAAGCGGTTTACATTTTGTAGTCATAGCGAGAGACGTGTTTACATATTAAAATGGCTGTACCTGGACGAAAAAAATATGCAGGCGAACAGTCTGAATTACTGTTGAAAATTGTGTGTGAGCCGTGTTCTTTGTATGGGAGTGAAATAAGTTCTGACGGTTATTGTAAAGAATGCGAGGAAAATATGTGCAGTACATGTTTTAAACACCATCGAAAGGGAAAACTTTGTAGAAATCACGTATTTCTTCCAGTCGGATGCAGTGATGTCCAGACAACAACGACGAAACAGTCTGATGGTTTGCTAGACAAATGTCATAAGCATGTGCAAGAGATAGTAAAATTTTATTGTCCAACCCACGAAGTCACTGGATGTCGGGACTGTATAATTTTTGAGCATAAACCATGTGATATAACATACATAACGGATATATCAATAGGCTTAGATGAAACTGAATATATAGGAAAAGTGGTTAAAGAAATTGACACTTCTACTGAGAAAGTTAAAGAACTACAAAGTAAAATACAAACAAACATAAATAGTACACACACGGTTCACAAAAAATTCACTTGTGATGTACACCAATTTAAGGAAAGGATATTAGAGAAGATGGACAAACTAACTGTTGATGCTTGTGAACAAGCCACTGGTTTTAAAACAGAGACTTTAAGTCTATTAGGAAATCTCGAAATTGAGGCGTCTAATATCATGGAAGAACTGTCTTCTATGCAAATGACAACTGAAACAGAGAAAAATGAACCAATTAAGTACTTTATCACGGCAAAACGTTTAGGAAAACGATTAGATGAGATAAAAAAGAAGCTTACAGATATTGGCACAAAGAATGTTGCAAGGGAATATACGTTCTTGAAAAACAGAAATATGGAGAATATTGAAAATGCCATTGAAACTTGCAAGGGAATCGATTTTATTCAAAATTGCGAGAAAGGTAAGACAAGATTAAAAAATTATCTACATGTATTAGGTTTTCTATTTAATTCTGTTTTCCTTGACATATAAAAGAGCATACAAACAAAGCTTTTAAAGCAGTGGTAAATTTGTCAAAATTGACAAAGCTAAAATAAAATTTACTTCGTATATCGATTGATTTTTACAAATATTTATTGGAAGTTTATAACCTAAAGATTTCTTAAAAAATTTCAGATGTGAAACAAGGCAAGCAAAATGTAAGTGTTACAATATTGTATTCAATTGTAATTAGTGCGTCTACTTACTTAACTTCTTTTTTAATAATATACCGAGAGATTAGCTTGGTTGGCTATAGCTAGGTTGGCGACCTGACTGATAAAACAAGTGGTTAAACTATCATGACCATAGACTTAATTTGATTTTGTAGAGGTAATTCAAAAACACTACCAGAAACTGTTTTATTCATGCTAGCACTTAAATTAAAACTTTAATTTTATCTGCTTCCACAGATTGTTATAAATCCAAGGTATGTACCTAATTAAGTATTCATTTTTTTTCATCATCAGGAAAAATATATTTAACACACATAACGAGACATGGATTTTATTAAGAGTGTGTCAATTGAATGTAATGGTACAGTTTTCGCCATATATTAAAATAACATAATTTTCAATAAATTTGTTTAGAAACGACCATTGTGTATATTACCATGCATCATTTTATATCTAACGATAAAATGTTTTGAATAAATAATTTTGAATATTGGTGAAACTCTTATATACGACACTGTATTCTCAATAAACACACGAAACGTCTTTAGTTTTATTCTACATATAAGCAAACATTGTTTTGTATGATATATTCGTACATTGTTAAGTTTCAGAACGGTAACCTTACAAAAAGAAGCAGGGTTACTTGGTTTCAATTTAGCTGGGGGGCATGATGGTTTTCCGATATTCGTATCCAGAATTCTCCCAGGTTCACACGCGGCGAAATCTGACTTAAAAGTAGCAGACGAGATAATTTTGGTAAGTAAACAGAAAAGTATTAAAGTGAAATGGTCTATAATAGAATAACAGCAACAAAAAAAAAAAAAAAAAAAAAAAAAAAAAAAAAAAAAAAAACAGCAGCAACAATAGTTAATTGTTCAGATACAATGTATGATGAGAAACATTTGACCTTTTTCTTTTTTCCTTCTTTTTATATGCCCGAAAGGGCATATTATGTTAATATACACCCTGGCGTCTGTCTGTCTGTCCGCCCGACCGTTAGCAATTTGGTTTCCAGAGCATAACTTAAGTTTCATGTGGCCCACAATATTCAAACTTCATAGGATGATTGTCCAAATTGGGTAAAAGACTCCTATTGATTTTGGGGTCAAAAGGTCAAAGGTCAAGGTCACTATTACCTTAAAACTGAAAACAGTTTCCGGAGCATAACTTAAGTTCCATTTGACCCACAACATTCAAACTGCATAGGATGATTGTCCATATTGGGTAGAAAACTGCTATAGATTTTAGGGTCACAAGGTCAAAGGTCAAGGTCACTATTACCTTTATACTGAAAACAGTTTCCGGAGCATAAATAAAGTTCCATTTGGCCCACAATATTCAAACTTCATAGGATGATTGTCCATATTGGGTAGAAGACCCCTATTGATTTTTGCGGCACAAGGTATAAGGTCGAGGTCACTATTACCTAAAAACTGAAAACAGTTTCTGGAGCATAACTTAAGTTCAATTTGACCCACAATATTCAAACTTCATAGGATGAGTTTGCTGATTGGGTTGAAGACTGCTATTGATTTTGGAGTTACAAGGTCAAAGGTCCAGGTCATTGTTACCTTAAAACTGAAAACAGTTTCTGGAGCATTACTTAAGTTCCATTTTGCCCACAATATTCAAACTTTTCAGAATGATTGCCCATATTGGGTAGGAGACCCGTATTTTTTTAGGGTCATAACGTCAAAGGTCAAGGTCACTATTACCTTAAAACTGAAAACAGTTTCCGCTCAATAACTTATGTATTAATCATCCTACAGCTGTTAAATTTTATAGGATTAACAGCTAATTCCCATGTCTTACAAATGCTTCAAACACTTTCGGGCATATAATGATCCGCCTAGCGTTGCTCTTGTTTTTTTTACATGTTTTAAAGTAAATTTAGGTTCGTTTGTTCAGTAATCACAAATATGATGTCGTCTGCTACTAGTTATTTTGTTTTATCTCATACATTCTGAATGCTTTGGACATCTTTGTTAGAATCTTAGTGAGTTTCAACCAATATAATCGTTTTCTTTCTCATGAGAAGTAAGAACAATTCAGAATTAAAGAATAATAGATAGAAAGATTAATTTCAGCGAGCGTTACTTTATAAATGAATAACTTTCAACATTTAAATATACGCTTTAACAAATGATTTGCTTACATCCACAAAGCATCAAACTTGCTGGATATTCAAATAACAAACGAAATATTATTCAAACAAAATTGACTTTTTAAATAAAAACAATTGTTTATTCAAAATTATTTGGTAATTATTTCAGATCAACAACGTAGATGTAACTAAAGCATCTCACGAAAAGGCAGTGGAATTGATCAAGAAAAGTGAGGAAATAACGTTAGTTGTTTGTAGCGGTTCTGACGGTAAGTGTTAAGAAACCCATAAATATCACTTCCCATTAGTTTCCATTATTTAATTTCTTTAAAGAAAGGGATATATATAAGTAGTTGGAATGTTTTCATCGCAAACCTAGGATCACAATATCGAATGGTTACATGCAGTCAGTATTTATTTACATTAAGAAGCGAATGCTATTTATGTGAGTGTTTAACTATTGAGTTGAAATTAATATCTTCCGCATAATAGGAAACAATGATAAAAACACTGTAAGATGGCACGACATAATATCTTATGCCGTGTATATGGCAATTATAACTAGCATATAATGAATGTGTCATTAACCTTTCAAAGAATTGATGTTGCCATATTTCTGACAACAGACCATTTAGGCAAAGATATAAGGTAAAACCAATACAAAAATATAACAATATTCCATTGCATTTTATCATGGAGTTATATTCTTTAATATAAGTCTCTGATTTAAACATCTTTATTTGTCCGGATTCCGGCTGCTCTGGGTATTCCGAATCTCCGACCACCATCATTTGATATAATGCATCTGTACATAATTTTTATGTCTATTAATTTATTGCTCAAATATATTTTTGTATTTCAGAGTTAAAGGCTCGTTTGCAATGACAATGAAGTATTGTAATGATACTATTGTTATATCCATACATCGAAGAGTTGAAGTTTGAGAATTACAAAATATCGTTAATCTATTTACTTCTTACATACAGTGAGAAATAACTAACAATATACATAGTATTACAATGAAAATTTAGTATAAGTGGACTCTTGCGCGACATTTAAACTGGTCCGATTTTAGACGATTCCGGTTTTCAGAGTTTACAACGTATATGCTCAGAAAATAAACCTTTTAACGAATCTGAAATATCTTAGTGTATTCAGGAATCACTATGCCGAATAATAATGATTAAAAGGGACTGGCTATATTTTCATCTAATGACCCTCCAAGAAGAAAAATATAAGTGGAAAACAACAACAGCTGTAACAATATACGTCACGGAAATCAAAAATGATTGTTATCATTGAGTTCACTGACTGCAAATATTGTTCCACGATGTTCTGGTCTTCTGTGTATTTAAAAAATGGTATGTAATATACAATATACAGCTATTGATGATGTACATATTTTTCGATAAAGGGAACAGATATAACTTAAAGATTTAAAGCTTCCTATTAAAATGAAGCAAATATGAACTTAGGTATTTATCATTGTGTAAATATTGATACAGTTTATAAGTCATTGTAAACTTATAAATTTATGAATGTTGTATTGTAATAACGAATTCCGATGATGAAAAGGAAGTAACAATTATTATTACAAGTCGTAGATATGTGTTATATAATTCATAATTCATCATGTATAGTATTCTAGGCCTTGATATTTTCAATATTCTGTGGACGTTTCTTGTTTCTTTCATCATGATTTACTTGGCATAATGTTCTTGTAAAGCCTACTATTTTCTGTTTAAAATCATTTTTTTTTGTATCGATCGTTCACTTTTATTTGATTTTAATAGTCATACTTATTGATATTGTTTTTACACTGACGATGTGAGTGATTTAAACAAAATAATGTAAATCAATTAAACAGGAAATACCGTGATAAATCATACAACGATTTTAAACCATTTAATCATAAATGAATGAGCTTTAATGTTTTGTATTGCACAATTTGTTATTTATTTTGCAAGTGATATTTCTTTTGTTCAATCATTTACAAAATTTGTTTTGTAAATTGTACATTTTTATTTATGTACCAAATGTTTATTTTGCATATTATGCTTTAATACATTAAAGGTACTCCTCTGACGTTGCAGAACCTAAAATCTGAACATTGTAATTTCTTACACAGATCAACTAAGGCACTTAAAACCATAAAACATGAAACAGATATTTATAAATTTACTCAGAAACAAATTGAAAATCGTAAAATCTTATTTGTGTGCTATTTATTCGATTTTGGTGAAAAGCGTTGCAACGCTATTTGATTTGTTGGTCATTTTTCACAATTGAAATAATTATTCTGGCAAATTGGAGAGAGTGAATGATCTGAAATTTTGCACACAAATTACTGGTCTGGATCTTCATAAAATGAAACATTAATCTCGAAAACATATTTCCAGCCCAGTCATTTCAATAAATCAAAGTGGATCCCTTTAATGCCTCAACTGTTGTTTTTTCGCAAACCATAAATCTGTATCGATAATAAATTGTATATATTCTGCTATATCATGCTATAAATAAATATTAGCAACAAATTACTCGTATGCATGTTTTTTATACGTGTGATAATAAATAATTAGTAAGCTATAGTACTGATTAGGCCCATAATATAAGTAGTGTCTACAAAAGATAGTTAATGGTATTCTGTTCCTTTTTGTTTGTTTTCAAGAACTTTTATGGAATGCGTGTTCGTTTATAAAGTTATTGTTTCAGTATTTTATTGATTTCTTAACCGTAACGAATTTTTTCTTATAAATTTCTGCTAAGATAGTACCTCTTCAAATTTTAACTGTTATATCATTTGGCAAAAGATATATATTAGATAAGGCCTTGAACTTCTTTCTGGAAAAAATATAATCGAAATGTAGATAGAATGTGTTATTTTGTCTTGCCGGTTGCCATTGCACTTATTTTCTTTTTTTTTGGTTAAATGTGATAAGCTTATATTTTTCCCAATAAATTATTACATATAAGAAGAAACATTAGATAAGTCTAGGAGTAAATTTTGAACAGTTTGTGTTTACAACGTTCTTCAAGATAAGATTTAAAAAATGTTAAAATGGCAAGTAATGGTAATGTAGTTGTAATGGTAATGTTAGTGTCAGCAAATTACTTGCAAATATAATAGTTTCAGTCGCTAATGAGAAAAGAAATATTCTTACATATTAGACAGAACTTCCTACTGTTACACTTGTGCTAGAAAAACCTGTCTTTCACCCCTCAAGAAAAACAAGTCGCATATCATTTCCACGCTCCTTTTATAAATTAATTGCGTTCTTATGATAAAGTCATTTTGCCGTTATGAATTAAGTTGTAATTTCATACGCTACTATAAAAAGTGTTATATAAAAATATATGTTATTGTATTTTCTTTCCGAGATATCATCTATTTTTAATATGTAAGACTATAAATTTAAAACACCGATTGTCATCACAGACAGGAATATCTAGCTCTCTGGTAACTGTTTAGCGGAAATTCGGTAGAGCCTCGTGACCACCGTAAACAATTACCCTTGAGCTAGATATTTCTGTCTTTACCGGAAAGATCCTTATGAATTATAGCACCTTATCTAAAACAGTGACACTGTATTACGCCTGGCCCGTGTACACACACAAATGTTCCTGTATACAATGTCATCATACGGCAAGCGCGCTCTTGGAACCATACCGTAATAAAAATTGCATAAATCAGATTATATAAAAAACGACTTGTTAGTTCATGTTATTTCACACATTACGGGTATTTAAGACGGCTACACTGTTTCGTTTTGGTGATTATAGATATGGCCCGTTAATATCACCATGGTCGAGCGATTTGCCGATATGAGAAATTTTAAATCGTGACTGACAATTTCTAAAGTTGCAGATATTTAACGCAAAGGAAGACAATATTATAAGGAGACATTCATAAATAATGTCTTTGGTTTAAACATTATTTATTTTATAGTTCAAATATATACAATTATGTACAACATCATGACAAAATACAAGATTGAAAAGGAAGTCAACGACTTAAATTTCTTTCCTGTTAAAAGTAAAAATATAGTATAATGTACAGTAACAACACGTTCAGAATACTAGTTACTAACATAACATGATTGCACTTATAAAAAAAGTGAAATGAGTAATAGTAGTACAACAAACGAACAATAAAGTGAGTGTAACAACTGATGCACAATCATATTGAATTGTTATTTATAAGTTGGAGTAAGTACGGAATGTCACAAAGTGAAAGTACGTTTGTAAAATCTTGCATTATATTTTCACGCCGAACCTCATTTTTACTCTATATTCATTGATGTGAGATTGCATCATCTTTTGTTTAATTTAGAGTTTTCGGGTGAAATTATTATTTAGAGTATTTTTATGGTTGACCCGAAGATGACACGGGCCCTCCACACGTATGTCCATGGCTAAAAGGTGACGCATGCCCTTGTTCAGGATCCTATCAACTGTGCCAACACTGTAGGAAGTACAGTTACGCTTGATAAGATTTTATACAAGACGCCCGCCATTGTGACGAATTTTGTTCAACAACGCCACCACTTTATTGATACATAATGACAGAGACTTTACGGGAGAAATAGACTGAGATGCGTTGATAGTGTTTGTTTGCGTAGTGACTTTTCATATATAATCAATTTCATTTATAAATATTCATTTATTGTAAATAAATTTGTATATATTTTTCTGTTCCGAGTTGTTGGTTGTTTTAGATAGCAATTGTGGTCGGCCTGGTATCTCATCGTAGTCCCTATTGTGACACGGAAGAAAATACTTGGATGTGCGGTTTTAAATTCACACAAATATCTTTTACTAATTGATGTTTTATTTCGAAATTACAAATGGTAATTGGAAGGAAGTAATCTAGATAGTAGCATAGTTATAGAGGTAGACCCCATGTAGACTACATTTACTCATGTGATAATAAAAACATTTTTTTTTCGCTAACAAATAATCTATAATTGCAGACATTTTAGGCCCGTTTGAAAAAAAAATCTAAAAGTAATTAATTATTAAAAATACAGTCGTAAACAAATAGATAACAGTAACTTCAAATATCGTCTCGCTATCTTTAAGTTACACACTCTAGCATGTTTGTTTTAGTCATTAAAGTAAATCTTTAAGTAAATATTATCATTGCCATCTATAATGTTCATTATTGATTTCATGTTATGATAAGACAGTCGTTTGAAATTGAGGCTACCAATGGGGACAACACATTTAAAATATTTAACGTAAAATTGATGAAATTTGTCTTGTCCTGTCAAGTTTTTATACAATGGTACTACTATAATAATATCAGAAATGTTTCATGTATCAATGAATGTTCTTTATCTGCCCTAGATCAATTCTCGGTGGATTCTTTCTAATGTGATAATTCTAGTTTTTACATCCACCGCTGCCCGACATCACGCCTCCGAATTGTTTTTGGCCCGCATATAGTATTCTATATTTCATTCTGTATTTCCTATACTGTGGTCTGATATACTCTATGACTAATGTTGTTCCCAGTAATGGAGACCGATATCTGAAAATAAAGAATGTTGGTTACTTTTTCCAATTATTTTATCACTGCTAACATATCATGCACAAAAGTGTGTTTTAAGTGATATTATGCTAGTTTCTCATTGTCAAGTTGATCTGAATTTACCAGATATTTATAAAAAGATTGACTGTTTAAATGCTGATTGACCAACAGTTGCTATTGGAAAATGTTTATGATTAATCTGTCTAAAATATTAAAAGACTATTTCACTCTTTTTATAACTTGAACGTTAATGATTTGTTCAAGTGGATATTAACAGGAATTGTATTTGGTCACTTTATTTATTTATTTATTTATGCAAAGTAAGCTAATAATTTGACAAGAATCATGGCAAAAAGAATATTTTGACTTTTTACCCGCCCATTACTATATACCCTCAGATGGACTAAATTTATCTTTAAGCTTCAGCTATTTAATGATTGTCAATTCATTTAAGGCATTTAGTTCGTTCTGTAGATGAGTCCGGAAGTCTTAAAATTCCATAAGATAAATTCAGCTAATATATTGTCCAATGCGTTAACCTTTAAAGCTGTTTCCGCTCTAAAACAAATCAGTCACTCAACTGCTTCATTTATTTATGTCGGATAGAAATTTTAGATATTCAGATGTTTACAACATAGTAATAATTTCTGCATCATTCTGCTAATGATTTATTATCATTTATTCTGCTTTCATTTTTTCTGTGTCCTGTTGTTGAACTACGTAACATAACTTTAATATCGAACAACAAGAATAAGAGTTTGCTTACACTTCATTTTCACCATCTCTGATTTTGAAGCCGTCTTTTCCAATAATGATGTAAGTTTTGCCTTGTTCCAATTCTGGGAATTGGCAAGTGGAATTCCAGAAAAATGACATAACGTCTCCATCGTGAAGACTCTCAATCCCTGGAAGATGGCGTAACAAATTAAAAACCTAGCTAATCATGTGACACATTTCATGTGTACTTCTACATATGAGCCGCTTCACGACAAAACCAGCATAATGCGTTTGCGACCAGCATGAATCTAGACCAGCCTGCGCATCCGCACAGCATGTCAGGATCCATGCTATTCGCTTACCAACGCTTTTACAAGTAGCAAAACTGATAGCGAACAGCACGGATCCTGATCAGAAAGCGCGGATGCGCAGGCTGGTCTGGATCCATGCTGGTCGCAAACGCACAATGTTGGTTTTGTCGTCACGCGTCTAATATGATTAGAACTAAACTTTTATGGTCAAAAGCGTGCTCAACGTTTTCGGATGGTCACGAAATTGATGTTTTGTAATTACATGCAAATATAGTTTTTAAAGTAGTTTTAGTACTTCGTGACTACCATCTGTCAAACAGTAGTTCTAGGATTACTTGATGAGTGGCGAAGTCTTGTTACTTATAGGCAAAATGAAGAAAGATAACGGAACATATAACAAATGGGTCTTTTTTACTTTATAGGTTACAGATATGATCTTGATCTTTATTGACTTTAAACACAGATGCTTGAAACAAACCTTTTTATTAGTCGCCGGTAGAAACCGGCGACTTTATTTGTAACAGTTTAATATAATATCTATGGTAGGTGAAGGCCTTAAAAATTTTTAATATAAAAACAAAACAATTATTGAACAATTAAGGACCACAATTTATTTTCATAATCCTAAAAATTCAAACATAAAATAACGTTGCTCAATGAAATGAAATATACAAATATTGACATCTTTAAAAGCAACATTACAATTTTCATAAAATGAATTAATAATGTATCCCTATGGACCAGTCATTGAATTTAGAGATACTTTTACTTTTTTTAAGTGTCAAGCGTTTCTATTTTATGATAAATAAATCATGAGTGATATTTGAAATGACACTTTTAATTCATTTGGTTGTTTATATCTTATGAGACCATTTATATTTCATTATTTTATCTAATTATAAACAGATTCTCCCTGTTCTGTAAAAATCACGTGACTACACGTTGTATGTTATTGTTATAAAATCTATTAATAGTAACATACAGGTAGCTTGTAGGTATGGCGGCTGATGATGCAAATCATAGTAATTTTGTATAAATAATTACAAAGTTATTTTTCATTGATCAGTTTCATATTTTGTATCATTAGAAAGGTCTGTATACTCATAAAGAATATATTTTTAAAACCTTTATGAACTTTCTGTCAACGTTCAATAGTTTAGTTTAGGTTGAACATCACAAAATAGATTTATGCTAACGAGGTACAATTATTGAAATAAATAGTGGTAATCTGCGTCTTCGTTATATTCCGTCGATTTCCGTCGCGCAGGTTACCAAAACGGTATGACGGTAGGGGTCCGGAATAGTATTAGATATATAGAAAAAAACTAATAAACTATCTTTTTGTTGATATTGTATCAAAGGCAATAAAACGTTAACTATATCGTATGTAACGACAGGAATATTGATTTCAACTAAATTATATATTTTTTCGATAGCGCATAAGAATAATTTCTTTCATGCAGATACAACTTTTACGGCAGAATTGCATTGTTTTATGCAATAATTAAAACATATATATTTTCAGAGTCATCTCGATTTATCAACTTATGTTTCATATAAAAGGAAATAATAAAAATTATTTTTATGAAAACTACAAAAATGATTTTCAAAGATTCGAACTTGGCCTACTAGGTCACAACTTCGTCATACTTACCTCTAGGCAATCGAGCAATATTTATTGATTTAATATCGAGATCTATACTATCAATAACATTTTTAGCATTAATCATAAGTTACGTAAACTAACGAAACACCTCCCGAAAATTAATGACTCTCAGGTCAATATTTCCAAACAATACTTGCTTATTTAATAATTATAACAGTTCCTTGACAGTATTGCTAAGCAAGATTGCTTCAAATGTGATGTTTATTGTGAATAGACAGGTACTCAACATATTGTTCCTTTTTTCTTTATAGTTTTACTTAAACCATTAATTAAACTGATATTTCATTATATTTATGATAATACAATCATTTTTCTATCCGGCGACTTGATGCTTTAGCATCAAAACCTCTACTTGTGTTCTATATGGGCTATATACTATACTAAGATATAAGGCCTCCAACAGAACAAAAACATTACGCGGAACAAACATGAACACTGCTGCAAGAAATGGCCAGATCACGCATTTTGTTTCATTAAAATCCCCCAAATAAATGATTAAACTTTTCACAAAATGCCAATACATATATTTTCAACCCATGACATTTTCGACGTCCATTCTATTCATGTATACAAACAAGATTTCAGGTCGATTCTTACAAAATCAACAGAAAATGGCTAAAATTTACACATACGTTCCATAAACAAACTATTTTTCTATAGATCTGCGAAGTCACAACTGATTTATTCTTGGACAAAAAAAAACATATGACAAAGCAGACATATTAAATCACTCTTTTATGACTTAGGCCTTAAATTGACCTTAACCTTTAATATCAAATTATTGAAATTTTCTTAAATTGTCATAACTTTGTTTTTTATTTACAGATTTGATTTATACTCATGCGAAACAACACACATGACAAAACCCACATTTTGGTTATGACATTGAGCTTTAAATTGCATCGACCTTCATAGTTAAAATAATAACTTTAACTTAAATTGTCAAAATGATTTTTTGACATAATTGCAAATCTGTAAAGAAAGAAACTCGCCTTGAAAATAAATGACTGGCAGTCAAAGTTAAATTATTGTATTTTGCTTAAATTGTCATAACTTTGGTATCTATCTAAGGATATGATTCATTCGTTGACAATATAATACTTATGACAAACTGACATGAGATATTTTAAAGAAATCCTTGACCGTCAAGGTCATAACATTCAATTTAGCTTAAATTGTCATAAATTTGGTAACTAATTAAAATTATTGATTATAATGATCCGATTTGATTAATAGATTAATACTGAAACAAAACAGCGCATATGATAACACTAGCTATATTGACTTATTTAAGTATGACCTTGATCTGTAAATGACATTGACCGTTAAGATCAAATATTTAAATTTTATTTTATCCAAAAAAATGATGCTTTTAGAACAACAATTCTCTACTACAATTACATGTTTCCTCTATGTGCTTAATTTAAGAAAAAGAAAAGCCGAGCGTGGCCCCCGCTCAGCATTGTCTCTTGTTTTCATTGACGCACTTATGGTGTAACACAAGAAAAGCGCGCTTAACATTTTCCACCGTATCCTGAATATATTTCAAGAAAAATAAAATGTTTTAAGCATGTTCATGGTTGAATACTTTTGGAATATTGCTACATTAAAACTGTACACAAGTTATACCACACTTCAAATTCTTATACATTTTAAAACAAAAATGTTGGGGTTTTCATAAAGTAGTAGATTAAGGAAACTTCCCTCTGCTATATTAATACATTCTCTCATCAATGTCAACTGAGGGTGCTAAGATGTAAAGACGGACAGGCGGACGAACAGCAATCAATCACCATCTGTTAGGCCGTTAGCAGGGCTTAAATGCAAACGAGAATGATAATCAAATTAGAATACCTTGCCTGAGTGTAGTCATCACCGTGCCTCTTGCAATTTTCTCGAGTGCTGTCTCATCATACATAACCTCGTCTATTCTCACGCGTACAGCTGATTAGAATTCAAAATGAAATTTGTTCAGTTTATTGTAACAAAATTTAAATTTCAAACAGGCTCTATGAATTAGAACTTACGCCGTTGAATAATCATAAAATCATGGCTATCCCCTGAGTACTCTGAAAACATTTGTATACGTATTTGTGATATTCGACAAGACTTTTGGGCGTTTTTGTTGATCTTTAGAAACTCTGTTTCTGACTACTGTATTATTTATATTCTTTTTAACAACATGTGATAATTAGCAGTGGTGGATAAAATATTTAAGATAAAGATTATTAATAAATAAAATCGAACATACGAATTGTCGACATAAACGGTAAGAAAACTTATCAGAGTTGATAACCATATTCCCACTTAACACCAGTTCGTGAGCAAAATTATTATTATTAGTGTGTCATTTGAACAAAATCCTTTATAAATTACCCGTTCACCCTTTAGCATTATCATACAGGTGGTGGCAAATTGGCCATATAATACTAATTTGATGTACAAGTTTTTACAAAGGACGCCGAGATTTCCCCTTCCTTGGTAAATTTTAACAATTTTGCAACTTAACTTGCTTCCCACATTTAGTGCTAATTGATCAATTACATACCATATTTTGCCTTATCCGTATTACAGGCGCTATTGAACAGTTTTGGAACAGGTTTCTTCTTCATTCTGATTAACTGTTGAATTTCGTTTTCCACTGGTTGAACACACATACCTAAGAAAAAACATCAACGCTAACTTTATGTTTATAACATTACTTTAAACTTGATAATAATTATCATTAATTATTGTAACATTATCCAGCTGATATGCTTTTCGACATTTCTTTTCTATAAGAAATAATTTTTCAATATTATCCTTTGCAGAAATGTTTTCTTTGTTTATTCCTATGTCAGTGACCGTCTGGGTGGGCATTATATTTTTTACCGGCCCACTAAAGATTTTTAGAATATTACTCCGAATAAGATTTTACCAAACGCGCAGTGTACTAGCTGACAACTAAAAGATTTCAATACTTTTGATTTTATATTTAACAAACTATTCCAGTCAGTCTAAAACATTGGACGGACCTCATCCTTTTGCTAAAGTCTTTAAAATGTTTGCGGGCTGGCTGATCTGCCACGTTTAATGCCATGAGGTCCACAGTGCTCTATACTATTTTGTTATTTATGTAAAGTACATTACGACGGGGTTGTGGACCAAAACTTATATGTTCGTATTACTGTAACCTGTCTTACATTTTTGCAATACTGATTGCTTTTATTATTGACAATTTAATTGTATAAGTTTAATTTCGACAATTTTATACTTGACATTCTAAATGAAATACAGAAACATATTTTAAAACAATTGAATGAATTTCAACGCAAGATTTTTGCTTTTTTATATTTAAAATATCTTTGTGACATCCTAAAAATAAGAAAGAAATTAATCAAATATCAACAGGAAAATGTTTATCAACATAACTTACTTCGGGCGCACACACATTCCTTCTTGTTACTCTCGCATTTATAAGAGACGCTTTTGGCTCCATTTGGACCAGTACCATAAAACTGAGTACAATGTCTTTCTGTAAATAGAAATTTGAAGGTTATGAATAACTTTCGTTTTACCATTACCTAAAAGTCGACCGATAACTGATATTATCACAGAACAGAAAGGGGCCACAACATGCCATTACGTAAAAACTCAAACCTATACATGAAAATCTTAATAAATTTTAAGGAAGTTTAACTGTAATGCTTTCACGCCAAAACATTTCTAACATCTGCTAAAATTGTAATATATCAGTCATTTCTGGAACGTTTTTATTTCACAATCTTCGGTATTCAATAATTTTTTACCAGCTATAGCCGGAATTTAGTACAATGAGATAAAGGGCGAGTGATTGTAAATAATTCAATGTCCAAGATTTTGAAAAAATAACGTTCCGGAAATAACCGATTTGCTACGATATTGGCTGATGTTACATTTTTTGACGGGAAAGCATTACAGTAAGACTACCTAAAACAAGATATGTTTGTAAAACATGTATGCCCCCTATCAGCAGCCAATTAGTCATGTGATAAGGTTATTATGCATGACTTCTGACCCAGTGATCAAACAATTAATAAGGGTTATCAAGTATCTACTGGTCATGACCTTAACCTTTGACCCCTTGACCCAAAACTCAATAGGGGTCATCTGCTGGTCACGACCAATCATCATACAAAGTTTGAAGTTCCTAGACCGAAGCGTTCTTAAGTTATTGATTTGAAAGCATTTTTACCTACAAGGTCAAAAAGTGTGACCTTGCCCTTTGACCCCTTAACCCCAATATCAATAGGGGTCATCTGCTGGTCATGACCAATCACCATACCAAGTTTGAAGTTCCTAGGCCTAAGGGTTCTTTAGTTATTGATCGGAAACCGTTTTTACCTAAGAGGTCAATGTGACCTTGACCTTTGACCCCTTGACCCCAAAATCAATAGGGGTCATCTACTGATCATAACCAATCACCATATCAAGTTTGAAGTCCCTAGGCCTAAGGGTTCTTTCATTATTGATCGGAAACCGTTTTTACCTACAAGGTCAATGTGACCTTGACCTTTGACCCCTTAACCCCAAAATCAATAGGGGTCATCTGCTGGTCATGACCAATCACCATACCAAGTTTGAAGTTCCTAGGCCTAAGGGTTCTTTCGTTATTGATCGGAAATGGTTTTTACCTACAAGGTCAATGTGACCTTGATCTTTGACCCCTTAACCCCAAAATCAACAGGGGTCATCTGCTGGTCATGACTAATCACCATACCAAGTTTGAAGTTCCTAGGCCTAAGGGTTCTTTTGTTATTGATCAGAAACCATTTTTACCCAAGAGGTCAATGTGACCTTGACCTTTGACCCCTTGACCCCAAAATCAATAGGGGTCATCTACTGATCATGACCAATCACCATACCAAGTTTGAAGTTCCTAGGCCTTAAAGTTCTTTAATTATTGATCGGAAACCGTTATTGCTTACAAGGTCAATGTGACCTTGACCTTTGACCCCTTGACCCCAAAATCAATAGGGGTCATCTACTGATCATGACCAATCACCATACCAAGTTTGAAAGTCCTAGGCCTTAAAGTTATTTAGTTATTGATCGGAAACCGTTTTTGCTTACAAGGTCAATGTGACCTTGACCTTTGACCCCTTGACCCCAAAATCAATAGGGATCATCTTCTGATCACGACCAATCACCATACCAAGTTTGAAGTTCCTAGGCCTTAAGGTTCTTTAGTTATTGATCGGAAACCATTTTTGCTTACAAGGTCAATGTGACCTTGACCTTTGACCCCTTGACTTCAAAATCAATAGGGGTCATCTACTGGTCATGACCAATCACCATACCAAGTTTGAAGTTCCTAGGCCTTAAGGTTCTTTAGTTATTGATCGGAAACCGTTTTTGCTTACAAGGTCAATGTGACCTTGACCTTTGACCCCTTGACCCAAAAATCAATAGGGGTCATCTACTGGTCATGACCAATCACCATACCAAGTTTGAAGTTCCTAGGCCTAAGGGTTCTTTAGTTATTGATCGGAAACCGTTTTTGCTTACAAGGTCAATGTGACCTTGACCTTTGACCCCTTGACCCCAAAATCAATAGGGGTCATCTACTGGTCATGACCAATCACCATACCAAGTTTGAAGTTCTTAGGCCTAAGGGTTCTTTAGTTATCACTCGGAAACCATTTGGTCTACGGACCGACGGACCGACGGACCAACGGACCGACGGACCGACAAGTGCAAAGCAATATACCCCCTTTTCTTCGAAATGAGGGCATAATAAAGTATAATCTGGAAATCTTAAACATATGTCTAGTTAATGGTAAAGAAATTGAAGAATATCAATTAACTTACTCCAATCATATATTGGTCGTAACTAAGGTATCAACATTTAACTGTTTTAATATCATATATAAAGAATGAATCAGCCCCGCTTCAAATTTAGAAAAAATAACAACTATAAATAGTGGGTGGTTTTATATTAAAATCTTAAGGAACCAACTTTAAGTATTTTTGGCTGTTTAAGTTTACAATTCCTTTTTATTTCACTTATCCTCATTGCAGGGCTTGTCCATTTAATGACTCATTTCAAATATTTATTATCTATTTAACAATCTAATAAATACCTGGGTTGTAGTAGTCGTAAACATAAATTGAAGATGGTTGTCTTGAATTTATTTCTCCATCAAAGCTATCCTTCAATCTGAATATGAAGCTTGTCTTGCTTGAAGAAATCTGGTAAACAAAGAAAAAATCATAAATTTCATTATTATTACACAAAGAAGAAAACATAAATTGAAATGAATTTGAAAAAGAGGAGAACATGTTTTTTTTTTAAAATAAATGTCTAAATAAAACATTTTATACAAATGATATAACAAATATCATGTGCTTTGAAAAGTTAAAGATTCTCCTCATCTAAAAGGGTTTGAGAAATCAGCTAAAATATTTAAGTCAACTAAAAGGCTATTTAATTTGATGACTTTCAAATTGGTTTAATTCTCTACATACAGATATAACCTATATTAGGGACCATGCTCATTGACAGCTCAATATAATTGTTATTTTGGGCAAAGTTTCTGCTCATAGAGTTCTAGGTAACACTATAAAACAGATATAAAATTATGTTTTTCTTTTCAACCAATGTTATTAATATGATAAATATTTCGTTTAATGACTTTGGCCGGTAGCATCCAAAAGTAATTTTTCGAAGTTTGCTTAAAGATGAAGCAACTGTTCAACGACAGACGGAGATAAGCTATGCATGAACGGTATGGTGAGCTAAAACAAGACAAATTATCACAAACCTCGTTTAAGTAAAACATGATAAAACCCCTGCCATCAGATGGCATTTCGTAATATTTGATGTTTGCTTTATCAGCAACAAGCTGCAAAAGAAATAAGGAGACCCAAAACATCATTCTCCTTTACTATGAATATATTTATCATCCCTGGCTCATAAAGAATAATGCCACTTTCCTAGCAATTCATAATTGTGGTCATAATAATATTTGACTTGAGATTCACATTTTGTGAAGTGATTGTAAAGGTTTGTATCAGGATACCGTTTGCAACCAATAAAACGACATCACATTACCATTTATTACGAGACAATTAAAAATATGCAATTCAGTCACGAAAAAATGATTCACTTTCAATTCGAAAGACAATGAAAAATGCACATTTAGACATAATCACTGGTACAAGAATGGAAAGTATTTTATGTTTAGCATGTTTTACGTAAAAAGATAAAATATTTACCTTATCTAAATCAGACTTGATCACTCCAACACCTGTCTCTAGCCCAAACTTCACAATGGACATGCCATATGTGTCATTATTTTTAGAACTTTAAAAATACAATTTATAATACAGAAACGCATGTAAGGTAAACAAAAATACAATTTTAAAAACTAATCTAATAAATATCATTTCTTTGAATAAGTAAAAAAACTCAAATGTAAAATATTTTGTCATTTTCACTGAGACATCAATCATCTAAGCATAACTGTATTAGAAGAATGATTAACAGAATTTCAACAGAAACATGATTTATAAATGTACATGATTACTGCAAAAATGGTTATGAGCAGTCTTCAATTAAACATGGCATTGATAAAATGTCATTATTTGTTTCATTCGCCGAAATATTTAATATTAGATCACATTAAGTTTTCACCCTAGCTCTATATGTTTTGAAATCATTTCCATGTCTGCACAGAAATACCATCTGCCAATATAAAAGCTGTGGGCATTGTTATTTCAGATAGAAAACTTTAGGGAAGCCACTGAGGTACGAAAGCTTAAAAACAATTAAATTTCTTACATAGATTTCTCCCCTAGAAACAGAAATATTAACATTGTTTGTGTTATAGAACACACTCATAAAAAAATTCATATCTTCATTTTAAAAGTAAAATTATTCTTGAAACAAGAGGTAGAGAAATAACTCCCGACTACTGCGGAGTGCTTGTAAAGCACTCAATTTTTATATACAGACACAGTTTTGTGATACCCTGGCGCCAGCTTACTTTTCGTTTTACATACAGAAGGTGCTTACCTAATACTGAAACGAATGCACTTTATTTTAACAGTAAGGTTGGTGCGATGGCTTGAATCTCCTTTCTTTCTCCCAATGTAACTTTTCTCCCTGGGTTCTATTTCTTGCGGATCTCCAAAATAATCGCTGTCGGCGTAGGTATTATTGCCTTTATCATCCTCTTCACACTGACCACATACGTCACAATTTCTGTTAACCGGTAATTAAATAATTCATATCTTAACAATCTATAAGAAATAAAAAAAATGTTTGTTTGTTTAATTTTACGCCTTTTTCCTAACAGTATTTCAATCATATAGGCGGGTAGTTTCCTAACCATAGTTCCTGGAGAGTTACACCAGTATTAGACAACCTTCCTCCGCGCTAAACTACCAAAGCATCTCCCGTGGATCGAACCAACGCCAGAGAGGTAACTGGATTAGAAGTCATCGACTCTAACTCCTCGACCACGGAGGCGGTGAAAAAAATTAAAATGTATTCAAAGCAAAAAAGAACTATTCGATAATCTTGCATAAATCAACACTGTAAAATAAAAGCATATTAAAATCTATAGGATTGAGTAATTATATTTGTGAGTTACATTGAAAAAAGACACAGCTTGTGGAGTAATAAAATACCTTGATCTGGCCAAAGTGTTATTAATTGGTGCATCTTTGGCATCTTGAACATCAATATCAGTGATCGTAAAGGGGCAGTAATGTTCTTCTGTTGAGGCGGGCCTGTTATAACGGAGATCAATTGACATAACCGCACTTTCTCTACCTTCAACTATAACCGAGATTGTGTTGTTTCCAGTCTTAACGGGTAACTACAGACAAAACAAAACATACTCAGTTGAAGGTAAGCAATCATTAGATATAATGTTAACAATACTTAATATTTTTTTCTATCTTTTTGTCATACATACATGTACATTCATTTATCTTGAATGTAAAAATATTCAAGTACAACATGTTTTTTAATATACTTCTGCTACCTTTACACATTGGCATATGTACACACATAAAATCAAGTCTTACTTTAAAAGTAATATAAATAATAATGGTAATATAAATAAATATTTACAAAAAATAGCCTTGAGAAAAATTTTATTGATATGACATAAATGTAAAGTGTAAGCGCGACTTTGACTTAATCACTATATGACTTGGCTTAAGAAGGCGTCCAATCATACATATGTTTTATAGGAAATCACTATGACGTTTTTAAGGAATGAATAAAACTGGTTCATAAAAATGTTAGTAATGTGTCTGTGGCTGGGGTGTTTGTTTTTCATTCCAATTAGGCTCATCATACCAGCATACCCTGAAACCCACCTTTGGACATTTTACGGGACAAGAAATCCATGAAGCTCGCATGATCATAAGGAATCTCCCATCATAACGTTTTGACTTTTAATTATCACACAAGAAATGCTGCATTCCTGTCATAATACATGACCCTCAATAAAACTTAACTGAAAATCATCCGGAGTCACCTACTTGCCATGGAAAATGTCCTCCCAAGTTTCACAAATTAATCACTTCTTTAGAAACTGTTCGGACAAGGATTTTACATAAAATGTCACAGTGACCATGAAATTTGACCTAATTACCTCAACATACATCTATATAGGGGTTACCTACTTCACATAGATTATGCCCTTAGAAAGTTATACAAATCACGGCTAATTTCTTCTTCAGTCGTTATTCGAAACTGATTTTAGAGTGCACGCACAGAAACGCATGCGTAAGTTGTAAGTATGAACGGACCAACTGACCCCCCTTTTACAGTAATACGCAATTTCTCAAACTACTTTCTACCACTTATTCATGCCTATACACATTTCTCAAACATATATTTGTTTTCTTTTAAGATCAATAAACACCAATTACGTATGTTAAGGTCATATGAAGATTGTCAACCTTGTCATGTGGATAATGACGTCATTACATCGTGCATTTATTTTCAGGCTCGTGCAAGTATCTTGGTAGGTCAACTGGCCTTCACTTAGCTAGCTAGATAGCTTACACTTAATGGTTAACATAATTCGAAATCACAGCCATTAGAAGCAAGTTATGTAAGTCAGTGACCTTAACCACACAGTCGAGGAATACCTTATCAAAATTATCAGAATACATCTTACATCTTCTATAATGTGTTGAACAATACCATTTTCTGTAGTTATTTGTCTTTGTTTACCAACCAAGTTGTCTGCTACTATTGTAACATTGAGGTTAATCTCTCGAGATTTGGTAGCGATTTTGTACTGAGACAATGCTTGCAAGCCAACCACTGTATCCTAGACAATTGAAAACACATGCAATTTAATAAAATGAATGATGATTATAATAATAATTTAATGACAATAATAATAATAATAATAATAATAATAATAATAATTATAATAATTATAATGAATATAGATAAAAAAAAATCTCAGTAATAATTACCGATGGATAAGTGCTAAAATGTACATCGTGCACTCGGATATTGATAACTCGTGATACATAAATCTTCATTGAATCAATCTTCAATTGTCACTTTCAATCAGTCTCAATGTTACCTGTGTTGTTTTAAATGATCCTGTGGCATCTCTTTGGGAGGTCAGCCAACTTACAATAGACGAACTTGTTTTAATGTCCCCGTATTGCAACAAAGCAAGAAGAGCGTATGCAGTTGTTTCTACAGAATTAGCGTTTGCCGGTTTCCCTCCCGGGTTTCCCCAGAATGTACCCTCTACAAAATACAATGATTAAGATAATCTTGAAACTTTATTTAAGCAATTATAATTTATGCATCAGTCAGCACTCCAATGTCTATAACAAAGAAATTTAAGTAACAAAAAGTGAAATAAATTGGTAAGTTATATTCATTTATTACATGAACTGAACTGTCACTGTTGGTCATGAATTGTAAGAAAAAAAGAGTAACGTACCCCTATCAATTTTCTTTATGTCTTTTAAGTATTTCACAAACGTGTATGTTTTTGTGCTGTCAGACAATGCTAAAGCATATGTGGTTATTGCCAAAAGATATGGGTTGTTCTTCAATTTCCTTTCCGGTAAACGCTCTATGTAATGTACTGATCTGTCAAAGCTTGCGCTAACTATCTAGAAAAAGGACAAAAAGGTATAAAATGTCATTTCCAATCTTTACTGTTTGTTCATTGATCAATTTGTATTCTAAGAGATAAATCAGTAATATTCATGTAAAATACTTAAACAAAGTTAAGTGTAGAATGAGTCATAAAAACTATGTTGCTTGAATGTGTATACCACACATTCGTGAGTCAAATTGGAAGGTAAGTCGCATGTATAGTTAAGTTACATAAACTGTTTTAAGTTATATAACTCTATAATAATAAATATACAGTAAGTCACATGCAGATGGAATCGCATGCTGATAAGCAATATATAGAGTAAAACGATCTAAGGATCAGCAAGTGAGTGCATCGTTTATCGAACACAGTCATATAATAACCTCTAGTTAAAGCAAGCAAGCAAATATGGGCAACTTAGTGATGCCATGATGTAAGAACGTCCTTTTAAAGTAAGTTGCACGGAGAGATAGTCACGTGTGGGCAAGTGCGTTTTTACATGCTGGAAGTTTTAATTGATAAAATGTTGCAAGGTATAGTAAGATAGACAAATAAAAATACTTCTTTGATAGTTGTAAAGATGACTCGCACTTTAAATAGGCACTAAAGGCTGACATGAATATGTGTTTTATTTAAATGCCATAATTAAAATACTCAAAGGGTAAAAAAAAACTAAACGAAGACTTACACCATATTTACCACCACATTCCTGTAAAGCAATCAGAATGTAGGCTGTAAAGGAAGGATCTCTTTCGTTGATTTGTCCCTGATAAAAAAGAAATGTTTCTTTTTTTTTATCTAGTAGATGAACGAAAGAGTTTTTCAAATTTAGAAATCTAAGAAATGCATTTGGTTTTGAATCAATTTGTCAATGCACTCAACTAAAAACAAAGGTTTTGGTTTATTGTTTTGTTTATTTTTTGGATATCAGTTTAAAAGTATTGTACATTAAATGCTTTCTGTTAAAGTTATATTGTATTGCAACGATGCACGAAATTTGAGAGTTCAAAACACTTCTTTGATTATCTTAGACACAAAAATGTAACATCTTAACGCTCGATCTTACCATCATTTCTCGGTGTAATACTGGCATATTATCAGTAAACGATCCATCAGCATGCATATTGTAATTAAGCCAGTTAATGATGTGTTTAATATATTTCTCTTTGACAACAGCATAATCTACAACCGTGTTAGCTTGACAAAACACCTTTGCAACAAATGCCGTGAGCCTGTAAAAAAGTTAGTAATCATATTGTTCTTGTCTTTAGACTTGACAAACGTTTGAAACTCAATGGATAAAATAAAGTACAACTGATACTGACTCATTTTTATTTTAATCTGTATTCTTTAACACTTTTCTGTAAATAATTTCGCTTGTAACATAACCATTTGAAATATTTTTTACTACCCTTTCAAGGAATGTTAAGTTCTGACGCCATATCACATATGTATGAGAACAGTAGAGATAATTTAAGAATAGGGAGCAACATATAACGTTTGGAGCCTTGGACAGTATTAAAGCACAATCAGATGAATAATCGCACATACACTGAGAAAATCATTAATACATAAATAAAACACACGACTTAGCAAGCAAAGAAAAATGGCATCAACCTTACCACTTTATAAGCACAACAATTCAAAATCAGATAGTCAGGGGTCACAATGAATTTCCCAATTTCATTCACCCAAACTAAGCGCCCATTAAACCATAGTTCTTAACACGTAAACACTGACACTTAATAATAACAATTAATAGCAGGACTAGCATAGAATTTATAATCAATAATTGATTCATTGGTCAAAGACATGGACATAGCATAAAAGAAATATTGCCCCTTCTTCCATGAATAAGTCTATCTTTACACAGTACCAAATGATTAGTGTCTTTACAGACCACACACTTACCAAGTGCTGGGCGGTCGGCTACGCATGATTGCGTATGATCCGTCGTGTTGTCTAAATTTTGAAATCTGTTTTCTTATACCTGTAAAACACATGCAATATTACAACTGTGTGCCTTGTTTTTGTTAAATTCAAAAATGTAACTGACCAACAATGAAACGAGTGTGTGGAAATGATATTTGTTCGAGAATATAACAATCTGATTGCCATTATTATCTACATTATATAAAGAAATTTACAAGAAAGTTCAAGGCATGTTTGCTGTCATTAAGCTCTATCTTAAATATCATTTTCTAAACATCAACAGAAAATAGAAACCTTCTCTAATCCATTGATATCCTTTTGCTTCTATTTCAACCGTCTCTTGTTCCGTTTCCTTCAAATAAGCTAGGGCGTATACATTTGTAGCAAGCCGTATCATTGTCTGCTCACCGAAGCCGATAGGCTTTCGAAACAAAGAATCAACGCCTCTGATAGTCGTATTGACAACATTGGTCATAACGATACCTGAAGATTGTATAAAGCAGACAACACATTATTAAGCTTTAGAAATATTGGTTCTATAATGAAAGAAAGTAAACACTTGTTTATGATCATAATCACGTGAATCACGTGGCCTTTTTATCTCGAGTGGACGTGAGTTTCCTTCTAGACCAACTAAACGCTCCTTAATTCGAACGTCTTTGATTACAAAGCAGACACGAAACATACATATCTAGCAAGATCAACTCAAAACTGGCAGGTAGGTAGTATTTTGATGGATGCACTGGTAGTTGTAGACTGTTACTGCTAACTTTAAAGGAAGATTATTATTAATTGTAATAGTAAGGTTTAAAATAACCTTAACAGCTTCGGCTTGTTATGCTGTATCTAATATCCTTGTTGTGAAAGGCAGGTTTTAGCTGCAGTTAAAGAAATACCTGATGTTCTTTTCAGTTACTTATACATATAAAATATAAAGAATAAAATCCTTTAGTGTTAAATGAACATTAGGTGACAATTTAGTGTCTTAAAACACTACAGATACTCTGATAAAAGAGAAAGTAATCATTATTATTTGAATGATATCACGATTTCTGTGTGACATGTTTATATTCATCTATAATTGGTTTTAATTGGACGTCTACAATGCTGTGTGAACGGATCACGCCCTCATCTTCCATCGAGTCGGAATTTTCCAATACACAGTGTTAACCGGGTTCGGCAGTGCCTTCTTCAAACGGCCGGTGTTGATAATCCACACTTGTGGCGGAAACTTTCTAACTCAATATGAAAGAAATCGTTTATTGCGGCTCAAAACGCCTCCCGATTATATTCATAAGTGATTGCTCAGATATTTGTTATGATAATACATCTACAATTTAGATTCTGAACTTATTCGTTATATAGACCATGGCTACAGAAAATAATTGGCCATTAAGTTATTACCTTGGATATACGCAGTAGCTGCCCCTGTTTGTGAAATTGTATTTCTGGGAAGCGTCAAATCTATTACGTACTGTCGTTCGTAGCTGCTTACCTGAACTGAAATTATTAGAAAAAACAAAGGACTGAATGTCTTAGCACTACATGCATTTGTTTCATAACCCCCTATGCCGTAATCTTTTCATATACTATCAACACCAGACGGTACGAATTTCCTTCAATATTTCGATTTCTTCAAAATGAAATGATCAGCTCTAATCATGTAGCACGTTGTTGTATGTAAATTAAGTTAAAACAGGCACTTTATATTGTATTTAGTAACTAGTTAATATAAAGACATCACATTGTTTAAGTTTACTTATAAAAACATTGCACATTCTTAAAACAATCGTTTTTATTTTATGGACTTTGTAACACTGTACATACTTACATTCACGAACTACACGTTTACCATTCTTACAATCGTCTGTCTGATTAATTGGGTCTAAACACACAACAATTGTTATTTGTTCTTCTATACCCTCATTCTGTTTAATAGATAACATACTTTATCAGACAAATTACGTAGTAAAGCACTTAGATCTCATTTCAGCTTACATTTGCTTTCTTTTTGTACCTTAATTTATCAATTAACACTTGAAAACTCAAATTATATAATGTTCAAATCAGTTGCTTTTCTTGCATCTACCTCTAAAATAACGATATGTCAAGGAAACCATCGCTCGTGGAATCGGAAAGAAAAATATATGATTGGCATATAAAAATGCGGTCTAATATCATTGTAATCGTTGTATAATGAACATTGTATCAACAATTAAATGAAAGCATTTTGATGATGTTTGTTACCAACTAACAATATTTCAACATTAAGTCATAATCAGAAGAACTATGTAAGTTAAAACGTTTAAAACTTAAACCGAGCTGAAATATTTAAAAAAAAACATAGTTAATATTGATGTTTAAGCCTAGGTGTAAAAATATTTACCTATAACCAGATTAACCTTAATTTTTCATTTTTAAAATTATTATCACGAAAAGCCTCATTTTAGCAATATTCATATTGCTTATTAAATTAAATCAAATATTCCAATATCAGTTGAATGTCATTAAACAATTTATGTTTTAGATTTCTTTTAAGCCACTTACTACTACGTATAGTTTCTTTTCAACGACATCCACTTCCGGGATATCACCGTTCGAAACAATGGCGGTCATTTTCACAGGATAAAGACCGCTTTTAAGAGGTATCACTGGAAAAGTTACTATTTTCTCGCTATTTGGAGGGAGCTCAATTTTAACTCTAGGTGATGGTTTCCCTGGGTCGCTGTTAGAACATAGATTGTCCACTCCTTGCAAGTAAATACTGACCTAAATAGAAACATTGCTTACATGAAACATTTGTTTACTCATGACATTTATTACTGTGATCGTAATGTGACTTTTACCCCACCACAAGCTTAAAAATAAAATGAGATGTATTCAATCAATCATTTTGTTGATCGGTATTAACATTACACTTAAATGATAATGTTCAGTCAATACTCCTGTAAGTATTATATCGAAATAAAACAAAAGAAAACACAAGTTGCATCACAAATGATGCTTTGCCAAAACGTGGAATAATTCACTAAAATATTATAGGCAAGGGAGACAATATTTTGAGGTTTCAATTTCTTTTCTAAAATATTTCCAGTTTCTACAATCACTGACTTTTCGTTGGTCGGTGTACATACTTAACCTTTTTCTTTACTAATCAAATTCTTGAGTTCTGAAGTGTTATCTTGACGAACACAAGTAGAAATATGAACCATCCCTATTTTGCATGTGAAAGGCCTCTACTCTCTTTTAGATTCAGATAAGATATCATTGTTTTAACAAAACATAAACATTGACGAATGATAACTTTCTAAATTTCGGTTACTCAGACAGCTCACTGTACCATGATCTCAAAACAATTCACAATTAACTAAAACTCGTACACATTTTAATATGAAGGCAACTGTAAATTGCTTAAATGTCGTTACAATGTCATACTAACCGTTTTATTGTCATCATTTGGCACACCGTAATTAAATATCGTTGCTTTTACATTGAAATGTTCAAAACGAGTCGCTTTAAACGGAAGATCAAGTTGAATGAAAAAATCTCTGAAAGCCATTAAATCGATTTCGTCAGCAATACACATTCCGTCGTTTTCCGTAATACCTGCAATATTATGCAAAGTCTGGAAAGAGATGATTCATCGACAGTTATGACAACAAAGCATATAGTTGACAATTATACACTTTGTTTCGTGAGAGGTAATGAAATGGGTAACATCTCTCAAGACCCTCTCACCGCCTTAATAGGTATTCAATCATAAACACTAAATATATTAGAATCAATGACCTCGAAGGACCAGACGAATATAACAACACTGGGATGAAGTAAAATGTCGGTGCTTGGGGCGTGCGTGCATATTTGTTTTACTTCTCAACAACAAGTGCCGTGTGACAGATGTAAAAAGTTGTCTTGTACTTTACTTCATTGTTGTTATATATTTTTGTTCTTTCGGAATCACTGATTCCAGCACTTAACGTGTTAAACAGAATTGAGTACCACTCAAACCGTTGCTATGAGCGTGCGGGGTGTTTCACCTATTTAATTATCCCCAATGTACAGGCTCAATCGAACCGAAACTGCAATTTTCATATGTTTTGTTGTTATGATTAATACTTCCGAGGGATCATTTTTTTCTTAATTTTTTTACAGCTGTACAAAACATTTGACACCTGCATTTGTGAATATAATGGAGAAGAAAGGAGAGGTCCCTTGAGAGTGATGGGAAATGTAAAAAGTTGACAATTGCTTGCTTTGCTAAACTGAGACTTGTTACAAATAAAATTATCAACTCCTACGATAATAAACAATGAATTACTAGAGAATAACGACTAAATACTGACTGGTCATTAAGATAGTATGTTTACGTATATCATAATTCTTATAACACAATATTTGACAGAAAATTGACATATAGAACTGAACTGATTTCCATGAAATATTATGTAACTTATAACGTAAATTGATCTGGCACACAGTAGGCAATTAAGATGATGTATAGCACATTCAATCAGAGATGTTATATTTCCGGTCCTCAAAGGTCGTTCAGCACGACATTATTGTTGTGCTTGTGGTAATTTAGTTTTTTATATTTGGCTATTTTCTTATTGGGTGGTTCCAGTATTCCTCAATTGAATACTGTTTAATCACCCTTAGGATATGTGGCCTGCTTTTTAAATTTGTCTTTTGATGTCTTATTTGTGATACGCAGGATCTGACCCCCTTTTCAAAATTTCATTTTATTTAGTTCCGCCCATTGTTTTCTCGTTTAGGGCACACGCATTTTTTTACTTGGGGACCATATGCCGCTTTTCATGGAATGGCACTTGCGTGTCACATTGAAGGTTCCATGATAACCGCCATTTTGAACACATATTCGGATGTTTCAAAATTCAAAATTCGGTAGTTTGCACTTGACAGTACCGTCCATGAACAGGCTCAATCAAACCGAGCCTGCAACATTTTTAATTTTGCCGTGTTGGGCTTTCTTTAGGGATTTTTATTTTCTCTGTTTTATACAGGTAACTGAACCAGAATTCCATATTTTTGATGTGTGGCGGTCGCTTTTCGTTAAACTGTACATACTCCTATACATTATTTAATTTTACACGAACACGAAACGTACAGAACCATGATTTAAAACTTCAAAACCGTGATTAAATTAGACTATATAATGTCCGTTTGGAGCAAGTCATTACAATATATCAAGCCTATCACTTTTAAATATCGATACAAACTTACCAATTGCCTGTATACTCCATTCCGTCATAGTGTCGGGGACATTGAGCTCGATTTGCATCTGACCATTTCTTAAAACACACACATAAAAAATTGGCAACTTAACAATTAATGTAAGATTAAAGTAGTTTAAAAAAAGTTTAAACTTAAAGGTCTTAACAATACCTAACAATACCGATAAATGAAATACTGTAGTGAGAGAAATTAACAATGACAAGAGGGACATGACAGCCTTAAATAACTCACCTCGATCAAATGTTATTAGGTGATTTTGTGGCGGCCATTTCTTAACAAAGAGCCAACATGCATAAAACTTTAGAAGAGCTTGTACGCACATATAAGTTCTAAGACATGTAATTTCAAACAAGAATATTTAAATGTTTTTTTTTTCAGTTATAACTATCTGTACAAAAAGACTGTCCCAAGAACGTATTTTATCGTAATTTGAATAAGATAACAAGTCTACATGTGAATATCAAAGTTCGAGGCAACAAGAAATAATTAAGTCGCTGTAAATTTAGTGACTCACAGAGCGGCATTAAGTCTGGGCATGATTTATAAAACTGTTACAAAGGACTATACATTGGTTTGTGGTCCAGTCTGTAAACTTTGGGTATCGTGACTTTAGAGACAAGATTAAGAATGTTTAGAAATGTGTCAATCAGAAGTATATGTAACAAAAGTGTGCTCGAGACGAAGTTGTGTTTGACTACACATGAGTAGTATAACTTTATGTTTAACTGAAATTAAGCAGTAGAAGTCTACAAAGCGATGCTTCATGTCAAGCATATTCTATAGCCTATCAGAGCAGATCTGATGATTTAAACAAGGTCCGATATAAGCATGTACAAATGAAATGACCAATCTACCCGGGAAGTGGATTTGGCAATTTTGATGATCAACTGATGCTTCCTTAGTGGAAATGTGGCAACTTTTGTAGTAGATGTCTTCTATGGAATATAACATTCCAAATATTGAAGCTGTATGTCATGTTATTTTAGATATAGTTCTTATAAAAGTAAATAACGTCCCTAGAGACATAGTAAATATATCTTGTAAAGAGGACCAGTAGGTGATGTTACATGGAAACTATCTAAAGTCTGGGCAGAAGATTTTTGTAAAGCATATTTTAGCTCATTTTCCTATTGATCATTCAGTTAGCAATAAAGGAATAAATCCGGTAAGCGGACTTTATAGATAATGATATCATCAGTTACGTGCATTCATTACTACGTAACGTTAAATAAATAATAGGCAAGTAAATGTTATGTCGCAAATTCGGGTTATTGTACCTTATTGATTAAATATAAGGGGCAAGTAACTCACTTATCTAGACTGAAGACATCAAACATCCAGGATTCTCGGTAATCTGATCTTGTGTAACTTTGGATACCAGCATTAGCCAACTTTGCCATATCCTCCCAATAGTCACTGTTTTCGTCTAATTGTCCTGTAACCAGAAACATTATTCCCTTGACATTTCATGAGTAAATAATCACAATTTTATCATAACAAATTTTACACATATTATGCCCCATTTACTTTTAACGTTTATAAGGGGTCAAGTAATTGTTTGAGGAGTTCTTTTGTAACTAATTGAAAACAATCCTGTCCTGTTGAATTTTTTTTTGAGGATCCCCTATCTGACAAGAATTATTTTCGTTGAGAAAACAAAATTTACATTTACAAAGAAGATATAGCGATGCATTTTCCATGGATAACAAAATTCTGCGGGATTAATTTTTCGTTCCTATATTGAATGTTTACACAACATTTACAAATCAAATCTACGTGTACCTTTCATAATTTTGTTGTTGTTGGTGTGACTTAAGGTCATTTTTCTATACCCTCAAAGAAAACAAAACTAAACAAACAACAACAACAATAAAAAAAGAACCCCCCCCCCAAAAAAAAAAAAAAAAAAAAATAAACAGCTCTCAAACAAGTATTATTATTAGTGATTCTGATATGGCACTTTAGTGTAAATTGTAAACGTCTGCCAATACAAAATCTGAAACAGAACTGTATGTAAATTGGTTTTCCGCCAAGACAATCTTAACAGAAGATCATTTAATTCGCCAAGGATACAGACTTACGATACTAGCATCCTTAGACATTACGCTTATATTTGCACTGTTAAACATGCTTGGAGAAATATGTGAAACATATTGTTTATTATGTAATATTTGCTTCGTAGGTTAAGCAACTTGTTAGTATTTCATCAAGCAAACACTTACCGTAGGCATCACGACGTTTTCTTGTATTTCCCTTACATCCGGCTGTGGTCCGTATTATATCATTTTCATCCAATAAAGAGTTAGTTAACACTGTCAGTCCGGTTTTCTGACATGAAATTTCATTTCAATTAAATTCTCCAATATATATTGAAAGAAAAAGCAAGCACAGGTTAAAATTTTTTATGGCGTCCAGGTTATAACATAGATAAAGTGGACAAGGCGCTGGTGTAGTCAAATATATGTTCTGCAGCTGAATTTTATAAATAATTAGAACAAAAATCGATTCAGAAAGCTCACAATTGTTTCCTACCTTAAGCTGAGTAAATATAAATAAATATCTACAGACTGATTTGAAAGATCAATATTGAAAACATATATCGATTTTACCTACAGCATAAAATACGTAGCTATCAACTTCAACCGGAACATCGACTATCAAAGGTACTGTCCCTCCTAGACCATGTTAAAATTCATTTGGCAATATGACTAGTTTTAGGTAATGTAAAAATACTATTAAATTTGACTTCTAAAATGAAAAAGACGAGAAAACAACGAGCATGTCCTGATAGTCTGAAAAGTAATTTAATTGATATTTTATTTGTGCTCTTCGCTCTTGAAAAAATACTTAAAATGAACCTCGTAGAAAGATTTTCAATGTGTTCACTTCAAACATATAATATCTATATCACATGCTCTACCACTTTGATTGGGGATGGTACATATCAGATTTGCATTTATAGTATGATTTACGAGGGAAACATATGTTCTGACCTTGAACACATCAGCTCCTGATCTCCCTCCACCTTCTCCACAACCAAGGTCATGTGACTGGAGAGTCTCAAACATCTGACAAAATATATCAATATCATAAGTTATCCGACATTTTCAAAAAGCGATTTTTCATTTCATGCAATAAAAATCTTTTGATTATAGGCACTTACAAAGCAAACCTGCAAAGGAAAGTAAAACTTCATAATTTTATTTATCTTATTCGAAAATGGAATGCATATGGTTGCTTTTAAGTCTTTTTAAATGAATTGTTTAATATCTGACAGTATCGTTTCTTTTGGACAAATAATGTTATTGTTAATAACTCAGATTAATGGCGTCTCATTAAAATGTACATATGTAACCAGAACCAAAAGTAGGTACTTAAATACTTTTTTAGACTTTCACGTTATTATGGTATTCAATTAGCTAATGAAATGATTATGGTGCTTCTCAGGTCTTCTTAAACCCGAAAATCGTGATCGTCGCCTTGATAGTGTTGATTCAGTTAGCTTTGAAACTTAAGAACATTCATCGTCCGAAAATTAGAAAACTGCGGTACACTTTAACTTCATATCACATGTTTTATTACTAACCTTGTTCTTCCGTAAAACATTCTTATCGTCCTGTAAAAGGAGTGCCCTGTCTATTATATTTAGACCGATGTGCATGAAAGGGGTTCCGGTAACAATTAACGTGACTCTAGTTCCCGGCTTGACTACCTTCCTGTCCGTCACTAAATTAAGCTACAAAAGTGAATATATGTGTAAATGATCTTACATCATACAGACAAATCAGATTATCAATATTACACAGAAGGTAGATTTTTTGCAATAAATATCAAGGATGAAACTAAAACAAACTATGCATTTTGCCATACTTATTTTGAAAGAAAATAAAACAAATTACACATTTTGCAATACGTACCTACGTACAAAATAAACAATACATTTGTCAGCATATAAAATTATATGTCAGCATGTCGGGGACTGAATGAAAAAATGTCAGATTTTTGTCAATTATCTCCTATTTTGCATTTTATTGACAATAATAACCTTTCATATATTTTAGCAGAATATATATAGCAGCATATTCTCATAATAAGATAATGCATTTAAACATGATACATTTTGTGTAGTTGCAAAAGTGTCACTATTTTAGCTAATAGTTTTCCCAAAGGAAAACTTCATAACTGCAAAGTAATACAATTATACAAATATCAGAATATACCATTTTTATAAACCGATAAACAAATTCTAATAATTGTCAGCATACAAGAATGAAAACTTATCCAAAATCATGTTTTCAAAGTTGTAACACATGTATTACATTATTATATACCAATATTTTTATAAATTTACCTAATATATTTACAAATTTGTTATTCCTTTTCATAACTAATAACTTAAATTCATTTTTGAATGTCCAATATATTTGAAAATTCTATGTATTGTGCCTTGATTTCAATTTACTTACACGTTTACCGCGGCATGTCTTTTCAACCTCAAACTTAGTAGAGTCAGCCGCAAGTTCGTGTGTAGTATAATCAACAAAGAAGACAAGAAGTCTTGTATCAGGTGAAACTAGTTCTTGTAGATCCTCCGTAATCTCTTCATTAGCCACATTTGATTCTTCTTTATATTTTGTATAAACTACTTTACCACGTGCAACACCCTGTAATATCAACATCAGTTAATAAACATCATCATCTTCATCATTATCATCATCATCGTTATCATCCTCATAATCATCATCATCATTATCAACAACAATATCAACAAACATTAAAACAATCATCAAAAAAGTAATAACTGATAACAATAATACAAATAATAAAAATTAAATAGAAATATTCATAAATAGTTATAATGATGATGATGAGGAGGATGATAAAAACAATGATATCCGTAATATTAATCATCATCAACAACAACACCAAAATGATCATTATCGTCGTCGTCATTACCACCATCGTCATCATCATCAGCATAAACAACAACATCATCAAGACATATAGTTTTTATCATTTAATTGTATCACCATCAGCAGCAGCATCTGCGTAGTTATCAAGGCACATCATAAAGTTCGTCATTTTCAAATGAACAATACCTTTATCATTGCTCATTGCACTAACAGAAGCAGCATTATATTCATTTATTATCATTGTAAATTAAGCGTTATCAGAATAACCAGTGATATGTAACAACTTAACAATCTTGCTTTCGGTAGTTCTTCCCAGGCACCTGTCCGTTTGTGCTTGAAATAATTAACAAAAAAAGCACATGGGGCCTCCACCAGTAAAAAAAGGAAGTCATCATATGACCTATAAAGTGTTGGTGCGACGTTTATCTCGCATTAAAAGTATAGCAAATTTCATATGAAATTAAGTAACCTGTTACACCAAAACGACGTACATTCTAATACAATATATGTACTTCAAAGAAGTTTTTTAAAATTCAACATACCACAATAAGCATTCCAGTTGAAGTATTCCCTTGTGTGTTTGTAAAGGCTCGTATCATATTCTTCTCCTTGGTAATAAAAGTAAAGTGTAATTTGTACATTCAGAACTCTTCAAAACCTGTATTTAGATTTAAAGCTTTTGCGGCAAAGCTTTACTTTTACAGGCAGTATTGTAAACACAATTTTCCTTTATAGTCGTTGGTAAGAATTTACAAAATATTTCAGGAATAAGTGTAAATGTTATTATTGTTGGTATTGACCAATTTAAGCTGAAATGTATCAGGCACAAGTATTAATGTACATGTATCAGACACAAGTATTGATGTATCAATAACAAGTATTGATGTATCAGGCACAAGTATCACTGTTTCAGACACAAGTTTTGATGCTTCAGACACACTTAAGTTTTAATGTTAAAAAAATATTACCGTGTCCACACGCTCAATTTGTATTTGATTCTTTCCAGAGTATGCAGTTACCTCATATATATCACTTTCATACAGCATGTCCAGAGATGACACCTGTTTAAAATAATTTAATATGTATAACTGCAAAACTGTAAACTGAAACATCATTTTATCCCGTTAGTATGATATACGATAATGTATTCCGAAATTGTTTTAACAATATGCATTTATTTAAAGTCACCATTGAATATTAATACTAGCTCTTTTAAAGACTTAAGTGATTACGTTTTCCTCTTTTTTTTTCTCTTCAAAGAATCTAAGAAGAACTAGTGCAATATTATACGGCGGGAACGACAAAATTGGACAAAAACCTACTCCTTTGATAATGCTTTATAAAAATTATCGAAAATGCAGATAATCTCATTTTCTTTACACTGTTTGAATGGAAAGAAAATACATTTTATACCTCAACTGAAACTTACCGTGAATGAAATTTTCTGTATTTCGCTAGACGTCTGAAAGATACCTATTGCTAGCCCTTTGTCGTTTGTTGTAACATTTCGTTCTTCTTTAAAAGTCCCATCTTCGTTCATTCTTATCAAAAAGTCTTTGTTAGAAGCAGCTTTTCCATTTACATATAGAACTTGAACCTATAGCAACAAAACAGATGTTAATACAGTATATGTAACATAAGAAAACACCACATATAAGAGTTGTAAAAAAGTTATCAATCTATTGTGTCGATAAGTTTTGTTATGTTGACTGATAAGCCCTGCCGTCTTAGATATTAACACTATATAGAAAACTTTAAATAGCACAAATTTAAAACGACTTTGTATCAGACTGTAAATTATTAGATGAAATGGTAGGCATTGTACTAGTACAAGTATAAAGCTATAAATATTTTTTGTTTCTGATTTAATTTTTCTTAAATCGTTTATTAATAAGTGAATGGCGTCTAAATATGTAAAATAGTTTGACAGTTCCTTAAAATCAGAACTTCATAATTGCAGAAAAAAGTACAACTTTAACATATAAGTGTATCTTTGAAGCTTTAATTAAGGAAAACCTTTAAGTAATATTCCAACTCTGGTCGGAAGAACTGTTTTGATTTAGTAAACTCGTAAATATACGGATTCATTGTGAAGATGGTGTCTTCGTGACTTCGTGCCTCCTCGTTCCCTGTTGCACTTTCATAAACAATTGTAATCACTTCTAAGCGTTTTCCGCTGGGGAAAGATTTATTGCTTAGTAACGAAGAGTTCAGTATTTGAGCAACATTGATATTGAATTCTGTCACACTTCCTTTGTGCCCGTTGTTTTCAAGCTGTAAATTAAAAAGAGAATAACTAGGAATTCATAACTGTAACAAAGATACTGGATGAGCTTACAACTGGTGTAAAAACATAGGCACACATTTAGGGTAACGGAAAAACTCGTAAAGCTTCGAAACACGAATTAATAAAAAGTACTAAATCAACAGTGTGTTAGCAATAGTTGATATTGTTTTCAAAACACTAAAGATCAAATTACTTTTCAGGATACGTATTTTATATGTGAAAGTACTTTTATATAAAGAGTGTGAAATGATTCCTTGTGTATAAAAATCTAAAACAATTAAATTCATTTGGAACCTTGAAAAGAAAAATGAAAAGATGAACCTCAGACATTAGAATAAATTAAGCGACATGAAATTAAAATAAAAAATGCAATAGGATGTTTTTGGTTTTATTCTATTTCTTGTAAATAAAAGAAATATTTTTATGTATTGTTTAATTTTGGGTCTTGGATCCGTGTTCAAATGCCTAGCCTTTCTTAAGGCTAAAAGAAGACCATATTGTTTTTTACGCATACAAAGAGCAACTTAATGATGGCGATCGAGTTCAACGATGTTCATTTCTTAACTATTTGAAAATTTTATCTATATGTAATGAAATGTTGAAAAAACGACTCAATAGAACACACATCAGCTTACCTGTTTTCTCGCAGTATCTAAGATGTAGTCACATATTTTATCATCGCCTTTCAATGTCAACATAAGTCTTGCATTTCCTTCAACAGGCTTGCCGTATACATATCTTTAAAAAGTAAATGAATGTTTCGAATATATCATTTAGGTTGGGATTCAAGTTGTAGTGTTACTTACAACCTTTTCTGCTGGAGTCAGATATAAGGTTCCAATGATGTAAGAATTATCTCAGACTCCAGCAGGGGTTTTTAGTTGAACAATTGAGTTCTTTTGTTAGCCAGGTGGCGGCATTCGGACTCCAAAACAGCCATAGGGAGATGCGTAAATTACATTTTTATGTATTCATTATGTCCTTATAATTTTAATATTTGTGCTTATTTGCACAGGTGAAATTATATATATAACATATCACAAAGTATGAAAAAGCTTATTATTAAAGATTAACAAGAAGAAGAGAATATAGATTAAAATTATTTCGTTTCCTTACTTCGCTTCCACAGTGACAGTAATATCTCTTGTGTCTGGAAGAAGGAAATCAACGTCTACGCCAACTGTCACTTCGAACGTTATGGGAACTGCAATCAGGTCAAGCGAGTGTAAAATACGTTATTATATCAAATATCTGCGTTGATCATGCTTTGATTGAAAAACGGCGGAGAGGTGCATGCGATTTGAAGCCAAAAACATTAAACAGCAGGCATTGCTATAAACCCTCAAGTATCACAATTCCGACATAAAGTACGTGTTTTAACAATAAAAATGTCTATAACATGCAATGGAAAGTAATTGATAAACAATAATAAAAAACATCTGTTTACCATATTCACGAACTTCAAAGAGGGCACGCGACTCGGTTTCAAACTGAAAAAGATGTATATATCTAGCAAATATTGTGTATAATAATTTGTATGCTATATACATTGTAGTATAACGTAGAAAATGCTGTTTGAAAGTGAGACATAAATGATATTGATCTCTATCAATCGTGGTATTGTGTTGTATCAGTGGCGTAGATCTGTTCTTGGACCGAAACAAATTAGGGGAGGGTCCGGGGATGCTCATTCTAAATCTAATCATCTTAATACCATTTTTGTACAGTTCTTACAAATGTAATGTAATGACATCAACATGGCAAATATGACACCCAGCGCACCAAAAACGGCACCCTTCGAGTTTAAATGACACAAACACACCCGTAGGGCAATATCTTTATCAGAGTTACGTATGGTATTCAACGGGCCTAAAAGATAGCCACTGCGCCCAAATCATTAAACCATACTCACTCGGCCGAATAACACTCACAGATAATTTTGATTGTCGTTTAAAAAGGTTACTATAATAAATAAAAAGTTATTAAAGTATATAAAGCTTACATCAACTAGTATAGACTTTTAACTTTAAACGTTTATAAACTAGCTTTCCTACTGACAAGTTATTGAATATATGCATACATTTTAGATAATACGATCATCATGCAGGAAAGATAAAATCATTGCCTATTTAAAATTGAACTTTTACCCGTCCATTATAAAAGGATCTTGCAGTCCAAACTCCCATCTCAGGGTAAGGCGGTAAGATGAAGTCATTTTGAAAGAATCCCGTAGGACTATGCTTTATCAACTTTCTTCCCATTGTTATGTTTGAAGGACTCTGAAACGGTAACAAAAGTTACATGCGCTGTTTATTTTAGTGTAAAACCTGATATCTATTAAAAACCTTATATCTAGTAAGAAATACAGTCAAACTGACGGATACAAAGTTATCTAAATGAGGCTGAAATGAAAAGCTTGAAGCTGGGTATTTACAGCTGCTAGTTGAGAATATCCTTAGCGTGCCTCAGAGCGTTGTCTAAAGAATGTCCAATCGACTCCTTACAGCTGGAATGTATGTGATTTGTATGCCGGAGGTCAAGAACTCTACCCACTGAAGCCATGTCAATCGCTCGGGGCCACCGATTTTATAACGCATCAACGTTATATGGTGAATTGCACCATTCTACTAGCATAACGAGCGCTTAACACCAGTTTGCTGATCGTCTTGGCGAAGGTTCAGTCAAGATATGGGCGGACTTAGAGCTAAGAGAAATACGGATCTAAAGTCATTGAAAAGTAGGTACACCGACGACTTACAGTTACATCAATAACATATTGGATGTCTATGTACGAGCAAATGCAGGTGCTGTAGGCGATAATTTCATTCTTACTAATGGATTATAATGCCCGTACAGACAGGGACCGCATCACCAACAAATATATTAAACAATCTTCAATTGTCCGAATGGAATGGACAGTAAGATTACCTGAGCTAAATCCCTAAAACTTGACCCTTGTAATCAATAAATGTTTGTGTCAGTAAATTGCGATGTTTTGGTATTACGGTATGTCACAATAATTACAACGCTATAACTGTTACTAAAGCTAAGATAAGCTCTCATATATACAATTAAAATCCCGCATAATTATGAGGACGCAAGAGTTTCAAATGTTGTGTCATCATTATTGATATACATCTTAGTTTCTAATTTATAAAAAAACCCTAAAATTAACTGTGTTTTTGTTTCCCTCCATTGGTTTTGAAATCATTGAATTTCAATAAAATAAACATTCCCGTTATAGCCTAAAATGGTTCGAACTTCAAGCTGAAAGTCAAACTCCTAGAACAGTTTTTACCACATATAGCAAATACTTTATCTTTCCATATTTTCAGGTCATCCTAGTGCTAATTGACGAAGAAAAGCCTTTTACATTTATGACGACATTTGTTGATTAAGTAATCATACCTTAATCATATAGACTGATTCCTTTAATATCTATGATAGTATTCAATTTAGTTCAACAATTGCAGGCTTCGTGTTCTTATTAGTACTGAATAACAACAGATGAGGTCTGAATTCCCACACAAGATTAGTCAATAACTCTAAGCTTAAAAATGTACATGGCGCTACAACTGGATCACCTATGGTGGTCAGTCCAGTACTTACTAGTATAAGAAGGCACAACAAGTGTACTTCATGAACCAAACCTGCATATAGGCGGTATAGCATTGCATTATTGTCTGATACAAATCGCCCTTTAGATTAAGTCTTACTATGAAGCAAGAAAAGATAAAATCATGTATATATATATCTATATATATCGTATGTGTGGCGATAATTGAAAAATATGTATACTATTAATTAAAGCTCCTTTATGACTTGGACAACCTCAGCGTTTTCATAAAAACAACCGTTCTCAAAACAAGCACGCATTTATCAATGCATTGTTTAATACAATGAGTGTATGTTTTACACATTATCATTTTTAAATAAAGTAAAATTCAATCGCATGGATATACTTACGATGATATCCATGCCCACTAACCAACCATCGACAGCTTTCAATGACTCGTCAAGGGCTAAAGTTCTTATTCTAACTGTAAAAAGCAATTAAAAATGAATCAGGCCAAGAATATGCATGTTTTTCTTATGTCAAAAGATTTTGATATGAATGTTACAATAATCACGATAAAAAAGGAGATTTGAGATGTCCTTTATGAAAAGAAACGTGCTTTAAAAAATATATTTCCCATTACGCAATCGCCGCACGTTTCACTGACGACGTAGGAATTTCCCTACCTAACTTTGTTGACCTATATGTCACCTAAAGTCATCTGTAAATATATTTTGCTTATACATTTAAATGTATATCGTGTTTTTTAATTTGCTGTGCTTTCAAATTGTTTGTCGTAACCGATGATTTTTTATTACAGAAATTCAACAATGTCTTTGATATTTAAAATCTGTAACTGAAAATAATTTTCAAATAATACAACCTTTTTTTTATAACACAAATTTTGTTATTCGAATAAAAACGGACGTTAATATCGTTCATCTTTTCTTTTTATTAAAAGAAATAAATAAAGAAAAAAAAACATCTCATCCCATTAAATCTAATTTTCTTTTCAAAGTGTATGCACAATTTATGGCTAATTATTTTTTTAATTTTCATTATATCAGCTATTAACTTTCAAATGATCGGCCCTCTGTATTTTGATAGATTTTTTAATAAAGTTTTTTTTTCATGGCATATTGCAAAATAGAAACAAGATGAAAATAAGTTTAAAGAATGCTTTGAACATTTAAATAAATATCTGGCATTAGATTTACATTCGTAAATGCTACAAAAACACTTAACATTGTAAAGATGTAATGATTATGAACAATGATAACCAATAGTCATAAGGAATACAAATTGAACATCTCTTTTAGAATAATAAAGGTAAAATATGTATACCTTTTTGTCGAGGTGTATATATCGGTTTGTCCGTCTGTACGATCAGGTAACCTAAATGATAGCTGAGAATTATTTCCCTTGATTGTTTCGTTCCTTTCCATTCCGAACATAATTTGACTTTTCTCGGCTTTTTGTCAAACATACTGTCAAAGATATCGGCTTCTTGGACTTTCACAGTCGAGTAAGTTGGAGTTTCTATAATTTGGATGAGAAAATGACAACAATTATTTCGATTCTCAAATTCATGCTTACTCTTTTCAGTTACTTAGCCAAACATTCGAATTCGTATAAACAACTATGGTATGATCAAGTCTCGCAGAAACAGTAAATGTCACATAGAAAATGATCCCTCCTTTGAACCCATAATCAGATACCATACAACACAATCTGGTACAAAAGAGAACTCGAAAGGAACAATAAACCTTTATTTCGGAATCTTGAAACCGTGACAGCTCAATTTTATACGAACCCAGTAGTGATTAGAAAAAAAAAGGAAAATTTAAAGACATACAACTTCACTGTACTTCCAGACGTAGCAATACAGGTTTCAAATTAACGTTATCAACGCAGTTTATCCTAACATCTCATTAGAAGAAAGCAAAAAAAGAGAAGATTTCCCAGTATCTATTACTGACAAAATTAATACAAAGTACCGGGTGCAATCATCTAAATTAATACAATGATGATTCAAGCTCGTTTAAATCTTCAGAATTAAATTAATAAACGATAAGAAATAACTCGCCTTGGTCTTTAACTACGACTTTTTTCATAGAAAATTGTTTCCCCTCGTGCTCTATCCAAAGCTGTAATGTAAATAAAGATAACAAAATTTAACCGACATAGATCAAACTATAACTCGGTTTGTATGGCAATGCTAAACATAGAACGCTGTTTAGTATCTGCAGTTCATATCTCAAAGCTGCTGAGCATCCTACACTATATAGCATAGCACTGTAAGGTTAACAGTATCACTTACCTGTTGATTATTTTAGAGCATTTTATGTTTATATTACTTTTGTTTAATAGTTCACTATTTCAAATAATACTCCACTTATTGTAAAAATATTTCTCTGCTGAATATCTGAAAATCAAGAAAGAAAAATATGACATTACTTTGACAGCTGCATCTGTTTCTCCAAACACACTGACAACAACTGTCTCATCTTGTTCAAATCTAATCACGTTTGGAGCTATTACGAAGTAATAACCGCTGAAAAAGTACAAAGAAAAAAAAAAGGTTTCGAGAAGTGATATTAGTATGCACATGATTATGTGATTTTAAGAACCAAAACTTCGAGCTAGAGACAACCACACTTTTAACAACTTGTCTTGTTTGTTTCGATCATCTAGATCATGCATCGCAAAGAAGTTGCGCATTGTTCGGCTGAGAGGACCCCTAAATTGGTGTTTAACAATTATATGTTCCCGTCTTGTCAGAAATATATGGCTGCTATTTGTTCTTAGAATAAAAGAAGGACTACAATTGATATTTAATTATTTTCACATTCGAAGAATACAGTTGATCTTTTTATGGCGTAACAAACGTTGCATTATTTTATGTCAAATAAATTTGTTGGCCTAAAACTACATGTATTTTTGTCCGATAAAATAAAAGAAAAATATGTTCATAAAAGATAATTGTGAACTTAGAAAAAATAATGAGGTTTAAAAAAAATATAGGAATCCAGTGAAAGAATATGTCCTTTAATAATGTACTTTAACAAGATATTTATGAGTTAAAGCTAATTTAAACTTATCCAATAAAAAAAGAATATGCACTTAAAAAATGGTTGAGTAAAAGAAATAGCTCTGGTCTAATAGCAATATTTCATATGGACTATAACTTGCATAATGGGATATTGCCATACTTGTATTTACAGTTTTGATAGATTTAAACAAACCCTATATGACAGTTGCTGCTCCCGACACAAAATGTTATTGCGTTCTTCATTTTTGAATGTGTGCGTTCCAATACATTTTAAAAAAATTGTCTTCCAACAGTATATCGCTGTACTAGAGCTATCATTTCAATTTTTGACAGTTCGCCATTAACACGAGTCGTTCTCTACACAGACGGCCCACACATGACATGATTCACATGCTCTAGTCTGGTGGAACGTTTGCAAAACTTATTTCAGTAAGAATATTGCACTCTATCATCTAGTTTAAGATAGAAGCGAGGTTTTACGCACACGTGAAATGGCTGCGAAAAAATGGAAAGCTGGGCAATGCATATCTTGCGAAGAGCCGAATAAAATACTACCTTAACGAATGTCTATTTAGATCTGCGCAGTTGTGAAAATTAAAATTTAAGCGTAAGCGTTACGACACAATAATGTCATTAAATCCACAGTAGTTATCGTTTTAAACTGTGACTCGACGGGTACGCTTCTCTTAAGTCAATGCCTTAAAGGGAGTGCATACTAATAATTTACAAAGAGTCTGACACTACGTGTCTTATTTACATATAAGCAGTGCTGACACGCTCGTAATGTTTTATCACAATGCATTGGACATAGATTAATTATATCAAGATTAAATGATATATAAACTTTAAATAAGCAAACTTAAGGGTCAAGTAAAGCCTTAAAATCTAACTCAAAAACATAGTTGATAAGGCATCATACACATTAATAACCAAATCCAACCAAAATGCACATGTGACCACGCTTACTACATAAATTGCGGCTATTAAAGTTTTGGAAGCCAGAACTATGTCCCAAATCATATCAAAAGAAAATAAAAACAAAAGTTTAAAAGGTAATTATGGTTAAATTTCTTCAAAATGAACTTGTTTTCTTGTTTCTAAAGATAAACAAATAGATAGTTTGAAAAATTCATATGTAATGCAACAGCTCTTATACTGATGCATCTTGTCCGATACACTACAGTTCCCCTTTAGATGAAGAAAACGTGTTTATGCATGATTTGACTTTAGCTTGGTTCCACGATCACGATCACGATATTAAGTCTCGGTAAACTATCATGAAATCAGACAGTGGTACAGTCCATTATTTGTAAACGGAAATAAGAAAACATTGTCCTTCCATTTGAAGAAAATGTAAATAAAAATGTTATGCAACACAAAGCAAGAAATCAAAAATTTGTCCCGAAATTGGTAATGCCATAGTTTTAGTAGAATGTTTAAATCATTATTCAATATAAAAACATTGCAGTGATTGTTACAACTACTAATGCCAACCACAGTGAGTCTTATATATATCCTTCAAAACATGGTTGGTCACACCCTAATTTTGCTCCATCAATTTATTTTGTTATGATTTTAATCGTGCAAAAATATGTGGTTTGCGTTTTCCTTTTCAAAACGTTTTAAAGAAAAACGGATCATGATCTTCATCTCGGTACCAACTACTATCTTATATGAATTGATTTTATAATTTTGTCACTAACCTGGAAGAAACATTGATAATTGAGATTTTGTGAAAGGGCGACAGCAACTTCTCGAGCCTTTTATTCGGTCATAATAAAAGCCGATCATTCCGATCGGTATGAGGGTGCTTGATTATTATAAAGTTGCGATATGTACAATGAATAGCGAACTGGAGAATTTCGCAATGCAAACATTTTCAAATGAAATAACCTTTTCCGTCTCTTCGGTTTTTTTTTATTTACACAGTGGGTTATTATGGTATGGTAAAATACAATAATGAGTTGATGATCTAAAAATATATTGATTATACATAAACATACAATTCGAAAAAAAAAACCAACAACAACAATAATAGCATGTTTATTTTATCTATATGTAATAAAAACAATAAATAATGTACAATAATTGAGAAAAAGGTACATTTTTATGGTATTAATATGACACTATCAACTTTGAAACATTTTCTTTAATTTGTTACTCGTGTTTAGTAAAGATGCCGAGGAATTATTCAAAGTTACAAATTAGATTTTATGAATTATTCAATCGATTGATAATTTAAAAAACGATAAAGAAAAATACCAATGTGCCTGTACATGGTTTAAGAATAAACAATATTATATCTTGAAACATTAACCATAATTTACTGACTTTTTCAAGTTAAGTTTTGACTTATAAATAATTGTCGGTCAATATGACAATTGAATTCTTAAAATTTATTTAACAATTTTAATAAAAAAGAGTAGTAAACATAAAAAACTCAGTATTAAAATTACACATAAAACACAAAAAGAGAGGGAAACAATATTCATAAAATCTGTATTTTTATATTAAAATAGATATTACAATTATTGTATAATAAACAATTATGCTCAACATGATCAACATGGTAATATAACCAGTATCATACTTTTACTAAGTGTGAACAGATACCTTAAGAGGGGGTCTTCGCTAATAGCGATAACATAATAAGGGACAATTCCACAAGTGTCATGTTGATCATGAGTTACACATATGGATTATAAATGATTGTATACATGTATATCCGTTGTTATTAATAATCACGATCATAAAGAAATAACAAGTAATATTCTAATCTCTAGCATGCCAATCAAAGTTCATAATGAACAATGTCTATCGTCTGTTCATTCTGGTAAAAAACAATTAACCATTGAAAAGTTTATAAGAATTTCTTGTCATCATATGTCTACTAGTTCATCTTCACTTTCTGCATTTCTTGCTTGGACGCCCTTTGATGCTTTGCATCAATGCTTTTCTTGTTATATTTATTGCAAAACGTTAAATCAATATATACCATGATACACTCTCCTTATTATCAAAGTTTAAATTTTGCGAGTTACATAAATAAATAAATAAATCAGTAAATAAATAAATAAATATTTATTGTTTTGACGTTTCAATACAATTTCATAAGTTAATTGAAATGTGTAACGTGATATAGGCCACTGCGTTCATTGCATTGCTCTTTATTTGCTATGCTGTAATTGTATCATTTAGGTAAGTCATAAGTGTCTGAAAATGTTTTTAGCTATAAAGGCTCATAAATCAAGTGATTTATGAACAGATGTTATACTTTACATGTATATTGGTTTGTGACTACTCGAACTATTGTATTTTTTAAATTTAATTCTGTCTTTTAATTTTTGTTATTATTATGATAAAAATAAATGAACTTTTAGACAGGCCATTTAAAAATGACATTTCAAAAGTTACTTTTCTTACACGCATCAATTAAATATACAAGAAAACCAAACAATTCGAGAACAGAATATTATATTTGCTTGTTTTTAAATGCAATATACAACTTTAAGAATAACTTCAAAAAGTATTTAGATTCAATCGACCTATTTAAGAAATTAAGCTCAAATATAAGAAAAATGAAAATGTGTACCCTTGCACCTCCGAAACAAAAATCCAAAATGAAATGAATAAAATAAACATCGTTTCCCATCGAGAGTCTGGATGTAAATAATCTTCTTTTTTCAAATTCATTACATGCAGTGAAACAAGTGTATGTCTGGGAAGACCTTCACCGTTATTTCTTTAAGGCCATTCATAACAATTACTGCTTATTTGATAATATCTCAGACATATTTATACATGTACTACGTTCAGAAAGTGTACAAGTAACAATGACCTTTAGAGAAATTTTATATTATTAAATTCTAAAAATATAGACATTTTGTTTAACAACACACAATTCGAAACTTTTGAAAATCAACTACTGAGAAACATTTGAAAAACATATAAAAAACAATGCTTTAAACGTGTGTATATTTATATAAACATGATAAATGTTCACTTTTACTGAAAATAAAAATTGATATAAATAGAATGAAGGAAACATCGGTATAACCTTTTTACAATATAAATTTTCCATAGAAAAGGGTGTTGCATTTCGCACATGCGTATTCTGCGTAGGACAATCGTGCAATAACGGACGACTACATTTTATCATAGTTAAAGGCTTTAATAGTCGTGCTTTCAATTAATGTCACCCGGTTATTTTGGGATGAATTAAAGCGGTAAGTACTTAAAAGTGAGTTGATATTTATAAAAGGTATACAAAATAGGCGGGGGTAATAATTCATTTATCAAAAGTGCATGTAAAAGTCGTCTGTTTAAGGTATCATTAGACGATTTTTGCACCAATATTTAAATTGAGACAGCAGAGTGTTAAAGGTAAAATTTTATTTCCTCTATATTACATAATCTTACACAATTAGTACACTTCCTTTGGCAAGGCGGCAACGGCTTGATTTTTAGTTCGCTTACAATATCATTCAATCGGGACCTATCAGTACCATGACCTAGTAAATCCCGTAAAATTATGGAACTCGTAATTTAAGTAACTTTAATGTATACCAGTCTCATCAATGTTTACTAATTGTGTGACGGGACAAATAGTGTGACGTTCATTTGCACGTGTTACGAGGAACCGGATAAAATATGTGTTATTTCACTACCCAACTTTACTTCTGAAGATTAAAGAAAAAAAGAACAAAAAAAGAATATATTTATATTTATATGAATTATTGGTATCACCGTCAAATCGGATAAAGGATAAAATCAGGTAACTGGAAACTAAAAAGCATATTCACGTGTTCTGACTGACTTTTTCAGAATGATAAATAACCTCGATTTCATATACTATAAAATTATTTAGTTTTTATGTGAACTATTAAAAATTTAGTTTAACTCTTTATTTGCTTATAGATATATTTCTTCCTTTTTACAGTAATAATCTTAAAGCCAGGGTCCTAATAGTAAGGGGGGAATCTTAAAATCATCTTTTCGTGCCTTCTTATGGCAATCTAGGCAACAAAGCTATAAAGAAATGTTTTATGTTGTTTTTTTTTCAGCTATTGTCATATAATATTCTACTTTTACCTTAAACTAACTCGGAATTGTTTATGAATTCCATCGACATTTCTTTTTAGTGAGATGCAATTTTCCTTACCAAGTATGCGCATGTGCGACAAAATACTTTACAAAAATATAAATATATCAACAACACAAACAACTATAATAAACACAAAAAAGAAAGAAAAAAAAAGAAAAGAAACTAAAGTAAGTAAAAACATATCTGTAGAAATAATATGTATAAGCAGTGATTTTTATTTCCACGCCTTTTCATTTTTCTTAACATTTTGTTTTGCTCATGAGAACCAATTACCAATTTCTTGTGTTCCTAACGCTATCAAATTTCAAAAGTTTTCTGAAATTGTTTATACAACTCAAGATAAGAATTGCATTTTTTTCTCGCAATATAGTTTTCATGGTGAACTTGGCCTTAAATCTAATTTGAAATTGAAGATATGTTGTTAAGTTTTTATAAAAGCAGCATTAGATGTAAAATTGATTTATACAGTGTAGATTTAAACTGCAAAACATTTATAACACCTTTTATATGTATATCAACTGAATAATTTGGGTTAGTTTTTCTTAAGCTTCTGTTTTGTTATTATTTTTGCATTAGTACGTGTGCAACATAGTGTAAGAAGTCAGCTTTTTTCATTTCAGTTTAATCAGTATGCCTCAAGATTCAGATGAAAATTTTGAAAATGTATAAAAAAGTAGCATATTGAAAAGTGAAGGAAGAACGTAATAAACAAATTGCAAACGGCACAAACAACACACGTCAATTACCAAACAGAGGTCAACATAAATAAAAAGGCAATTACTGCGTTAGTCATGCAATGAAATTATGATGAAACATATTTCAGACTCAGTCATCAATCGCGCATCACATTTAAATCATTAATTGAATCTTGAATAGTTTAAGATTTCTTAAGATCTTGGTACAATTTTTACAGGCTTGATTTTCTTGAAATATTTTACTCTTCTTGAGGTATGATCCTGGAAAAAATCATATGAAATATACATTTTGATGAACAAAAACGATAACGTGTTTTATTTATTTCTCAGAAGGTACGTTACTGTACTAATTGTTTTATCGGAGGGGGACGTTAGGATTTCCCTCCGTCCGTCTGTCAGTCCGTCCGTCCACAAAAACTGGATCCCGTTATAACGCAAAACGTACTAAAATACTTTTATAAAATATAAAATGTGGGTAGACTGCAGTTTTGAGATTATGCACATTTTTCTTTATGTCTTTTTCTTCTTTCTTCCTATGTGGCTTTGGCGCGAAATAGACTAAAGATATGACGAAAAAAAAACTGTGCCCTTGATAACGCAGGGAGTACTAAAAATATTTAATGAAACTTGAAATATCGGTAGATGACAGTCTGGAGATTATGCACATTCATTTGTTTTGTTTTGTTTGTTTTGTTGAAATATTTACTTAATATGGCAACAAAAGACTTAAAATAAGGCGAATACAGTATCACAATGTTTGTGATAACTGATGTGATAACTGAAAAAGTACTCAAAGTATTTGTATGAATCTTGAAATATAGATAGATGGCAGTAATAAAGATCATGCAGTTCATTTAAAGCTTGACTATAGGAAGTATATTTAGAGCTGCCCTACTCACTCAGAGGTGGCGATCAGCCAAGATTTCTGATTAAAGGTTTTGGGCAATAAAATCAAATTCACTATAACTTCTTTATTTATTAAGGTATTTAATTCAAACTACAAATAAATGTATCTTATCATCAACCACAATAAATTTGACAAGGTCACAACTCTTGCATCAAAATTACACATTGAACTTATTGTTGTTGTTTTTTCTAAGAGAAACCATTATTTTTTACTTAGACTTCTTTATTTCTTAAAATATTAACTTTAAACTCTCACATAAGATTATGACAAAGTTGATAAATCTAGCATCCATATTTCCAGAATTCTCCGCCTTAAATGTTCCGTATTTATTCTATGATTTTTCTATTACTTTATTGATTTAATTCAAATTTAAGATATATATTTATTATTAACACCTTCATCATATGTGATTAGATTTATAAGTTTCGATGAATATTTTTATTTTAAACTTGGAATTTATGAGAAAATTGTTATATTTTTTTCAAATTATCGTCCATGTTACTGTAAAAGATTTGAATTTTTTTTCACCTTTTTCATTTTTTTTACTTTAAATGGTATACTTGAATGGATCATTGTCATCACTTATATCATGCATGACAATGTTCTTAAGTCAAGCATCTTTATTCCATTTATTTCAAGAGTTATCCCCACTTTAGCTTTAGAATTTGCTTAAAAAATGTTATATTTTGGTTACATCCAGGGTTGTTTAAGATCTGCTCGCTCTCTGTCATTCCGTCTGTCTGTCCTACCCTTTTAAAAATATTGAAACTTTTCCAACAAATTTATTTGAAATAGAGAAAGTTGAAACATTAGTTATGCATACTCATCCTGAAAAAATGGAGTTTTTGATAATATGTTGTATTTATTAACATAATTACCTTATTAGACAGTGAAACGTAAATAATTGGTATGATACAGACAAACTAAGAACTCAAAAGATTTAAGTTCGATCATGTTTGTCTTCCAATAGGACATAATTGAAAAATCACTGCCCTTCATAATGTTGATTGGGTTCTTACTGGTAGAGGACTTTGTTGTTGTACGCACATGATCGTTTCGTCTTTATTGTGTTTTTCTTTATCGATAATGATTTTAAAGACATTTAATTCACCAGATATTTATATACACAGAATAAAGAGACACTGGTACAAACCGAAATTCTATTGAAAAACTGTAAAAAGCAACGAACTAAGACATACAAGAAGCTTAAACATCAGTTTTGTAAGATATTTTGTATTTTGTGTCAAATTTAAAAAAAGAAATAAACATAACAACAAGAAATTTAACTTCATCTAAGTTACCGATACACATAAGGCGATCATCCTTAATCTACACAACTAGCCCATCTAAATGCAAATTCTACGTCTATAAATATGGGTATAAGTATAAGTCTGCAACCAAAATGTGCTTGAACAAGATATTTTTGTGTATTTAACGTTATCTTCGGACTGGCGAACTAAACCGTTTGTACAGCATTGACAGAAACATATTTTGTTATTGTTAAATGCAGTTCAAAACTCAAATTCGAATAAATTAGAAAAAAAACCGGCCAGAACAGTCACATGTCAAATTTCAAAATATCTACATGATCAGTTTATATCTTCAATAACTTCGTCAAAACAGAATCTAGGATGCTGAAACCTTTAACCGAGTGTGGCATATATATTGCATTATGGAATAGACATACTAATGAACTTCAAAATAACAAAGAAACCCACTTGCCTGGCAAAAATTCGTTCACCCGTTTCAAAAAATCACGCCGTTTTCGCCATTTTGTCAAGTTTGCAACCAATTCGCTCGCTTGAACCAAGTGTGCAACCACTTCACGTCCTGCCCCTTGTAGTTGGCAATCAATGCCAGCAACGACTTTTTTTCTAAATTATATGTGCCTTATTTTTATCAATCAAACATCTGTATATTTTGCATAGTATTCCTTTAAAAAATCATTAATTTGTAAACTTTATGTTATTCGTTTTAAAATCATTCAGCTGTATATTTTAGGTAACTTC